CACGCCTCCATCCATATCCCCAACATGTCGAAAAGGGGGAAAAAAAACGCGAGAGGAAGCCACCTGCCAGACAAACAAATCCATCTAGCAAACAGAATTGAATAGCCTACATCTGTCGTCTGTGTCGTCCCAAGTGTCCGTAGGAACTTGAACTGACACTTTTGCGTCACACGTTCCCCCCTCTCGTTGCAATGTGTTCCTCTCGTTTCTGAAGACGCGACTGACTCATCCAGACTTGACGCATGCACGTGAGTCTGGAGATGCGGCAGGTACGAATCTGGAGTGGGGTCATTTCCCTGAAATTGGAAGCTCCCGTGCAATTCCAACAACTCCACTTCTCGTCTCCGAACGATCCATTCCGCTTTCTTCAAACGAAACATGAGATTCTCGACTGTGGCAAGTTTCCCCTTTTCGACGTCACGCATCTTGCATGCTCGACGAATCATGTTTTCTGGAATTTGATTTTCAACCAGTTGTTGGCATCGGGGATAATTCTGATGGTAGGCATCACCGAAAGAGACACTACTCTAGCTATTTTCATCTCTAATTTCTCATTTTAAGGAACAAAGTTTAACCTGGACACGTCCGGTAAGAAATCAACTTGAGTTTAAGTTTCTTTTTTTTCCAATACTAACCATAACTTCTCATTTTTCTATAGCTGTAGAAGGTGGATTTTTAAGGCTTGAAGGGATCGTTACATAATGAGAAGACATGATTTTTTTTTAGGTGTCGATATCATGTTCCAATGTACTGTACATTAGATGCTGCTGCATAAATTCGGTAAATTTCATTTTTGTAAGATTCAGGAACGATTCGATACGTTTCCTTACCCAGAGGATTAAATGATCGAACATTCAGACATCCGTGTTTCAGTTGGGAGCAGTGGGACGCGGGAATGGTCGTAATCTTTTCCGGAACTTTTCTTACTTGGACGTGTCAGATGGGAAGGTGGACGATGATGACATTCGGAACTTGGAAGAGTGCAGGCGTCGCTGCCTCGTCGATACGGGAATTCGCTGCAGTGCCACGTAGACGACACCGCTTCACATATGCGAGGAGAGTTGCCTGGAATGAATTCGGCTTGCTTTAAGTGTGTTTTCTGGGGTCGGAGTTTCTCATCTCGTCCCTCGGTTCTCATCGATGTAAATTAATAAAAAAATTGAATTTATCCAGTGTATTCTGCATGTTCCATTCCTCTTCTTCGATGGCTTCTGCCAGACACGAACCACTCCCCTCAAGCAAAGGCGAGATATATCTTGTCTGTGCATGAAGTCAGTCGTTAATGGAACCTGCATCATCGAACCACTCGAAGGGAAGGGCCGTCGGCGGTATGCAGACGAAGGAAACTAAACATAGAAGAGAGAATTGAGACGTGTTGTGACTTACGCCAGATCTATTTAACTTAAAGGAATCCAATTTCAGAGTGGACTCCTTTGGGAATCGGTTTGACGGAGACAATCGCATTCCATTAATCTCCCCATTATAACATGAATGATCCTCCGCCGTTGAAGTTGGCGACAGATCCATCTCGCAGCGCTCGAAGAAAAACAACCGAGAGACGGAAGACCGGCGAATGAAAACGAGAAACGTTATAGATTTTTGGGCATTTTAAAGGACAAAGTTGGCAATTTCGTGAAGGAGAAAGGGCCGTGCCCGACGGCGCCGCACCATTCAATTCAGACACAGAACGTTCAGAAACGGTTCGACCTGAGACTTGCGGCATACGGTTTATAGAGAAACCTCTTTGCTCTTGCACTTTTGAATTCGAAGGTGAAGTTCGCTTCCTTTTCATGTTGGTGTGAGATGAGACTTCATTATTTCGTCAGGAAACGAGTCCTTTTTCGAGAGAAAAAATATAAAGACAATGAATAGAGTGAAATTATTTTAGCGCTCGGCCGAGCCGACTCTTGCAAAGAGCATCTACTCCGCTTGCCTTTCAATCCATATGATTTCGCATGACGATCCGGTCCAGTTTGCCCCAATCCCATCGTGCCGGTGGGACCGTGCTCGTAACGATTGCCCTCAACTGGCTATCCGGATGCTTTTCCAAAGGTGCTCCATCGACTCTGAGACCCGAGAAGCACGTGGCGCCATCTTCCTCGTGAATACGGGCAAGAAGCCTCTGTGTGCCTGTAGTTTCGGTCGGACGTGCGTCCTCGAAATGGCAACGCATCGGGACTTTACCTCTTAAGGCGGACGCAGACCCAAGTTACGCAAGATATTCCAGCAACGTTTTAATAATGTTGGTGAACGATGTTGCTTCGACGTGTCTAAAACGTGAATGTTGTCGAACGTCGCAAAAGAACATTGCATCGACGTTGCATATCGCTTCGTATAAGTTTTCTCATGTTGCAGTTACGTTCGGGACCATTCCGCTTGAGTTGCTGCAACGTCGATGAAGAACGCAGTCTGACTGGCATCTAATCTGGACCTATACTTGCATTACTACCCGGGAAGGTATAGGCTTCGTTGGCCCCGAACTGGATCGAATATTCTGCCATATTTGAAATATTTCATTCATAATTTCGTCCCATGCACTTTAATTCCTGACCCAGCCATATGATGGAGACGCTCCCATCAGCAGGACGAAGCTTCAACTAATTTCACCCCTGCTCATACACAGCGCAGTATGCATCTGCAGAAAAAAAAAAGAATTTGGTCGTTGGAAAGGGTTCTTACATGGAATGCGAGGTTGTTTTGGGTCTGGGCTCCATCGATCTCGAATCATGGGGATTACAAAGGATGAAGTGTCCGTGTTCGTTTATTCCTATCATGAGACGAGGCAAGGCACACGGCAAGACACACGGCAAGGCACACGGCAAGGCACACGGCAAGGCACTTAACACTCTTGCGAGACCTCCGAAGGAAAAGGAAGAAGAGAACTTTTGGGTACCGCGAGAGAAGCGAGACCCAAACCTCCATCGAGTGGCCCCGGAGGACGACTTCACAAACCCTCAAACCTATTCTAAGCTAGTCGACCGATGACAACCAGGAACACGTGTCGCATCGGAATGCTGTCGCCACGTTGTCGACGTCGACAGTGGCAACATTCTCCTCGATATCGAAGGCAAATTTTGCAATTGCAATAGTTGAAGTGTCTCGGCAACTTTCCAAGTGTTCAAAAGTGAAAAACGTTGAAGCGATGTTTTATCGGTGCCGTTCATCGACTTGCAACACGGAGCAACATCGGCAACATTTTGGAAACCTTCCATCAAAGTACCGAAATACTCGGGAAAGCGATCTTTTTGGGCGAGCCAAAAACCCTCATTTGTCTTCGAGGCGGAAAATGGCCTCTCACTCGCAATTATGGCGGCGAACTCGGATCGACGCTGACGTAAGGATGGTCGCCGAATGAGATTAATCGTAATGGAAGCGTCACATGCGTTGTCGTGCTGCCATTGCGGTTAATCTCATTAATCTTATTATTAATCCTATTCGTCGTATTGGCCTGGAAATGCAACCGGAAGGCCGTTCCCTGGCATATGCCTTTCGCCTTTCCTCGATCCGATGCAGCGACGCATTTCCATTTCTTATTTCCACGTTCCACGTGGAACTAATTCCGTTCTTTAGTTCCTGTGAGGAAGAAATGATTTAAAATGGGTCGCTCAGATGAGTCGCCGAGTCGCTCAGACGAGATTGCGCACGGTGTGCCGAGTGCGGCATCTCTTCAAATAATTAGAATTGGATTCAGTCGGGGAAAAAGTAAAACATGGAGTCGATCAATATTTTCTTTTGACTCGATTTTTTTTTTAATCTTGCAATTTATTGAGTTCTTCCATCAACGGACTCCTTCATTCAATGCAACAAAGAAAAAAAAAAAACTCGGAAGGTCTTCGCAGAAAACGAGTCACGAAGCCTTACGACTGCCCCATTGAATTCGTTTGTTGGGTCTCGGAAAATCTTTCTTGTTCCGCGAAATTAAAGAAACCTTTCTCGCGCGGGCTGCCAAGACGAAGCCCTCGAAAAGATTTGAAGAAAGCGAGGCGATCTCTGAAAGCGAGGCTATTTTTGGAGGCGAGAAAGTCGGTCGCCAAATTTTTCAGATGGAAAGAAAACCCGCGCGAATTCTGTATTCGCAGATCATTTGAAGCCAAAAGTTCACTTCATTTCCGTACTTTAGCACTCGACTAAATCCTTTTGCTCCTCGTAAAAGCAAATCGTTGAACACGTTCGAACCACTCCGTCATATAATGAAGGCTTCATTCGAGTCAGCAGATTCGCAAAAATAATTTCATGCGTCATGTGGAGAAGTGTAAGCGTCGGTAGAAGAAATGCATCGTGATTGAAAATTAAAGTGCGAGCCCTCATTTCCATGTGTGACTGAAACGAGATGACAGCAGCCAAATGAAATATGCTCGCAGGAGCAATAAACGGGTAATGGAAAATGTGATGGAAAAAAAACTCATTTTCTTGAGTGTTTTCGTTTTCATGTTTGATCCACAGACGGAATCAAATCTAGGAATTCCCGTGAAAAAAAGTCAGCCCTTGCAGACGCCTCTCGAAACGAGGAAGAAAGAGACACTCGGAGTCACCGTCTCGGTTCCCGTCTGGTTCAGGCATTTCACGTGGTACGTTCGGCATTTCATCGCGTTCTGGTGTTTCCACGTCGGGATGAAGCTCGCCTCGCCCGGCCATCGCAATAGTAGTATTTTTTCGTGTGCTTTCTCCTATTTCTTTGAAGGTTAAATAGGAAAAGCACTCCGTGTGGGACAGACGAATTCCGAGAAAACCTCATTCCCGAAGCTTTTGTCATGGCACGAATAACGCATCAAGGCTTCTTTATCGTCTCCATTTCATTTCTACCCGAGAGAGAAATAAGTTCTCGATGAAATCATTTTCGAGTTCCTCCACGGATCAAAATGTTTGTGTCAACAAGGAATATTGGTATTTCACCCGAGAATGGTGCCGAAGGACACCCGTTCATCACAGGACTTCCAGGCCCAAGGCGCCGTGAGGAAACAATTCCTTTCGGAGGGAAACAGGTCGTTTTTCATTTATAAGGTCTTTTTATTTCCAAGTCACAGATTACAAATTCATTGCTGCATGCATACACTCAGTCCCACACGAGACGGATGAGACGCGAGAAGTTAAGAGGGAAACCAGTGTGAGCCGATGAAAAAAAAAAAGCAAAAAAGTGGCAGTGTTCTGGCTTTGCAAACATGAGATTCATCTGATCCCACAATGAGCAAAATTTCCTAGAACGAGGACAGGGGAAGAGAGGCAATGCCACCGCTTTACATCACATTTTCCACCACGATAAATAACTTAGACTGGCAGTTTTTTTTTTTCTCCCCCGAGATTTTACAGCATCGAGGTTCAAAGCTGTACAGACGATCGTGGCCAGAGAGTGGAAAGAAGAAGAAAAAAAAAGAGACTCACACATTCCATCACTGGATTCACTCGATAGCTGCCTGGTCATTGGCTGTTGATCACATGTACGATGTAGAACAACTAGATGAGAGAGTGAGAGAGTGAGTAGGCGGAAAGGTATGATACAAATCGGATCTAGCGGGAGGACGCGGAGTTCGCGTTGAGCGCAGAGGGCCGAACTCCTAAAGCCTCCGAGGGGTTTCGTTTTTTTTTTTTTCTCCTCACTGGGCGACATTCGTTTCACTCGCTCGATGAGTTAAAACAGGGAACAAACAAAGAACAAAAAATTAAGCATTATAGCACCCATGGATTATCGGGATCTCGTGTGATCGTGCCTGGACTGGCCTGCAGCTTTTCCGTTTTTTTTTGTGGTTACGTCTTCCAAAGTGACTAAAAAAGGGGAATGCGGGAAAAAATGAATAAATAAAAAGTTAGGAGAAAGGAGAGCGGACGACACGGGATCGAGAAGCTCGCATTCGTTCGATATCGCCCCACGCACGCTAGACGGACAAAGCCCAGGAGGGTTCACGGGTACAAGACGTCGCGTTCGGAGACGCAACGCGGACGGGACGGTCTCAGGATATCACGTTTTACATTTCTCTTCCTTCGTTGCAGGCGCTTCCCTGCTTCCGGGATTCCACCCATAAAACACGGCTCAAAACAACAAAAATACAAGACCAAAAAAAAAACAATGAATGAATTGGGATCACAGTCTTCGGCGAGTAGGAAGTAGTCCAGATTATCACGAGAGGTAGTCGGGCGACGGCTCGGCGAGTGGCTCCGGCGTGGTGAAGAGCGGATTCGGGAAGTCCGGCGGATGCGGCAACGGGCCCGGGATCTTGGGGCGACGCCGGTAGGCCATGAGCCAGCACGACACGGCGACGGCCACTGCCACGAGGGCCAACAGTGCCGTGATGATCAGGGCGATGATGAATCCCACCATCGACACGCACACCTCTTCGACCCGTACGTCCGGTGCTGCAAGGATGCAACGGAGAAACGGTTGCAGAAAATATTCGTTTCGTCGCGGGGATGGGAAGAAACAAAAAATGAACGCGAGAATTTGGAACGAGGTGAGAAACTCACAATCTGTCGGGTCGATGAATCGCTCCTTCTTCTCGAAGGTGAGAATGGCATTGCTCTCCACCATGATCTCCTCTCGGAACTGTCCCGTGTGCTGACTCTGGAAGATGTCCGGATCCTCGTCGTGTATGTCGGTGAAATGGATCTGCCGCTTCCTCCTCCCCATCACGTCCCTCCCCCCGCAGTTGACCGGCTGGCACCGCCCGAAGCACACCCGGACGTTGCACTGGAACCGGATGCTGTTGGACGAGGGGAACTTGAAGGCGTCGAAGTCCGCGACCAAGGCGCCGAGAGTCGGGCTGAACGTCCAGTCCCCGAACACTCCCGGGTCCGTGGCGCAGCCGTTCTCGTCGGTCACCAGGTAGATGCTCTCCTCGTCGTCTTCCATCGTCTTGGCCATGCAGTTCCTCACGAAACCACCGTATACGGCTGAGGGAAGAGTTCCGGGCGAAAGTTACGAGTCACGTCAGATGGGGAATTGTAAGCGTCGGCAGAAGAAATGCATCGAGATGGAAATTAAAGGAAAAAAAAACTGAGATAAGTGTGTTCGTGACTGATACAACCTTCATTATCTCGATTAAGGTTAATATTTAATGCACAGATGGAATCGAACGGGTCTTAGAATTCCTGGGACTAGATGCAATCCATCTCATGATGAAAAACATACTGTACATCCGAAATCCACGCCGACTCTCGAAACGAGGAAGAAAGAGACACTCACTGAGCGGTTGGACCTCAACAATGAGCTTGAGCTGGTCCCCAATGACGGCGGAGGTGATGTTGCCTCCATCGTTCGTGAGGATCCGCATGATGCAGGTTGGCGGCGGGCCCGTGTTCGCGATCGTTCCCGCGGTCGTGATCATGCTCACGTTGAAACCCAGCGTCACCGTCTTGGGTCCCGTCTGGTATAGACATTTCACGTGGTACGCTTGGGCCTTGTAGGTGACCAACTTCGGGTGTTTCTGGATCACCAGGATGAAGCTCGCTTCGCCCTGCCAAGTAAACGGTCGCAGTCGTGTAGGATGCAGAATGCATTGGGTATACACGAAATCCAAGCATTTTATATCAGCAAATTCATTAGAAGCATAGCAAAAAATTGTGCTGGGAGAAATCCTCTCCATAGAGGATTAACTTCAACTTCATTTCTTCCATGAGCAAGTGATATATTTTTTCACGATATAAATTACCATTTGCTTTTTTCATCTGAGTAGAACTGTTGTAATATATCGATTTTTATACTTGTCCCTGGACGTTCTGGGTTCTCGTCTGATTCCTGTGCAAGGTTACAGATCACATGAAACACGTATGAGTAAGCATATCATGTCGATCCCATATCAAATCATATTTTGTGCAACTCCTTTGACTTCAGAAGATGAAATATCCCGCCTATTTTCCTTTAGGTTTGAACTGAGTCTTGAGCGAGACTCCATTCGAATTTCAAGAAACGAAAAAAAAAACCTGCAAATATGAAAACGGGAGAAAAGAGAAACGAGGCAGCCGCCGATCCTTACCTGCGCATGAATGAGTCCGCACGAATTGAAGTCGATCTTGAAGTCGATGGTCTGGATCTGGTCCCGGGATGCGATGACCCTCCGGCATTCCTCCCGGTCGCTGTACCCCTTGACGTAGAGCACGCCGTCCCAGCCGCGCCCCGTCGCCCCCACCGTGTCTCCCAGGCGGATGTCCACCTGCACGCCGTCCGACAGGCAGTTCACCACCATCTCCGGCTGGGGGAAGTCCGTCCGGAATCCCGACGGTGGGGTCGTCAGCGGCACTGCAAACGTCCGTTCGTTTCAGATTCCATCATCGGCACGACCGAATCGGTCGAACGAAATGAAGTTTTTCTTCGTCGTGAGAAAATCGGGACAGAACACGACTCGATTGTGGGAAAACTGGATTCTAGAATGTCCGTACGGAGTTCATTCGGTGACGAATACGGGAAACAACGCCATCCGATCCATCTAATAGCTGTCTCACACTCGACGACTACACTCTACTACGAACTGTCATCCTGAAATGTCTACCCTATTTATCTGCATGAAGCTCTCACAGGGATGAGGTGCGATACATCTTTTTTTTTTTCTCCTTCGGTCAGACACATTTAACAATAAATGCATAAACGGAAAGGGGCACTCACGTCTGCACTCTTTCTCTCCGTCTCCGACGTATCCGGTGATACAGCGGCAGTCGGCCCGATGGTTCTGGGCGATACAATAGGCGTTGGGAGCGCAGGCCTTCACCTCGCAAGCGTCCACGCACTTCTGGTTGATGCAGCGTTCGTTATCCTCGCACTGGTAGTCGGCGACACACTCCGGTTCCACCGGGATCGGGGGCACTATCGTACATCGAGCACAGACGTCATCGAAAAGGCAAGAAATGAGGTCGCATCTGCATCCTTACACAACTTATACCAGATTTTTTAAATTTTATTAATGATGATCCGATAGACTTCTCGATTACGTACTTACATTTTACCTATATATTCATCTAAATTGATTTCTATTCATCTACAGCTTATCGATATTTTTCACGGATCGGCACGTACACTTGCTGCACTTCCCGTCGACCAGCTCGTAGAGCGGCGCCGGGCAGACGCACCGCCCCCTCTCGTCCACGATCATCCCCCGTTCCACCGCGCACACGCACCGACCCTGCTCGTCGATCTTGTATCCCTGCTGGATCGGGCAGGTGATGCAGTCGCCGTTCGCGTCCACGCCCTTCCCCAGCTCCGGGGGGCAGACGCACTCGCCGTTCCGAAGCACGAAGCCTCGCTCCGTCGGGCACTCCGGCACTGGATCGAGCAGCGTGTTGGCATCAGAACGCATTCCGCGAAGAATCTCCAAATTTCGTTTAGGATTTTCATGCGCGAATTTATTCAAGTGTTAGAGTTTAATTCTCGATAAAAGATCTCAATTTCCATTCTAATCGCCAAAGTCATGCTTTTTTGTTAAGTAATGTGAGACTCTAAAACTCCAAATTACTAAAAAAAAATATTCAAACTCTGTCTAGAACATCATGCGATGAGCAAAAAAATCGCAAAATATGTCACCATGAGTATCAAAGCATCATGTATCAAGCATCAAATATCACAAATGGTGCAGCATGGGGAGAGGAGGGAAAAGAGAGCGACAGGGAACGAAGAAGCGAGAGACATGGGATAATCTCGGTTGAGAAAGCAAAACCGATCGACGATCTTAAGCTATGATGCACCTGTAACAAGCACAGAATCAAGGATTAGTCGCTCAAGCCAAACCAAAACCGTAATATCCTGGAACAAGAGCAAATCACGGTCAAGATACATGTTTAAAAAATAATAATAATAAAATAAATTATTGAATGATATAAATTAAAAAATTAATATAAAAAGCAGGCGTGTTAAGGCGGGGAAGAAAATACCTGGCTTGCACTCGACGGCCGCGTCCCCGAAGAATCCCGGGGGACAGACGCAGGTGATGGTGCGGACGGGCACGGTGTCGACGACGTCGCATTTCGCGTTCACCCCGCAGGGCTCGAGGGTGCAGGGGTTCACGCACTCGCCGCGGATGCAGGAGTGTTTCGAGGGGCAATCTTCGTCGGACTCGCAGCCTTTCGCCACTGCGGAGGGGGGAACGGGAGTCGTCACGATTCGCGGTCTTAAATTCGCGGTCGTTACATATTTTATTCTAAAATCATTTTTTATTTTAATCTTCGGTTTTTCCAAATTAAAGAAGGAGATTCGATGCACGATCGAGTTTTTTTTTTGTAGTACGGGCACTTCATGTGCCCGTACTTATGCAACGCCTCAAAGGCAAGACATACCGAAAACTATAATAAAATTTCGTTTCGCTCGAAACCGAGAAAATCGAAAAATTCTACAGGATAGAAAAAAGAGACAGACCTCGAGTGCAACCGACGACCGGATCGCCCTCGTATCCCGGCGGGCACTGACAAGAGATTTCGTGGTTGACGACCTCGCACTCCGCATCCGGAGCGCACGGGTCCTGGAAATCGCACGGGTTCACGCATCGTCCGTTCACGCACGCCTGATCGGTGGGGCAGCTGTCGTTCGACTGGCACCCGATCGGGGAGCAACCGAACCGCGGGTCACCTGCAACGACCGAAGACACCGTTCGAGGAATCGCGGCGGAAACGGTCGCCGCGGAAAACGATCGCCGCGAGAGGACGGATGCTTACCGGATGTTCCGGGCGGACAGATGCAGACGGGCTGGCGACCGACGATCTTGCAGTCCACGCCGTCGAGACAGGGGTCTGCGATGGCGCACACGTCGGTGCACAGGTTGTTTCGGCAGGCCAGGTGTTCGGGACAGTCCGTGTTACTTCGGCAACCCACTGCAGCACCGACAAAAATTCCCACTCATTTCAATTTTCGAGATTCTCATGCATTTTTCGTCCTTTTTCAATAATTTGATTTTTTTTCTTTTTTTTTTTGCTCGGCTTTCCGAAGAGCTTCTCAACAACAACAAAAAATTAAAAAGTCCGGAAAGTAAACCGACCTGCAAAGCATCCAAGCTCCGGCTCGCCCGCATACCCATCCAGGCACGAGCAGACCGGCTTGTGATCGATGACGCGGCACTGCGCGTTGGGCCCGCAGTCGCACGGATTCCTGCAGCGGTTGTCGATGCACGCCTCGTCCGAGGCGCATTGCTCGTCCGAAAGGCACAGGTCCGTCACGGCCGGAACTGCAACACGAACGTCGTCGCTCATAAATCCGATCCGATTTCATCATTTTTTTCTTTCGACTCGAATCGTTTAAATTTAAATCGTTACTCCGATCCGTTCGAGCCGATCCACGCGAAATCCCCCCACGAAACCCGACTCACTCGGCTCGCAACGTCCCCCGACGTCCGTGATGTGCCCGTCGGGACAGACGCAGATCATGGTCCTCAGCGGCGACGTGTCCAGGACCCTGCACGTCGCGCTCCGATCGCACGGCTCGCTCTCCACGCACGGATTCCTGCAGACCCCGTCGAAGCATGCCATCTGCGGGGGACAGTCCGGGTCGATGCGACACTCCGGCGAGGGCTCGGGCACGCATCGCGAGTACGGGTCTCCGGTGTAACCCGGCGGGCACCGGCACACCGCTTCGTGGTTCGACACCCGGCACTCCGCTCCGTTGGCGCACGGGTTCCTATAGACGCAGGGGTCCAGGCACTGCCGGTTGATGCAGGCCAGGGTCACGGGGCAGTCGTCGTTCGACCGACACCCGACGATGTTGCAGGAGACGCGTCCGTCTCCCTCGTAACCGGGCAGGCATCTGCACTGGGCGCGGTGGTTCTGGGCGTAACATTCCGCGTGCTGGGCGCACGGGTCGTTCACGAGGCAGGGGTTGATGCAGTTTCGGTTGTGGCACGCGCGGTCGTCGGCGCAGTCGTCGTCGGATCGGCAACCAACTGGGAACCGGCAAAATAAGCAATTAGATGCCGTGAAACTCGACATCAGCAGCATTGAAACGATTTTGGGGTTTCCACGTTCCGAAATAGAACATTCTGAAGGCATTCAGAAATTTTCTGAGAAAAACGAAAATACACAAAATTTTCTCCAACTTTTTTCCAAATGCTCTTTCAAAAACAAAATCATAAAATTTGCGGCACCGATGAGAAAATCGCGGGACCTCACCTTCTCGACATCCGGTGTAAGGATGCCCTTCGTATCCCGGTTTGCACCGACACACGGCCCTATGATCGACGATGATGCAGTCCGCATTGGGACCGCACGCGCAGGGGTTCCTGCACTGCCGGTTGATGCACGCCTCCAGCGGGGGGCATTCGTCGTCCCTCACGCAGCCGGGCGGCGTCGGTACCTCCACTGAAATCAAACGGGAAACGAAACGGGTGTATTTACCGATGCCGCCGAGACCGGCCGAAACGGGTCGAGACAGGAGCGAAGGGACTCACGAGGCCGACATCGCCCGTCGTCCATCGGGACCCATCCGTCGGGACACTCGCAGATCATGGTGCGGAGGGGAAGGGTGTCGAGGACTCGACACTTGGCCGAGGAGTGGCACGGTGCCGTGACCAGGCAAGGATTCTGACACGTGCCGTCGATGCAAGCGAGTCCGGATCCGCAGTCTCCGTCCGTGACGCATTCGGGTGGTTCTCGTCCCGTGGCCGGTTCGTCGGGCACGCATCGGACCTTCGGGTCGCCGGTCGTACCAGGCGGGCAGACGCAGGACGCGGCGTGGTTGGCGACGCGGCATTCGGCTTCGGGGGCGCACGGATTCGCGTAGAAGCATGGATTCACGCATTCTCGGTTGATGCAGGCCTTGTCGTCTGGGCAGTCCCGGTTCGAGCGGCAGCCGATGATGGCGCAGTGCTGCAGGGGGTCACCAGTGGTGCCGGGCGGGCACCGGCAGGTGGCGCGATGGTTCTGCGGCACGCATTCGGCCGTCACGGCGCAGGGATCGTTGAGGAAGCACGGATTGATGCAGTTGTTGTTGTGGCAGGTCTTCGTCTGCGGGCAGTCCTCGTCTCTCTGGCATTCCACTGGAACCGTCACGATTTCATCGCTCGAGCGATTCCGATTCGGCAAAGGACCTCGTTTCGATCGAACTCGTTGCGAGGGCTCGCGCAGGGGTGTCGGAATGATTAGTCTCACGACGGGAAAGAAGGCGCGAGCGGAGATTCTTCGCCTCCGTCTAATCTTAGGCAACGTTTTCCTACCGCATTTAGGGAAACCAAAAGTCTCACTCGAGCGTTGCCACATACCGAATTTTCATCACGATGAGGCATTGCCGAAACGTCCCCAGACAAAAAATCCGCTTCGAAAAAGTGTATCGAGTCGGGGCAAAGGAAAACATTCCCGCTCGATCGTGGGAATTCCCACCTCCCCTCGCAAACGAAAGCCCCCGAACGAGTCGAACGACTCGAGCACGACACCGCGAGCAGACCGAGAGATGGCGCGAGCAGACGGAGGAAAGGAAACGTACGTGGATAGCAGCCGACGCTCGCGTCGCCGGCGAATCCGGGCCGGCACTGGCAGATGGCCCTGTGATTCACGACGCGACAGTCGGCGTTGGGTCCGCAGTTGCAGGGCGACGCGCACACGCCGTTGATGCAGGCTTCCGTCGGAGGGCACTCGTCGTCGCTCGTGCATCCCCCGACCACGGGGGGGACTGCCGTCACAAGAGTCAATTCAGTCCGGGTTCTCGTACGTTACGATTATTTTTTTAAAACATTTTTCGACCGATTGAAGCTCGGTTTAAAAATAAAAAATTCTAACGTTGAAAATGCACTATAACAAAATTTAAAATAAAATTTAAAAATAAAACAAGAAAAAGGAAATATTTGGTCAACAAGCAAAAAAACTGGATAAGTACTGAAATACGTGAAGGGAAAAATTCAACACGTAAAACAACACAAATGCAACACAAAATGAAATGGAAATAAAAAAAATGACACTCGATGATGGGATGACGATCATGCAACACATAGAACACGGATCATGCAGGCATGCAGCGACTGGTCCTACCTTGTTCGCCTTCCCTGCCCTCCGGGCTGCATCGACAGTCCCGGCAGAGCTGCCCGGAGGGGCAGTCGGAATCGTTGCGGCACGCACACTCGGAGGCTGTCGAGTGAGTGAGCAAAAAAAAAAGAACTAGGGTTAGAGAGGAAGAGGAGAGGCCGACCCGGAGCGGCCGACTTACTCGGCCTGCATTCGGAGTTTGCGTCGACGATGTGCCCGTCAGGGCAGACGCAGACGATGGTTCGCACCGGCACCGTGTCCAGGACGCGACAGCGGGCGCCTTGAGGGCAGGGTCTGAGAATGGGGCAGGGGTCGACGCATCGTTCGGAGATGCACGCGAGCCCACTGGGGCAGTCGGGGTCGGTTCGACATTCGGGGGGAGGGGCCGACCGACACTCAACGTGCGGGTCGCCAGATAGACCGGGCGGACACCGACACTGGGCGCGGTGGTCGAGGGGAACGCATTCGGCGGTCGGAGCGCAAGGGTCGTTCAGGGTGCACGGGTTCACGCATTCGCGGTCGTAGCAAGTCTTGTCGTTCGGGCATTGGTCGTCGCTGCGACAGCCCGGCAGTTCGCACCGGCGACGCGGGTCGCCGACGTGACCGGGCGGGCACCGGCAGTTCGCGTTATGGTTCAACGGGAAGCATTCCGCGTTGTAGGCGCAGGGATTTCGGACGTAGCAGGGGTTCACGCATCGTTCTCTGTGACAGGTCTTGTCCAGCGGACAGTCGCCGTCCGTCTGGCAGCCCACTGCAAACAGACAGAAATCGCTCGTGGAAATCCGCACTCGACGTCGCAGAAAAATTTTCGAGACGGAACGGCGAATTCGCGCGAGTCGTCGCTCCTCGCATCCGAATCTCAACGCGAACCGACCAAAAAAAAAAAAAACCGGATTCCCTCGTCTTCTCACCTCTGAAGCAGGCGATGTGCGGATTCCCCTGATACCCATCGTTACACTTGCAGATGGGTCTATGATTGATGACGGTGCAGAAGGCATTGACTCCGCAGTTGCAGGGATCCCGACACTGGCCGTTGATGCAAGCCAACTCGGGCGGACAAGCGTCGTCGCTCTGACATCCCTCCACCAGCGGAGCGACTGGATCGACCACAAAAGAACGTTAGAAATTCCGCTAAATACTCGGGCGCACTCGTAAAAAAAAAAAAATCCGAAAGATGTCACAAGATGCAAAGAAATCGAGAACGAAGGGTTCTGTGGTCGGCATGCATGTACGAGATGGTAGAGGCATGCAAAAATATTCCACATGCAATACGTGTGCGTGTGTGTGTGTCTCGTCGACCCTGTGGGTCCCTGCGTGGACCCACAGGGTCCACCCAGGGTCCCCGTGGATCCAGGGGCCCTCGCAGCTCCTTTTACCTGGATGACATCCGTCCAACCCGTTGCCCTCCGTGCCCGGAGGACACGAGCAGACGACGGTGTGGACGGGGCGGCTGTCCAGCACCTCGCACGAGGCCGTGTCCGCGCACGGACTCTCCGAGCAGGGATCCACGCACGTCCCGTTCCTGCACGCGTGCTTGCCGGGACAGTCCTCGTCCTCGGTGCATCTCGGTCTCTCCGGGTCTTCGGGCAGGCAGGCGACGAGGGGATTCCCCGTTCGTCCCGGGGGACAGCGGCACCGGGCCGCGTGGTCCGACGTCACGCACTCCGCATCTCGAGCGCACGGATTCTCGTACAGGCACGGATCCACGCATCGACCCGAGACGCACGCCTCGTCCGACGGGCATTCGTCGTCCGAGTCGCACCCTTGGGGCACGCACCTCGCGAGCGGATCCCCTTCCGTCCCCGGAGGGCATCTGCACTGCGCCTCGTGGTCGACCGCGTGGCACTCCGCGTTCGCGGCGCACGGCGCACCGACGGAGCAGGGGTTCGTGCACCGACTCCGGTGGCAAGTCTCATCCGAGGGACACTCGGCATCCGTCCCGCATCCCACTGAAACGCGATTCCTCCGATTAAATCGATTCGAACCAGAAAGCCGGAACGAAGGTCAAATAAAGGTTAAAATCAAGGTTAAAAAGCACCTTTGGTGCACGAAATGTGAGGCCGACCCTGATACCCCGTCTTGCACGTGCACACGGGCCGATGATCTCTCACGGTGCAGTCCGCGTTCGCACCGCAGTTGCACGGATCGACGCACCTGCCATCCACGCAGGCCTTGTCGTCCGAACACTCGGAATGACCCCCACAGCCGTCGAGCGGCGACACTGTAAACGGACGATTCCACGTTTCAACGAGTCCGTGCGAATCCAAAGAAATTCCTCGAGGGGATCGACGAACTCACCGGGCCGACAGACGTGATATCCATCGCCGACGGTTCCCTTCGGACACTGACAGACGAGGGTCCTGGTCGGTTGGGTGTCCACGACCGCGCACTCGGCCGCCGGGTGACACGGCTCGAGGACTTTGCACGGATCCCGGCAGGTCCCGTTCGTACAACCCTGCCCTCGGGGACAGTCGGCGTCGACGCGGCAGTCGGTCTCGATCGGCCGACACGCGACCAGAGGGTCCCCTTCGTGCCCCGGCGGACACCGACACCGTGCCTCGCGGTCGACCGCGACGCACTCCGCGTCCACGGCGCACGGATTCCGGTGCAGACACGGATCCACGCACCTGCCGGACACGCACACCCGTTCCGGCGGGCATTCCCGATCCGTCCGACACCCGATGTGAACGCAGCTGATGTTCGGATTTCCCACGTGATCCGGCGGGCAGCGGCACTCGCCTTCCCGCTCCACCGTCACGCACTGGGCGTTCAGTCCGCACGGTCTCAACGCGCACGGGTCGAGGCACGTCCCGTTCGCGCAAACTTCCTGCGGCGTGCAGTCTTCATCCTCCTCGCATTCCACTGCAATAATAACAAATATTATATAAAATGAAATAACGTCGTGCCGTTTCGTCACGCGTCTTCACGCAAGGCATGAACTCGAAAACTTACCATTCCGGCAAGCGATGTCGGGATTCCCCGTGCTCCCCGGCCGACAACTGCACACCGCCTTGTGGGCGACCACCGTGCACGTCGCGTTCTCGCCGCAGTTGCAAGGGTCCACGCACGCACCGTTCACGCAAGCTCGAGTCAGTTGGCAGTCTTCGTTTCGCTTGCAGTCTTCTTCTACGCTCGGAGACACTGTCGAGGAAAAAAACGCGTCAAACGGAGTTCTACTTTCCAACGATTCCCGCGGAAATTCCTTGGAATCACCGCGAACGAAACAGACGGAAAAGAGGTTCTACTCACCCGGAGTGCAGCGGATGCTCCCGTCCCCGTACGTGCCTTCGGGGCACTCGCACGACACCGTCCTCACCGGCAGCGTGTCCTTCACGGTGCACACGGCAGACGCGTCGCACGGGTCCAACGCGCCGCACGGATCCCGACAACTCCCGTCGACGCAGGAGAGTTTCGACGGGCAGTCGGCGTCCGTCCCGCAGTCCGGCCTCGACGGCGGCGGGGGACCCGGCCGACAGTGGACCGACGGGTCCCCGACGTCTCCGTCCGGACAGCGACATTGCGCCTCGTGTTCCACGACCACGCATTCCGCCGTGGAGGCGCACGGGTTCTCGTGCGTGCACGGATCCACGCATTTCCCGGAAATGCACGCCGTGTCGGCCGGGCAACCGTCGTCGTCCGAGTCGCACCCGCTCGGTCGACATCTCTCCAACGGATTCCCCTCCGATCCCTCGGGGCATCGACACACGGCCGTGTGATTCCGAGCCGAGCAGACCGCATCGAACGCGCACGGATTCCGAACGAGGCACGGATCCACGCACCGCCCGTCCGAGCACGCCGCGTCCGGGGGGCAATCCCCGTCCTCTCGGCAGCCGGCTTGCTTGCACGCGATGCTCGGGTCTCCGTCGTAGCCGGCCGGGCATCGGCACACCGGTTTGTGCCGGATCGTCGTGCAGATGGCATTCAGGCCGCAGTTGCACGGGTTGCGGCATCGATGGCCGATACAGGAATGATGGGACGGGCAATCTTTATCGGCGTTACATCCTCCTGGAACATCTAGAGAGGAAACATCAATTTGTCAAATTCTGAAATATATCAAATCAGTAACACGAGCTGGTTTGACATCGAACGATAGCTTTTTTTTTTCAAGGGATAGAAAATCAGACATTTACTTGCAATTTGACTGCATACAACAAAGGTACATTGTCGTCCATTTAATACATTCTGCATTTATTAGAGACACTATTTATTCTTTTTCTTCATGTTCATCGATTAGCGCGATAATCACCGAAGATGGAGTTCGAAGACTGACCTGGTTCCTCGCACCCGACGACTCCATCGCCCATCTTTCCCGGAGGACATTCGCAGGTGACGACCCGGACGGGTCGCGCGTCGACGACGTCGCATCGAGCCGAGGAGTGGCAGGGATTCGCCGTCAGACACGGATTCTGGCAACTGCCGTCGACGCACAAGGTCCCTCTGGGGCAGTCCTCGTCGCTCTCGCAAGCCGGTTCCACCTCCGGCACTCGACAGTCGACGAGAGGGTTGCCGACGTGCCCCGGAGGACAACGACACTGCGGTCGATGCGCTTCCGTCGTGCATTCGGCACCGGGGCCGCACGGGCTGCGATGGAGGCAGGGGTCGACGCACCGGTCGAGGATGCAGGCCGAGTCGGAGGGGCATTCGGAGTCGGAGGTGCAGCCGGTCGGACGGCATCGCACGGCCGGGTTTCCGACGTAGCCGGCGGGGCAGCGGCAGAGCGGTTCGTGGTTCGACGTGTGGCATTCGGCCGTCGAAGGGCAGGGATTCTGGGTGTCGCAGGGGTCGAGACACGTGCCGTTCAGACACGCCTGGTCCGCCTGGCATTCCGAGTTTCCGCTGCACCCAACTGAAAAGCCAAAACCTTTCCATGAGTTTCTCTTTCGCCGAGCGAAAAATCGTCTCGTTGAGAGCAGCACCGACCTGGAAGGCAGGAGATGTGAGGATTTCCTCGAAAGCCTCGAGGGCAACTGCAGTGGGGTCGATGGTCGGTCACGGAACACGAGGCATCAAGACCGCAGCTGCACGGGTCCCGGCACTCCCCACCGACGCACGCCAGGCGTGCATCGCAATCCCCATCCGATTTGCACCCTTCTGTTTCCAGGGGTTCGGCTGAGGGACACCGGCCACACATTCAAAATGGCTCTTCTCTTTAACGGGGTTTTCCTTCTCACTGGTGTGGGTGGATGTCGCCTCGCGGTGCTTGTGGGTGGATGTCGCTTCGCGGTGCTTGTGGGTGGATGTCGCCTTGCGGCGCTCGTGGATCGATTCGTGTGCTTTGAGTTTTGTTTCATGCAGGGTTGGTGTTTATGGGTCAATTCATGCCGTATGTACATGTTGCATGCTACACGATGCTACTCTGATGAGTTTGTCTACCGGTGAGAGCAGTCGCTTCGTTTCATCTGAAGTTGGGTCCGAGCAGATGCAGTCGATGAGAGGAGTGAAATGTCGGCAATCTCGGTTGTTACGTGTCAAGGTTCATGCATCAATTCTACTTACATTCGTACCGAATGTCTCAAAAACCAATACTGACACAAATGTCTTTAGCTGACGTTACGGGTCTCCGTCTTTTGAAAGAAACTGCCTCTGCAAATTGTTCCTTTTTTAAACATGAGTAAATTATTTTTAACGCTAGCATTACATGCTTACGAATTAAATTTGCCCATTTGCATTTCTCTTTTCTCAAAGTGAGGTATATCTCATGCATCACCCGATAACAAAAACGCGATGAAAAACTATAGTATGTACAGAATGAGTAAACTATGATTTCAGGCAGAATTTTCAAGGAAGACATGCGATTGTGATGTGTACATGCACAAACTACGGATGCAAAGAATACGAAAAGCACCATGCAATGCGACTCACTGGGATTGCAGGAAGTGTACCCATCCCCGATGGTCCCGGGGGGGCACTCGCATATCATGGTCCTCACGGGGAGGGTGTCGATGACGCGGCACCGCGCCGTCGGATGGCACGGATCCGCGACGACGCAAGGATTCTGGCAGCGCTCGTTGATGCAGGCCAGCCCGCTCGGACAGTCCGCGTCCGTGCGGCACTCCGGCTGGCGTTCCGGTTGGGGTAGGTGGCAGTAGGATCGTGGGTTCCCGGTGTAACCGGGTGGGCAACGGCACTGAGGCCGGTGGTTGTTCACGAAGCATTCGGCGTTCGGAGCGCATGGATTCTGATAAAGGCAAGGGTTCACGCATTGACGCGAGATGCACGCCTTGTCCAGAGGACATTCGGCGTCCGAATCGCAGCCGAAAGGCTTGCAACGGGTGAAAGGATCACCCTCGGTGCCCGGAGGGCAGCGGCATTGGGCTCGGTGGTTCAGCGGGAAGCATTCGGCAGTCAGGGCGCATGGGTTCTTCACGTAGCACGGGTTCACGCAGTTGCCGTTATGGCATGCTTTGTCTAAGGGGCAGTCGGCATCGCTCTTACAGCCGACTGAAATAATTACAAATAAAACCGTGAAACCTGCGAATTCAAAATGTTCGTGAAGAAGAAGGGAGGGAAAAATACCTTCAAAGCAGGCGATCTGAGGATTGCCTTCAAATCCATCTCGGCAGCGGCAGATCGGTCGATGGTTGATCACCGTGCAGATGGCGTTCTGCCCGCAATCACAAGGGTCCCGGCAGTATGGAGCAAAGCATGCCAGAGCCGGGGCGCAGTCCTCATCTCTAACGCAGCCAGTTGGCTTTGGAGGAGCCACTATAATCAACAGCAATTGTTCAACATGTCAATGCGAAATACTATTAAATGATTTGGGGATTTTTTTTAATTCCCTGTCCGCAACATATTTACATACCCATTCATAATCCTTAATGAAGATTTCATTTGCATATCTCACTAATAACTTTTAAAATATGACATCAGAAGCGCGTTCTCTCCGATCTCTGAATCAGGAAGTTACTTTCCTGGATGTCATCAAAACAAATAGCATTAATGAGGATAAGTATTTGCTCGGCAACGAACACCACAGCAAATGAGACTCGTGATAGGACATTTACGATGTGCGACTAACCTGGCTTGCACTCAGAGTACCCATCCCCAATGAGAGGTGGAGGACATTCGCAGATCATGGTCCTCACAGGAAGAGTGTCGATGACCCGACACACCGCCAACGCATGGCAAGGATGGAACACCCGACACGGGTTCTGGCATGTTTCCTCGATGCAGGCCAGCCCGGACGGGCATTCGGCATCCACTCGACATTCGGCCTTGGGTTGGACCGGCGGGAGGCGGCAGAGCTCTCTCGGGTTGCCGATGTACCCCTGGGGGCAGTGGCATTGGGGTCGGTGGTTGTAGACGTCGCAGATGGCGTTGGAGGCGCAGGGGTTCTGGTGGATGCAGGGGTTCACGCACTGTCGATTGATGCAGGCTTTGTCCAGAGGACATTCGTTGTCCGAGTCGCAGCCCAGAGGCTTGCAACGGGTGAAGGGATCCCCTTCCGTGCCGGGTGGACAGCGGCATTGAGCCTTGTGGTTCAGTGGATAGCACTCGGCTGTAACTGCGCAAGGGTTGTCGATGTAGCAGGGATTCACGCATTGCTTGTTGTAGCATGCCTTGTCCAGTGGACATTCTGCATCTGACTTGCAACCAACTGTGCCAGAAGAAAAAAAAATAGAATGCATGAAATGAAAGATCAATGTCAGGGAACCACCATCGACAAAAACAAGTTTACAAATTTGGTTTCAGCGTTACAACATACTTTCGTGGCAGGCAATGTTTGGGTTTCCTTCGTAGCCTGACCGGCACCTGCATATGGGTCGATGGTTCACAACCGTGCATTCGGCATTCACGCCGCAGTTGCACGGATCCCGGCATTCTCTATAAATGCAGGCCAAGTGAGATGGACATTCCGCGTCGGACGTGCAACCATCGTCCACGACTGGGGTCGCTGCAATGAACAAAAATCACATTAGAAAAAAATAAGGATATTGCGAACATCTACTTGTGTGCTTTTAAAAAAAATTAGGCATACCACACTGGGAGTATCCATCGCCTAAGGTGCCAGGTGGACATTCGCAGATCATCGTCTTCAAGGGTAGGGTGTCGATGACTCTGCAATGTGCGGATGGGTGGCAAGGCTTGAACACGGTGCAAGGATTCTGGCACCTCTCGTCGATGCAGGCCAATCCTCTTGGGCAGTCTGCATCCTGTCTGCACTCTGGCTCGGGTTCTCTGGGTGGTACTTCGCAATATTCTCTGGGATTCCCAATGAGACCTGGAGGGCATCGACACTGTGGTCGATGGTTTTGGACGAAGCATTCAGCGTTAGAAGCGCAGGGATTCTGATAGAGGCAGGGGTTCACGCATTGCCTCGAGATGCATGCTTTGTCCAATGGACATTCGTTGTCCGAGTCACATCCTTCTGGGATGCATCTTTTGAATGGGTCTCCCTCGAAGCCAGGAGGACAGCGGCAGTAGGCTTTGTGATAGGATACATAACATTCTGCGTTGAGAACACAGGGGTTCTGAATGTAACACGGGTTGATGCATTGCCGATTGAAGCATGCCTTGTCGAGGGGGCACTCGTCATCACTCCTGCATCCACCTACAACAGACGCTGACTGTTATTCGAGCACAGGGCTACTAAGGACATGATTAAATGAAAAAAAATCATACTCGGATGACAAGCGATTTTCGGGTTTCCTTCAAAACCAGGCAGACACTTGCAGATGGGCCTGTGGTTGACGACATCACAGACTGCATTATGGCCACAGTTGCAGGGGTCTCGACATTCTCCACTGATGCAAGCCAAGTGTGAGGGGCATTCATCATCTGAACGACATCCTTTTTCCTTCGGAGGCACCACTAAGAGAGGAGACAAAGAAAGGCCTTTCAATTAACTCCTTATTCGCCGAGTGTATTTGAATCTAGAGAAAGAAAGGAGGAAAAACTCACAGCACTGTGAATACCCATTGCCAAGGGTACCGGGTGGGCACTCGCAAATAATTGTCTTAACAGGAAGGGTCTCGATGACTCGGCAATGGGCTGAGGGGTGACATGGGTTCAGGATCGAGCATGGATTCTGGCATCTTTCATTAATGCAGGCCAATCCTCTCGGACAATCGGCATCTTGTCTGCATTCTGGCTCTGGCTCTCTAGGTAGTAGTTGACAATATTGTCTTGGATTGCCGATATAGCCTTCTGGACATCGACACTGAGGTCGGTGATTGAGAACAAAGCACTCGGCATTGGGAGCGCAGGGATTCTGATAGAGACAGGGGTTCACACATTGCCTTGAAACGCAGGCCTTGTCCAAAGGACATTCATTATCAGAGTCGCAGCCCAGAGGGAGACAGTTCTTATATGGATCCCCTTCAAAACCAGCAGGACATCTGCATTCTGCTCGATGATTGACTCCGAAGCAAATGGCGTTTGCAGCGCACGGATTGCCCAGGAGACAGGGGTCGATGCATTGGCGATTGTAACAGGTCTTGTCATACGGGCATTCTGCATTTGATTTGCATCCACCTACATCAAGATTCAAATTGAGTAATAAATTAGAATTTTATACCAAGAAGCCTTTCACATGCTGAATTATTCATTTGATTGCAGGACTCACTCTCTTCGCATCTGATTTGTGGGTTACCCTCATATCCCGGCTTGCATTTGCATATCGGTCGGTGATTAATCACCTCACAGACAGCATTGACACCACAGTTGCAAGGGTCCCTACATTGACGATTGATGCAGGCGAGATGGGTAGGACATTCCTCGTCTGAAGTGCAGCCCTCTTTTACAACTGGTGCGACTGAATATGACAAAAGAAATGTTCAGCACTAATATGTTATTGGACAAAACGCGATTCTCAAGACAGGGAAACTCACCACATGCAGAGTAGCCATCTCCGATTTGCCCAGGTGGACACTCACAGATCATGGTCTTGACAGGCAGAGTTTCTAAAACTCTGCAGAGAGCTGTTGGATGGCAGGGATTCAAGACCGTGCAGGGATTCTGGCATCTCTCGTCAATGCAGGCCAAACCTCTTGAACAATCAGCATCTTGTCTACATTCAGGCTCTGGCTCCCGTGGTGGTACCTCACAATATTCCCTGGGATTCCCAATGAGGCCAGAGGGGCATCGGCATTGAGGACGGTGATTGAGGACAAAGCATTCTGCATTTGGAGCACAGGGATTCTGGTAGAGGCAGGGATTCACGCATTGCCTCGAAATGCATGCTTTGTCTAATGGACATTCATTATCCGAGTCACAGCCCTCTGGTACGCATCTTGTGAATGGATCTCCTTCAAATCCGGGAGGACATCTGCATTGAGCCTTATGATTCAGTGGATAGCATTCTGCATTAGGGGCACACGGGTTCTGGATATAGCAAGGGTTTATGCATTGTTTCTGGTAGCAAGTCTTGTCTAGCGGGCACTCCGTATCACTCTTGCAGCCAACTGGAAAAAAATGACTCATTCTGAAAATAATCACACCTATGCACAAACCGCTTGAGGAAAGTAGCACTCACTTTCTTCACATCTGATGTTAGGATTGCCTTCATATCCAACCTTACACCTGCATATTGGTCGATGATTGATCACCTGACAGTCAGCATTCTCTCCACAGTTGCACGGATCCTGACACTTTCGATTAATACAGGCAAGATGTGATGGACACTCTTGATCTGACTTACAACCTTCATCGACCACAGGAAGTACTGTAAGAGAGAATGGGACCTCTTTGATCACAATCAACATTGTCATTAAAATTTTGAGACATGTTTCATGAATCAAAAGACTGAAAGGAAACAGGGGAGCAGTGAACAACATACCACACTGAGTGTAGCCAGTGCCGATTGTTCCAGGTGGGCATTCACAGACCATTGTCTTCACAGGAAGAGTCTCAATCACTCTGCAGTAGGCAGATGGGTGGCAAGGATTGAAAACTGTGCAAGGATTCTGACATCTTTCATCGATGCAGGCTAATCCCCTGGGACACTCGGCATCTGTGCGACATTCAGGCTCTGGTTCTCTAGGTGGAACCTGACAGTATTCCCTTGGATTACCCTCAGTTCCAGGTGGGCATCGGCATTGTGGTCGATGGTTTTGGACGAAGCATTCAGCTGTGGATGCACAGGGATTCTGATACAGGCAGGGGTTCAAGCATTGCCTCGAAATGCATGCTTTGTCCAGTGGGCATTCGTTATCTGAGTCACAGCCTTCTGGAATGCATCTTGTGAATGGATCCCCTTCATAGCCAGGAGGACATCTACATTGAGCCTTGTGATTGAGTGGGTAACATTCTGCATTCGGGGCACATGGATTTTGAAGGTAACAGGGATTGAGGCACTGCTTCTGGTAGCATGTCTTGTCCAATGGACATTCTGCATCACTCTTGCAGCCAACTGAAAAATAATTTTAAATTATGGCATAGTTGCTTTGGAAAGCATTACTGTATCTGCAAGTCAGGGAAGAAGCACTCACTTTCTTCGCATCTGACGTTTGGATTGCCAGTATATCCGGTCCGACACTTGCAAATCGGTCGGTGATTAACTACTTCGCAGATTGCATTGACGCCACAGTTGCAAGGATCTCGACACTCTCGATTGATGCAAGCAAGATGAGAAGGGCATTCCAAATCTGATTTGCAGCCCTTATCCTCCACAGGTAGCTCTGGGGGTGAGATGAGAGAAATGTATTGCATTATCTTTGGAAGGCATGCCACATTTTTTTACCACAGGTAGCAATATGCTTAATTCGGTTTCCATTACCATTATGAAAAATGTCTCTCTCGTTTTAAATTAAATCAGATAAACTGTTTCTTAGTGGTGCAAAAATATCATACCTTAATGTAGTCAAAATTGTTACATTTTTGCTGATATGTTTCGTCACAGAAATGCCTTTCTGCGAAATCAAGCAGGGAATACTTTTCAGTTTCATTACAGCATATATTTATAATTGTCTAATTATAAATTTCAGAAAGGGTATAATAGTGGACTAACAACACAATATTGTGGAGCTTTTTTGTGAAGAGATTGAAACTCATCGAGACATACTTATACATAGATCCACTTTACAATAACAGGGAAGAAACTTACTGCATTCTGAATATCCATCTCCAATCGTTCCTGGAGGGCATTCACAGGTCATTGTTTTTATGGGTAAGGTCTCAATCACCCTGCAATACGCTGTTGGATGGCAAGGATTGAATGCTTGACATGGATTTTGACATCTTTCATCAATGCAGGCCAGCCCTCTTGGGCATTCGGCATCCGTCCGACACTCAGGTTCTGGTTCTCTGGGTGGAACTTGACAGTATTCCCTTGGATTACCTTCAGTTCCAGGTGGGCATCGGCATTGTGGTCGATGGTTTTGGACAAAGCATTCAGCTGTGGATGCGCAGGGATTCTGATACAGGCAGGGGTTCAAGCATTGCCTCGAAATGCATGCTTTGTCCAGTGGGCATTCGTTATCTGAGTCACAGCCTTCTGGGATGCATCTTGTGAATGGGTCTCCTTCATAGCCAGGAGGACATCTACATTGAGCCTTGTGATTAAGTGGATAGCATTCTGCATTTGGAGCACATGGATTTTGGATGTAACAGGGATTGATGCATTGCTTCTGGTAGCAAGTCTTGTCCAATGGACATTCTGCGTCACTCTTGCAACCAACTGAGAGGGACAAATAAAGAGGACCATATAAAATGATCACGGAGGTGAAAATGGGCTAGTAGGAGATTCCAGGAGGACAGAAGGACTTACTTTCTTCACATCTAATATTGGGATTCCCTTCGTAGCCTTGCCTGCAGCGACATATAGGTCGGTGATTGATGACCTGGCAGATTGCATTGACTCCACAGTTGCACGGGTCTCTGCATTCCCGGTTGATGCAAGCCAGATGAGTAGGACATTCATAGTCACTCCTGCAACCTTCCTCTTTTACAGGAGCAACTGAAATTTCGATCCCAATCATTAGTTGTGAGTTGATTGAAACAGGTGTTAAATCCTTATAGATTATGAAGACAATTCCATTCCGATTTTAAAAAATATATAATTTCGATGACAAATTAATATTGACCCGATCTACATCCACTCCAATATCTTCAGGATAGCTTTTAATTCTGACATGCAGTGAAATTCAAGATTTTTCTCATTATTTTCAGAAAGTTCCATTTTTAGTTGTCTTAAGACAGGAAAACAAGATTCTCATGAAAGTCTGAAAGAATTTACAAAAGAAATGTCAGTACCATAAAGGCATTAACTCACCGCATGGAGAGTATCCATTACCAAGGGTACCAGGTGGGCATTCACAGATAAGCGTCTTCACTGGCAGAGTCTCCAAGACCCTACAAAGGGCTGACGGATGACAAGGATTAAGGACAGCGCATGGGTTCTGACATCTTTCATCGATGCAGGCCAAGCCTCTGGGGCATTCCGCATCTGTGCGACATTCTGGCCTTGGCTCTCTGGGTGGCAGCTGACAGTATTCCCTGGCGTTCCCAATGAAACCTTGAGGACATCGGCATTGTGGTCGATGATTGAGGACAAAGCATTCGGCATTGGCAGCACAGGGATTCTGGTAAAGGCAGGGGTTGACACACTGCCTTGAAATGCAAGCCTTATCCAACGAGCATTCGCTGTCCGAGTCACAGCCCTCTGGGATGCATAGTCTTAATGGGTCGCCTTCATACCCAGGAGGACATCTACATTCGGCCTTGTGATTGAGTGGGTAGCATTCTGCATTTACAGCGCAAGGATTGTGGATGTAACAAGGGTTGATGCATTGCTTGTTGTAGCAGGTCTTGTCTAAGGGACACTCTGCATCACTCTTGCATCCAACTGTGATAAACAACATATTTTCCAAATGAATAAAGAGGAATCATGGAATTCACAGCGTAATCGAATCTTATAGATAACTCACTTTCTTCACATCGGATGTTAGGATTTCCCTCATACCCAGTCTTGCATCGACATATAGGTCGATGGTTGATAACCTGGCATTCAGCGTTGACACCACAGTTGCATGGATCTCGACATTCCCGATTTATGCATGCCAAATGGTTGGGGCATTCCTGATCAGATTTGCATCCCTCCTCTACAACTGGCCGTTCTAGTACGCATAAAGAGAGAATATTAAAAATATCTGTTTTTCATTGTTACCTTTAAAATAATTGTAAAGCGACAAATAGAAACAAGATCAAACACTTACGACATTGAGAATAACCGTCTCCAATAGTACCAGGGGGACATTCACAGGTAATGGTCTTCACAGGGAGTGTTTCAATTACTCTGCACAGAGCAGTTGGATGGCAAGGATTCAGCACTCTGCAGGGATTCTGACAGGTTTCATCAATGCAAGCGTATCCTGTTGGGCAGTCTGCATCTTTGCGGCATTCTGGTTCTGGTTCTCTTGGAGGCAATTCACAATATTGTCTTGGATTGCCAATAAGTCCTTGCGGACAGCGGCACTGAGGTCGATGATTAAGAACGAAGCATTCCGCATTTGGAGCGCAAGGATTCTGATAAAGGCAGGGATTCACGCATTGTCTGGAGATGCAAGCTTTGTCTAATGGACATTCATTGTCCGAATCGCACCCTTCAGGAATGCATCGGGTGAATGGATCTCCTTCAAACCCAGGAGGACATCTACATTGCGCCTTATGATTGAGAGGATAGCATTCTGCATTTGGAGCACATGGATTTTGAATGTGACAAGGATTGATGCATTGTTTCTGGTAGCACGTCTTGTCCAGGGGACACTCTGCATCACTCTTGCAGCCAACTGGAAGAAAATTGCACTGATTATGTTTCTTTTTCTCACAGATAAACATGTTAGTTTCAGCTACATCACTACATTTCCTCTACTATGTATGCACCATATCAGTAAAGTATATGCTTTAGTTGCATTCACTCCTTTAGATCGATGATTGGCTGTAATTCTCATGAGTTAAACTACAAAATTCCCCTGACATCGAGTTTTTCTGAATGTATAAATCGGGATTTATAGTAGAGTGACTTACTTTCTTCGCATCTGAGGTTTGGATTTCCTTCGTATCCACGCTTGCACTTGCAGATTGGTCGATGATTAATGACTTCACAATCGGCATTCACTCCGCAGTTACATGGATCTCGACATTCCCGATTGATACAGGCAAGATGCTGCGGGCACTCTGAATCTGACTTGCAGCCCTCTTCCCTCACTGGCACTGGAAGGATAATGTTCCTGATGAGTTTCCTGGAAAAGGTAAGAAATTCAGGCTGAGAGTCCTAAATGCCATGTACTTACCACATTGAGAGTATCCATTCCCGATGGTTCCTGGTGGGCATTCGCATATCAAAGTCTTAACCGGTAGGGTTTCCAAGACGCTACAGTATGCGGAGGGATGGCAGGGGTTGAGGATTGTACATGGGTTCTGGCATCTTTCATCTATGCAAGCTAATCCCCTTGGGCAGTCTGCATCTCTTCTACATTCTGGCTCAGGTTCCCTTGGCGGAATATGACAATATTCCCTCGGATTTCCGATATATCCTTGGAAGCATCGGCACTGTGGTCGATGGTTGAGGACGAAGCACTCAGCGTTGCTAGCGCAAGGATTTTGGTAGAGGCAAGGGTTTACACATTGCCTCGAGATGCATGCTTTGTCCAGGGGGCATTCGTTATCTGAATCACAGCCTTCTGGAATGCATCTTGTAAATGGATCTCCTTCAAATCCAGGAGGACATCGGCACTGAGCCTTGTGGTTGAGAGGATAGCATTCTGCATTTGGTGCACATGGATTCTGGACGTAGCAAGGATTGATGCACTGCTTTTGGTAGCAAGTCTTATCCAAGGGACACTCTGCATCGCTCTTGCAGCCAACTATCAGAAACACGCACAATGTGTTTTAGTATGAATACGGAATTCAGTTAAGCAGCACTATTTATTATAAAATTTCATCTTCTGAATGTACTCTACTAACCAAATCCTATTTTCAGGGAAGGAAATACACATGGTATACGATAAAACGAATCTGAAATTCGTGAGGAAGTACTCCCCCCTCCATTTTTTCTCATTCAGGCAGAGAACTCTTTCTTTTCGAAACCGTATGGTACTGTCAAGGTTCATGAAAGGTAGCACAGAAAAGAAGATCCTGCTCACTTTCTTCGCATCGAATGTTGGGGTTCCCCTCAAACCCTGTTCGGCAGCGGCAGATGGGTCGGTGGTTAACCACCTGGCATTCAGCATTAATACCACAGTTGCAGGGATCTCGGCATTCTCTATTGATGCAGGCCAGGTGCTGCGGACATTCACTGTCAGATTTGCAGCCCTCCTCGACTGGGTATTCTGAAGAGGAAGAAACTCATACATGACCCAATCTGATAAAAGGAACGGTTTTTCAAAACGTAGAGTATCCTAGAAGTTAATTAAAGTACACAATGTGAAGTGCACAAAAGGAAAATGTTGAGACTTTTTGAGATTACGAAAGCATAGACACGGCATAAACGGAACAGCTCACCACATTGCGAATATCCATTTCCAATTGTTCCTGGAGGACATTCACATGTCATCGTCTTAATGGGAAGAGTTTCCAAGACCCTACAATATGCTGATGGGTGGCATGGGCTTAGTACATGACACGGATTCTGGCAACTTTCATCAATACATGCAAGACCTCTAGGGCATTCAGCATCTGTCCTGCATTCTGGTTCTGGCTCTCTTGGTGGAACTTGGCAGTACTCCCTTGGGTTGCCCACAGTCCCAGTTGGACATCGGCATTGTGGTCGGTGATTGAGGACAAAGCACTCGGCATTAGGCGCACATGGATTCTGATAGAGGCAGGGATTCACGCATTGCCTTGAAATGCATGCTTTGTCTAATGGGCATTCATTGTCCGAGTCACAGCCTTCTGGGATGCATCGTCTTAATGGGTCTCCTTCGAAGCCGGGGGGACATCTGCATTGAGCCTTGTGATTGAGCGGGTAGCATTCTGCATTCACAGCACATGGATTTTGGATGTAGCAGGGATTGAGACACTGCTTCTGGTAGCAGGCCTTATCCGAGGGGCACTCCGCATCACTCTTGCATCCAACTGACAAATAAGAACAATATTTACACTTGTTCGACCCTGGAACAAGCCGGGGGCGAAGTGAAGATTCCTGTTAACTTACTCTCTTCGCATCTAATGTTAGGATTTCCTTCATAACCTGTCTTGCACCGACAGATTGGGCGATGGTTGATGACCTGACATATGGCATTCACTCCGCAGTTGCAGGGGTCTCTACAATCACGGTTAATGCAGGCGAGATGTTGGAGGCAGTCAGCATCGCTGCGGCAACCTTCTTGTCTTTCTGGTGCCACTGGAGGTCAATCATGGAAAGGAATGATCATTTGCGACATTGCCCATCTGTGATAATTTTTAAAATGCTGTTCTAACTAGATTCTGAGCCTCTAAATGCAAGAAGCCATCTTCGCTGACTACAATGACTAAGAGTTCTTGTTTTTTCTTCTTCCAGGAAATTAGACGTTGAAATAAGAAGATAACTTGAGACAGATGAGATTCATACAATCGTTGCAATATTTATCTCATTTCCTTGGATGAAAACTAGTCACCTAAAAACGATCTCTTATTAATGTCTTTATTTTCTCAAGTTACTGTCATTTATTTACTCCCAAACTTTCCTCTTTTTTCCACGAAAATATGTCGAAGGCGATAGCTCAATTCTTTCAGGTAGTGGGTCTATTGCCATTGGTACAGATATCGTTTCGTCTGTTCTGATACAAATCAAAGTTCCATTCTGGGTTCAACGCTCATACCTGAGTGAAACTTACTATTGAATAAGGGTCCTACCTTAAATAAGTCGATTATCATGGGCATCCATATGTATTAAGTGCCATGGATATGAAAAAAAGTGGTCTTCTTCCTATGCTCATTGAAATTTCCTCGTTTCCATCAAGGTACATTTACCTCTGGTCTTTCAAGTAAGGAGAATCGCTGGTATGACAAAAAGGCTCGGAATCAAGTCAGATTTGGAGATTGAGAGTCCTACTGAAATAATGTTTCATGCATGAGAGGAGAGGTGTCAAGCATGGGGTTTGCATGCAGGATATGGGCAATGACGTATGTGGGTATGATTGTCCATTCTCAGATATTTCTCACCTTGTCCTGTGTCTAGATGGTGACCATGTCCAGACTTACCACAGTTGATACCTAGATGTGTTTCATGGATATAAGACCGCCATGAGACTATTCAATTTTGATAAATAGTTACAGTACATGTGCAGAGTAATGCATCCAAATAAAAATTCGGAGTTGCTCTGATGCTGTCAAAAATGAGTGCCGAAATAAATGCATACTTTCCAAAGCTCCTGAAATGCAGACACCCAGACCACGACGAATCTTACCACATTGTGTATATCCGTCCCCGCTGGTGCCGATAGGACACTTGCACACCATGGTTTTTACAGGAAGCGTATCAACCACTTCACACATGGCTGAAGGATGGCAGGGATTCAATAAGCGGCAAGGATTCTGGCAACGCTCATTTATGCATGCCAGTCCCTTTCCACAGTCAGCATCTTGTCTGCATTCTGGTTCTGGTTCCCTTGGAGGCAGTTCGCAATATTGTCTTGGATTGCCAATGTAACCTTGAGGACATCTGCACTGTGGGCGATGGTTGACGACGAAACATTCGGCATTCGGAGCGCAGGGATCCTGATAGAGGCAGGGATCGACGCACTGCCTTGAGATGCATGCTTTGTCCAGTGGGCACTCATTGTCCGAGTCACAGCCTTCTGGGATGCATCTTGTGAATGGATCCCCTTCAAATCCAGGAGGACATCTACATTGAGCCTTATGATTGAGTGGATAACATTCGGCATTCACAGCGCATGGGTTCTTGATGTAGCATGGGTTGATGCATTGCTTCTGGTGGCATGTCTGGTCCAGAGGACACTCAGCATCACTTTTGCAGCCAGCTATAAAGGTAAAAATAGATACACAGAAAGGTTGAAGTCGTCTCGGCGATTTGGGTTTCCTGATGAAGGAAAGAAAATCACTACTCACCTTCCTCACACCTAATGTTAGGATTCCCTTCATAGCCAGGTCTACATCTACAGAATGGCCGATGATTAATGACTTGGCAAACAGCATTAACGCCACAATCACACGGATCACGGCACTCTCTATTGATACAAGCCAGGTGCGAAGGACACTCCTCGTGGGATTTGCAGCCTTCCTCTACCGGCAGCTCTGAAAGAAATAGTAAATGGCATTAAATCACATCTTTCACATTATCATTTCCACAGAGTGATCAAGTACTTGTCATATCATATTTTACATCTACAGGTATTATTCACATTTATTTAATTTCATTTTGAACTTACACAGCTTGCCTCATAAACAGCTGAAGACGAAACCCTTCAATGATTCAGAGTGAATCTGGTAGAAAGGCTAAAACAGTGAACAACGTCACTATCCACTAATACTCACCACACTTTGAATAACCATCTCCGATCAGACCAGCAGGACACTGACAAGTGGTAGTCTTCACAGGCAATGTATCAATGACGATGCACAATGCAGATGGATGGCATGGACGTAGGACATTGCATGGGTTTTGGCATCTCTCATCAATGCAAGCTAAACCTCGAGGACAGTCAGCATCTTGTCTACACTCAGGCTCTGGCTCTCTAGGGGGTATTTCACAGGAATGCCGTGGGTTGCCAATGTATCCCTGTGGACATCGGCACTGAGGTCTGTGGTTCAGGACAAAGCATTCTGCATTTGGAGCACAGGGATCTTGGTAGAGGCAAGGGTTCACACATTGCCTCGAGATGCATGCTTTGTCTAATGGGCATTCACTGTCCGAGTCACAGCCTTCTGGGATGCATCGTCTTAATGGGTCTCCTTCGAAGCCGGGGGGACATCTACATTGAGCCCTGTGATTCAGAGGGTAGCATTCTGCATTAGGAGCGCATGGGTTCTTGATGTAGCATGGATTGATGCACTGCTTCTGGTGGCACGTCTTGTCCAGGGGGCACTCTGCATCATTCTTGCAGCCAACTGAAATGGATGGTGGACATCAAAATTCATGCCAAGAAATGGATTATCAATGCTTACATGCTGCCTGTTTTTTTACTTTTAATAGCTCCAGGGTTTCATAAAGTTTTAAGAGGGATCAGGATAGTCTCACAATGATTAAGAACATTTCCTATGTAATGCCTCACACTGAAAAACCATTCAAATGCAGGGTTCCTTAGCAGTATAAGTACTTCATGGATAATAGAATCCATCTTTATTGCGCAGCTTTTTCCAACTATTTTGCTCTTGTTTTTACTGAGTATTAGACCAAATTAATTTCAAATAAATGACAAATTGGAGTCTCAATTTTCTTTGCAATGCGATCAATAGGTAATCAGTAATATTCATGAATTCTGAAAGCTTAACTGAAACCAGTTTCAGTAAAGAAATCACGAAGAAGGAATAGTCGACTCACTTTCTTCACATTTGATATTAGGATTTCCTTCGTAACCTGTCTGACATCTACATATCGGCCGATGTCTGATAACTTGGCATATGGCATTAACACCACAGTTACACGGGTCACGGCATTCACGGTTGATGCACGCGAGGTGTTGTGGACATTCTTCATCAGATTTACATCCTTCATCGACTGGAATGGCTATTGAGAAACAAAATACAAGTCAAACATTGATATGCCATACTGTACAAAATTAAAGCAAGATATGCGGAGAAGTGCACATAGTTCAATGTCAACAAATAACTAGAACCCACCACATTGAGAGTAGCCATTTCCTATGGTGCCTGGAGGACATTCACATGTCAGAGACTTCACCGGAAGAGTTTCAGTGACCCTACAAATTGCTGACGGATGACAAGGATTCTGCACAAGGCAGGGATCCTGACAACGCTCATCAATGCAGACGTAGCCTCTCGGACAGTCAGCATCTTGACGACATTCAGGCTCTGGTTCTCTAGGGGGCAATTGACAGTATTCCCTGGCGTTCCCAATGTAGCCCTGAGGACACCTGCACTGAGGCCTGTGGCTAAGGACGAAGCATTCTGCATTCGGAGCGCAAGGGTTCTGATAGAGGCAGGGATTAACGCATTGTCTCGAAATGCATGCTTTGTCTAATGGGCATTCATTGTCCGAGTCACAGCCTTCTGGTACGCATCTTGTGAATGGATCTCCTTCAAATCCGGGAGGACATCTGCATTGAGCCTTGTGATTCAGCGGATAGCATTCTGCATTAGGGGCACACGGGTTCTGGATATAGCAAGGGTTTATGCATTGTTTCTGGTAGCATGTTTTGTCTAGCGGGCACTCTGCATCGCTCTTGCAACCAGCTGTGAGAAAAACCAACAAAACACAATATTAAAGCACTCACCGCATAAGAACAGCATTTTAAGAACTGAAAAAAAAACAATGTGGAAATTTCAGCTCACCTAGTTCACATCTGATGTTGGCATTGCCTTCATATCCAGTCTTACATCTGCAGATTGGACGATGGTTGATGACTTGGCATTCCGCATTGACGCCACAGTTACAAGGATCTCGACAGTCTCTGTTTATGCAAGCAAGATGGGTAGGGCATTCTAGGTCTGACTTGCAACCAGGCTCTTTTGCGGGAAGTTCTGAAAGTGAAAAAAAAGTTCATATCAATGCCTCATGGAATCTGGATAACAATCGCACTCGAAGCGGAGTGACTCCTGGAATGGATGATAAACTCACCGCATTGTGAATAACCATCTCCAATCGTTCCAGGAGGACATTCACAGATCATGGTCTTGATGGGTAATGTATCCACCACTTTGCAATGTGCTGAAGGATGACATGGATTCAGCACTCGACAGGGATTTTGGCAAGTTTCATCAAGACAAGCAAGCCCGCTGGGACAATCGGCATCTGTACGACATTCAGGTTCTGGTTCTCTCGGAGGCACTTCACAATATTGCCTGGGATTACCAATGTAGCCCTGAGGACATCTGCACTGAGGCCTGTGGCTAAGGACGAAGCATTCTGCATTCGGAGCGCAAGGGTTCTGATAGAGGCAGGGATTAACGCATTGTCTCGAGATGCATGCTTTGTCTAATGGACATTCATTGTCCGAGTCACAGCCTTCTGGTATGCATCTTGTGAATGGGTCTCCTTCAAATCCGGGAGGACATCTGCATTGAGCCTTGTGATTCAGCGGATAGCATTCTGCATTTGGAGCACATGGATTTTGGATGTGACATGGGTTAATGCACTGCTTCTGATAGCAGGCTTTGTCCAGGGGGCACTCTGCATCACTCTTGCAGCCACCTAGAAAATCATTTAAATAAAGCTCAGTGAATAACTTGATTTAGGTCAAAAATACATTTTCATATGAGATCAAAATATTTAAACCATTCAAAAATTCCAGGATTTGGAAAACCAAAATGAAAGCTTATCTTCATTTGATTAATTGAGTAATCATATGTCCCACAAAAGCAACTGGAGTCAATTGAGGAACTCACTCTCTTCACATCTAATGTTGGGATTTCCCTCATATCCTGTCTTGCATCGGCATATGGGTCGATGGCTGATGACTTGACAAACGGCATTGACTCCACAGTTGCAAGGATCGCGACAATCCCCATGAATGCAGGCCAGATGAATTGGGCATTCTGAATCGGACTTACACCCCTTATCTTCTACTGGATAAACTGAAAGCCACAAATAACTTTTTAGGTCAATATATGTAAATATAACCTTAAAATATGTGCAATGAACAGCCTTGCGGAAGATTACTCACCACATTCAGAATATCCGTCTCCAATTGCTCCAGGAGGACATTCACAGGTCAGAGTTTTGATGGGCAAAATATCAACCACACGGCATATAGCAGTTGCATGGCAAGGATTCAGCAGATGACAAGGATCCTGACATGAGTTATCAATGCAAGCTAATCTTTTTGGACAGTCTGCATCCGTTCTGCACTCTGGTTCTGGCTCCCTTGGAGGCAATTGACAATAACGTGTGGGATCTCCAATATAGCCTTGAGGGCATCTGCACTGTGATCGGTGGTTGAGCACAAAACACTCAGCATTAGGCGCACATGGATTCTGATAGAGGCAGGGATTAACGCATTGCCTCGAGATGCATGCTTTATCTAATGGGCATTCGCTGTCCGAGTCACAGCCCTCTGGGATGCATCTTGTGAATGGATCCCCTTCAAAACCAGGAGGACATCTGCATTGTGCCTTGTGATTGAGCGGATAGCATTCTGCATTAGGTGCACACGGGTTCTGGATATAGCAAGGATTAATGCATTGTTTCTGGTAGCAAGTCTTGTCAAGAGGACAGTCATAGTCACTCTTACACCCAACTGCAAAAGAGTAAAATGCAACACAAAATGTGAATTCATGGAAATCTCTCACGATCAGGAGCATCAATAAAGATCCCACTGCATGCGAATAAAGGCAATATTTAAAAAATTGCGAGAACTTACTCTCTTCGCAATGAATTTGTGGATTGCCCTCATAACCAGTCTTGCACCTGCAGATGGGACGGTGATTGATCACTTGACAGATGGCATTCGCTCCACAATTGCATGGATCCCGGCATTCCCGATTTATACAAGCCAAATGTAACGGGCAGTCATTGTTCGTCTTACAGCCTTCATCTACTTTGGGTGTTTCTGAAAAAGCAACGGGAGAAATGCTCCATGCATGTAACAACGAAAGATCACTTGAAAACAGGTATCTATGTTAAATATGTAAATGATTTCATGCTTACGACATGCGGTGTATCCATCTCCGATTGTGCCAGGAGGGCATTGACAAGTCATGGTCCTTATTGGCAAGGTGTCTATGACTTGGCAATGTGCCGAGGGATGACATGGATTGAAAACTTTGCAAGGGTTTTGACACGTCAGATCAATGCAGGCCAAGCCTCTAGGGCAGTCGGGATCTGTACGGCATTCAGGTTCTGGTTCTCTTGGAGGAAGTTCGCAATATTGCCTGGGATTACCAATGTAACCTTGAGGGCATCTGCACTGTGGTCGGTGGCTGATAACGAAGCACTCGGCATTTGGAGCGCAGGGATCTTGGTAAAGGCAGGGGTTCACGCATTGCCTTGATATGCATGCTTTATCTAATGGGCATTCGTTATCTGAGTCACAGCCTTCTGGAATGCATTTTCTGAATGGATCTCCTTCAAAGCCAGGAGGACATCTGCAATTAGCCTTGTGATTGAGAGGGTAGCATTCTGCATTTGGAGCACATGGATTTTTAATGTAGCAGGGGTCAATGCACTCCTTGTGGTAGCACGTCTTGTCAAGTGGACACTCAGCGTCGCTCTTGCACCCAACTGTAACACAGAATGACGTTCACATGAAGAGATGTAGTTCATGGAAGTGATACTCGATCTGGCAAGGTTTGGAAAATTCAACTTACTCTCTTCACATCTTATGTTTGGATTTCCACCATAGCCAGGCTGGCATCGACAAATGGGCCGATGGCGGATTACCTGGCAGATCGCATTAATACCACAGTTACAAGGGTCTTTGCATTCTCTGTTAATACATGCCAAATGCAGTGGGCATTCCTGATCGGACTTGCAGCCTTCTTCAACTGGAACATCTAAAATAAAGAACGAAAATTAACTCAATATTCAACAACTAGAATTAAAGCGATGCTTCGTGGAAAAGGCAAATGCCCCGGTAATCTGCGAAAGTATGAAAATTCCAACTTACGGCATTGACTATAGCCATCGCCAATAGTTCCAACTGGGCATTCGCAATGCATGGATTTGATGGGGAGGCTGTTGATGACCCGACAAATGGCCGAAGGGTGGCAGGGATTAAATACGTTGCAGGGATTCTGACAGTGCTCATCTATGCAAGCCAGATCCCCTGGGCAATCTGCATCTCGGCGGCATTCCGGCTCCGGTTCCTTGGGTGGCAACTGACAGTATTCTCTAGGGTTCCCAACGTATCCCTGAGGGCAGCGGCACTGAGGGCGGTGAGTGAGGACAAAGCACTCTGCATTGGGAGCGCAGGGATCTTGGTAGAGGCAGGGGTTCACGCATTGCCTAGAGATGCAGGCTTTGTCCAGTGGGCATTCACTGTCCGAGTCACAGCCTTCTGGGATGCATCTTGTGAATGGATCTCCTTCAAAGCCAGGAGGACATCTGCACTGAGCCTTGTGGTTGAGAGGATAGCATTCTGCATTCCCAGCACAAGGGTTGTGGATGTAACAAGGATTGATGCATTGCTTTTGGTAGCACGTCTTGTCCAGTGGACACTCCGCGTCACTCTTGCAACCACCTGAAATGGGTTTCATTACCTCACTGCCAAACGAAAAAAAAAGTTTGTTACTTTAGGTTCAAGGAATCCAATTACTCACTCTCTTCACAAGCAATCTGAGGATTCCCTTCGTAACCAGTCTTGCATCTGCAGATTGGCCTATGATGGAGGACCTTGCACTCTGCATTCAGACCGCAGTTGCACGGATCTCTGCAATCGCGATTGATGCATGCCAGTTGCAGCGGACAGTCAGCATCCGACTTGCAGCCGTCATCCTCTTCAGGCTCCACTACAATGGTGGACATAGCGCATGATGACTCTCGGCTTCGTGTGATGCATGATGACTCTCGGCTTCGTGTGAGGACAGTGTCCAGTTCCGTTGTGTGTCACTTGGCAGTGGCACCTGTGGGCTGGATCTGATCTCTGGCTTACCTTGTGAGTCATGGGGTGTTGTGCTATGGGATCCCTGGTTTTTCTGCTCGTTTCTGAGTGCTTGTTCATGCATGCCGAGGAACTTTGATCATGTTTGGACGACTAATTTCATGCAGGTGTAATGGAAAGACAGGGTTCTCAAGTCTCATGCAGGTCTCATAGGTATATGTTGTGACATGCAGAATGATGATTCTATGTCTAATATTGTTCAAATGGATATCCGAAATAGTACAGACATGGAAGAAGGGCTTGAGTGTAAAAAAAAAAAATTGTACGAAGAATTGAAATGCATGCAATACTCACCACACAACGAGTAGCCATCGCCGATCGTCCCCGGAGGGCATTGGCACGTCACGATCCGGACGGGGAGAGTGTTGACCACGTCGCATATGGCTGAGACATGACAAGGATTTATGACATGACATGGATTTTGACAGTGCTCATTGATGCAGGCCAAACGAGAAGGGCAGTCGGCATCGGTGCGACACTCCGGCTCTGGCGGTAGACGACAGTACTCAAACGGATTCCCCACGTGACCCGGAGGGCACTTGCATTGCGCCCGATGGTTGAGGACGTAGCATTCTGCATTGGGTGCACAGGGATTCTGGTAGAGGCAGGGGTTCACGCATTGCCCGGTGATGCATACCTTGTCCTGCGGGCATTCGTAGTCGCTCTTGCACCCGACCGGAACGCAGCGGACGAACGCGTTCCCTTCCAGGCCGGGCGGACAGCGGCATTCCGCCTTGTGGTTCAACGGGTAGCATTCGGCGTTCACGGCGCAGGGACTGTGGACCAGGCAGGGGTTCACGCACTGGCGGTTGTAGCAGGTCTTGTCGAGGGGACACTCCGCGTCGCTCTTGCAGCCGGCTTTTCAAAAACAGGAAGCGCTGAAGTTAGCCATTTCTCGCATTTTAACTTTCAAACTCTATCCTGAATAATTAAAATGTCAATCGAGTAATAAACGATTCCGTTTACCAAACCAGTCCGAAACCACTTCCGCAAGAAATGAGAGGAAAAGCCAATTTCTGAAGTAGATGTAAAACGTTGCATTTCGTCTAACTGTAAACACTGATCGTCGACAGCATGCACAGTGATAGTTTTGAATCCCGTACCTTCGTAGCAAGCGACGTGAGGATTTCCTTCGTATCCGTACAAGCAGGTGCAGATGGGTCGGTGGTTGATGACTTTGCACTGAGCGTTTAGGCCGCAGTTGCACGGGTCACGGCACTCTCGCGCGATGCAGGCCTGACTCAAGGGACAGTCGGCATCGGACTGACAGCCGTATTCCTCTTTCACTGCTGGCGGCACTGGACGAGAGAAAACATCCAAATTGAAATTTTTTTTCAAAATTTCAACCAAATTTTTTTTCTTCAGATTTTTCCAAGGCGGGAAACGTACGTGGTTTACACTCTTGATACGGGTCTCCTTCGTATCCCTCGGGACAGATGCAAACTAAGGTCTTGGACGGGCTGGTGTTCACCACCTGGCACTGAGCATAGATTCCACATGGACGAAGTTGTCCGCACGGTTCCAGGCAGATCCCATCGAAGCAAGCGAGACCCGGCCCGCATTCGTCGTCCGACGAACAACCCTTCTGCTCCCGCTCGCAATAGCGTCTCGCATCGCCGTGGTAGCCCTCGAGGCAGCGACAGTGGGCAACGTGGTGAGCTACTTTGCATTCCGCATTCGAGGCGCAGGATTCGTATAGACAGGGGTCCACGCACTGGCGGCCCCGACACGCTCGGTCCAGAGGACACTCGGCGTCCGAATCGCAGCCTTCGGGTCGACACAGGACGAGGGGGTCGCCCTCGTATCCGGGCGGGCAACGGCACTTGGCCCGGTGGTCGACGGGGTAACATTCCGCCGTGAGGGCGCAAGGGTTGCGGATCAGGCACGGGTTCACGCATTGACGGGAGTAGCAAATTTTGTCCGACGGACATTCCGAGTCGCTGCGGCATCCAGCTGCACCCCAGAGCGAAAAGGGAAGCAGACGGAGGAAGGAGAGAGAAGAAAGGACGGAAAGAAGGGGGGGCAGGAAAGAAAAAAAGAGATACAAGATCCATGAAAGGTCTGGGTCCGGACAATTCTTTTTTTTTTTGCTTTGTCGATCTCAATGCGCGACATGCAAGGTCTCGTACAGTTAAAAGATGCAGCGCTTTCGCGGCATGGCACACAAAACACGACAGCGATGTCCAAGCAAACTTCATCGGGGTCTAAAAGCCCCTTAAAGAGTCCGAGCGATCACACTGGCATGCATACAAAAACAATACAGGCTTACAATACAGGGCCAGCGCCCGCGATCCAAGACCGATCCCCGTTCTCTCCGCCGAAAAAAAAAATCCTCTAAAAAAAAAAATTGGGAGAAAACGACGGCAGTCGTGGATCGCGAACGCGAGTCCCCACGTAGAAGAGAAAGAACGAGCGGAAGAGGGACGTGTGCCGTCTTGTGCAGGAAAGGAGGAAAAGGATGCATGTTCACGTCATTCCGGTCTCTTCCATGAATCCTCAAATGTCTACACAGAGACAGCTTTGAGCAGAGGAAGCTTCCTTCTGGAGAAAAAAATAGCAGGCAGGGTTTTCCCTTCAAGGAACGTCTTGCATCGGTCCCGTCACAGGTCCCGTCACAGGTCGCCCGTCACAGGTCGCGCGTCACAGGTCGTGTCGCGTCGCGTCACGTCGTCGCATTTTGGACTCCAGGCTCCAGTCTCTTTCTTCATGCATCGGGACATTTGAGAATTCACGTTCAGGCAAGTCCCTGTGTCCATGCAGCTTCCCCTGAATCCACGATCATGGCACGCAGTCAGTCGGACTACTTTCGTGGCACTTCGAACCGACGAACGCCATCTGGATGGCATTCGAAACGGTCGTAGCATGCCACGAAATTCGACGATAAAAAAAAGCCAGATTCAAAATTTTTAAATTTAACATATATTTAAAATTTTTAAATGTTGCCATGATCGTGGGTCGAGGCGAAGGAACAGTGAGGCGGTGACGATGTATGCGGGGTGCGTATGACCGTGCATGAGCATGCAAAGTGAGGTGGACCTTGGGCGTGCACGCATGGATGCTTGTTCGTGGGGGTGTATGCTGGTACCTGTCCGCGTATGCGTGTGGATTCGTATGACGGAGGGCAGACAGAGCTCGCCGTGTCCGTGTATCTTTTTTCAGGAGGAGCTAGAGGAGAAAAGGATCGAGGTCGCTCCTTACATGGATAGCATGCAAGTTGGGGGTTGCCTTCGTAACCCTCGATGCACGTGCAAATCGGGTGGTGGTTGGACACGGTGCAGCGGGCATTGGCGCCGCAATTGCACGGGTTTCGGCAATCTCCGTTTATGCAGGCCAAGTGCGGGGGGCACTCCTCGTGGGAGCTGCAACCCACCGTCGGTTGCTCCGGTTTCGGCTCTATGTTCACGTTAGACAACACATCTCCGTTCAATCAATGGCAATCAGAATGTTGATTAAAGACATGAGTCGATCAATGTATCAGTTTCCCGACCGATATCGGTTGATTAAGCTGAAAATTAGAAATGATTTCATCGAGTTCATTACCGACTGTGAATCTGCCGAATCGGTGAGAAATTTTGTACAAGAAAGAACGAAGAAAACCGAAAGATCGCGCTCACCGCCGCGATCGAATGAATTCGGACGAGGACGACAGAATTCGGACGTGCACGACAGACAACGGACAGACACGGATCCAGACGGACACACGGGGACGTTACCTGGTCGACAGTCGACGGCCGGGTTCCCGACGGTGCCCGGCGGACAGCGGCACAGAGCCCTGTGCCGCTGGACGTAGCACTCGGCGCTCGGGGCGCAGGGATTCCGGACGAAGCAGGGATTCTGGCAGCGGGAGTCGATGCACGCCTTGTCGTAGCTGCACTGGTCGTCGCTCGTGCATTCGGGCGTGGTCACCACCACAGGTGGCTCCGTCACTGCAACTGTCATCGCGAACGGAATCTTTTACTTTCCACGTACCATAAGAATACCAGGAATACCACTTTGCAAAAATAAATGTCAAAGATTTGCCAATTTCAATCATTAAACCGGCTCGTGAGAACCTCTTTCGTGTCGAAGGAGTTGCAAGAACGAAAATCATCGGTTCGAGATTAAATGTAGGAACAACGGCTCGGCGAAGAGATGAGAGCTGCATTTTTTGCAACATCTGCAACAAGAAAAAAAAGGGAAAACGCTCACTTCTGAAGCAGTTGATGTCCGGCCGACCGGTGAATCCTTCCTTACAGCGGCAGACGGCCGCATGGTTCTGTGCGATGCAGTACGCGTTCTCCCCGCACGGCCGACCCACGTTGCAGGGATTCACGCACTTCTGGTTGATGCAGGCTTGGGTCAGGGGACAGTCGGCGTTCGACAGGCACTCCGGGCGTTCCGACACTGAAAAATCGGACCTCGCCGTGAGACTCGGATCCCGACGGGACTCGAACCGACTTCGACGCTTCGCTGACCTGGCGCGGTGCAGACCCCGTTGGGACCGAGGAAGGTGTCGGGCGGACACTCGCACGACACGGTGCGGAGAGGCCGCGTGTCCTGCACCTTGCACTGCTGCCCGTCCACGCACGGGTTCTCCTCGAGGCAGACGTCCACGCAGTTGCCGTCGCGGCAGACCTCCCGAGGGGGGCAGTCCGCGTCGTAGGTGCATTCCGCCTTCGGTTCCGGCCTCTCCACCGGGGCTATCGGGAGGGAGTGCGACAGTGCGACAGTGCGGGAGTGCGACCAGAGGGTGCAGACCGGGTGCAAACCGGTGCAAAACGGGTGTTCCGTACGGTGCGTGTGCAGGTCGTTCCAGAGTGTAACCACGTTTTACATCGAGTGACGGTTAGCAAATTCGGTGTCGTTTTATGTGCAGGTCGTTCCAAAGTGTGACGACGACTCGCATCGAGATGCGGTGAGCAAACCTTAACCCCTTTTTAAAAACATATATTCACGTGGAATTCGTCTACTTGCTGCTTTTACCATTCTTATCGCTCCGGTGTTTAACGTGTACGTGTGAATTCCGCTCCATCGACTTTTATGACGATTCTCCGGTCAGAATTACTGTGTTTCACGAGAAAAACATCTGCTCGACGTGAAATTTGTTTTCCCTGGATGTATACAAAATGCAATACTTGAGTTACGAGCGAGCATGAGGAATGCGGTCAGTCGCGTTTCGTGAGCGCATCGTTAAATTAAGCATCTACCGTGGACTTTAGAACAGTTAGCATGCCGTTACGATGAGTGCAAACATGCCCGGCGAGGTGCAACTACCACAAACGCTTTCTCACTCCATGCAGGTCCGACCGGGTGAAAAGCCTTGCAAAAAAAAAATCTCCTTCATGCGAATTTTGCGCCAGATCTGGACGTCGGCAAACTCTCGGTCGGAATCGAATCGGATGCGACTTACCGAATCTCCACGGGTCTCTCGGCTGAAAGGAAATCTGCTATGAGATTAGCACTAGTCCTAAGGCGATTAGGAAGCGGCTCATGCGGATTCCAGCGGGAAGCGTCGGGCAAGCGAATTCCTGCAAGAGAATCCTCGATAATTACCGCGTTGGCAGTCAACGTATGGGTTCCCGACGAATCCGGTCGGGCATTCGCAGACGGCCCGGTGATTCTGCCCCCGACAGATGGCGTTGGAGGCGCAGGACCGCCCGTCGCACACCTTCACGCATCGGCGGTTCGGCGCGTCGCAGCGTTCGTCGTCGGCGCAGTCGTAGTCCGACCGACAGCCGACGGCGACGCACGACACCTCCGGGTTGCCCTGGGTCCCCGGCGGGCAGTAGCACTGCGGCCGGTGGACCGTGACGCGGCAGAGGGCGTTCTCGCCGCAACGGACGTTTCCGTAGCGGCACGGGTTCAGGCATTGCCCGCTTATGCACGCCTTATCGGAGGGGCATTCCTCGTCCGTCAGACAGTCGGCTGAGGGGGCAAGAGGCGGTGCATGAACACGACGGCGAGAGAAAGAAAAGACGGTGCACGGATCGGAAAAGGAGACAGAGAAAATGCTGCACCAAAAAAAAAAAACCAAATCAGAATGATGATTTTAAAAAGCCAACTCACGGCGATAGCACTGGATGTGCGGATTCCCACCCCACCCCTCGGGGCAGGTGCAGATGGCTCGATGGACCTGCACCCTGCAGATGGCTCTCGGCGCACACGGCTTCTTCGCCACGCACGGGTTCTCGCACTTGTTGTTGATGCAGGCCTTGTCCAGCGGGCAGTCCTCGTCTCGCACGCACTCCGGCGGCGGCGTTCGCGGGACTGCACAGACACGACAAAGGGTCACGGTCCGAACGACACGGGGTCAAAATTCGGTCATCGGGGATGTCGTCGTTTCGATTAGTTTCTCGGAAGCCGGGGAGAGTCAGACTTTCACGAATTTATTAGGCTTTTAAAATTGAAAGCTAGTATTTTAATTCTGGTCGACGAACGTTACATGCAAGCAAATAAAAAAAAAAAAACCTCAGCCAAAAAAGCAAAAGAACCAAATTAAAGCAGCGAAAGTCAGATTAAAAGGGTTACATAAAAAAACTAAAATTAAGTAAAATTAGGGAAGCATTTGGTTATCTCGCTCACTCTCTTCGCATCCGACAGCGGGGATCCCTTCGGTCCCCGGCGGACACATACAGTAGGGAAGATGCAGATAAGGTTTGCACACGGCGGAAGCGGGGCAAGGGTTAGCGGTCTGGCACGGATTCGCGCAGAGGCTGTCCAGGCACGAGTTTATGCTGTTACAGTCGGCGTCGGCCGAGCAGGAGCGGGCGGGGCGGGGCGAGGCTGCAAGTCGAGCGGTGGGTTAAGGGGGTGGTTAAGGGGAGGGGGTTAAGGGGGCGGTCGAGGGGGGAACTCACTCGGGTAGCAGTTGGTGTGGGGGTCTCCGGTGTATCCGTCGGGGCAGGTGCACTGGGCGCGGTGGTCGATCGGGGTGCACACCGCGGTCGGGGCGCACGGGTTGGACACCTTGCACGGGTTCACGCACTCGCCGCGCACGCACACTTCCGTCACGGCGCATTCGTAGTCGGAGCGGCAGCCCTTTTCTTCCACGACGGCTGTGGGGAGCGAGGCAGGACGGGTGAGCATGCGTTCCGAAAAAAACGTCCAAAACTCTATTTCAAATTTTTTTTTTTTACCCAGAAAATTCCGATTAAAAAACTCAAATCTACATTTTGTTAAACCCTCTAGAATTTTATATATATTATTATTTGAATTTACATCTTTGAAAGCTTGGCGCGTTATTCTTCCAAAGTTAAGCCAGAGATTACGGGGAAGACGAGCCAAAAACGCCAAACCTGAAACCTCCAAGAATTTCTCGATATTCCCTGTAGTGAAGCAAAAGGCATTCCAAGTACGACAACTAAGCATGCTTAACGCAAAAACAAGCATGCAAATTCTTAATGCACACTAGGCATGCAAAAAACAAAGCAAACAGCACGAGGAATCATGCATCCATTCACGCCCACAATCACGCAACGAACAGATGCACACTACGGATCCTAATCACGATTAATCCGACCGATCCGACCGGTCCGACCGGCTCGACCGGCAAGACCGGCTCCACGTTATGAACCAGGCGTTATGTTCCGTTCGTTAGGGAAGCAAAGCCCCCGATCGGAGTGAGAGGCCTTACGCCGTCGGCACTCCACGTGAGGGTTCCCGACGTATCCCGGGATGCACTGGCACGTGAGCGTCCGGAACGGGAGGGAGTTCATGACGTGACACTCCGCGTTCAGGCCGCACGGGTTGAACTCGGCGCAGGGATTTCGACAGTCGCCGTTGATGCAGGCGAGGCCGCTCGGGCATTCGGCGTCCGTCGTGCAGCCCACCTTAGGTGTTGCTGGGACTGGGGAAATAAGGTTACGAAATACATTTTTGAGTTTTCGGTCTGAAATTCTTATCATGTTGCACTTAAAGTGCTTGCAGAATATTTTTCACATATATTTTTATTTATTTATTTTTACTTGTTTAATTATTTTTACTGGAAGAGCTATCACGTGACATATTCTTCGTTTAAAGGTAAGATTAACAAACTAAGATGAAACTTTTTGGTGAGTTTCTTCAAGAATCGTATGAAATTTGTGAGAAAAAGGACACTCACTGAGGGTGCACTGGACGTCGGGATTCCCCGTGTACCCGGACGGACAAGAGCAGATGGGCCGATGGTTGACGACGCGGCACTCGGCCGGAGCCCGGCAGTTGCACGGATCCTGGCACTTCTCCGCGATGCAGGCGAGATGCAGCGGACAGTCCGCGTCGGTCGTGCATTCGGGCCTGAGGCACCGGACGAGGGGATTCCCCCGGGTGCCGTCGGGGCAGAAGCAGATGGCGCGGTGGTTCACCGGCTTGCACTGCGCGTCCGCGCCGCATCGCTCGTAGAGGCAGGGGTTCTGGCATTCGTTGGTGATGCAGGCCTCGGTCAGCTCGCAGTCGTAGTCGGTCCGGCAGCCGACTGGATCGACAAAATCGTTTTTTGTTTCGGTCATCTCGCGGGTCGACTCGAACCATTCGCGCGCGAAAGCGACGTGAACTCACGTTGGACGCAGAGTCGCTGCGGATCCCCAGAGAATCCATCGGGGCAACTACAGACCGGCCTGTGTCTGACGGGCGTGCAGCGTGCGTTCGGCGCACACACGCCAGGCACGCACGGGTTCGAGCATCTCTCCCCCACGCACGCCTTGTCCAGCGGGCACTCGTCGTCTCGGGTGCATTCGGGTCGAGGAGTCACAGCTCGAGGAGGCTCTGAAAATTTATTTTATTTTATTATCAACTATTTTATATATTTTCTGCTGCTTCAGCTATGATGAAGAATACTGAAGTTGTGGTAAGTACCAAAGAAAATGAAGGTACTCACCGTAGGTACACTGAACGTAGGGATTTCCTTGGTAGCCGTCCGGACAGATGCACGTCGGGCTGTGGTTCCTGACCTCGCAGAGCGCATTGACCCCGCACGTCCCGGGGCACGGGTCCACGCACTTGTAGTTGATGCACGCCAGGTACGCCGGGCAGTCGTCGTTCCGTTCGCATTCGCGGCGACAGCCCAGCTCCGGGTTGCCGAAGTAGGTCGGGAGGCAGCGGCAGGTGTAGGTCTCGCCGCGAGGGATGCACTCCGCGTTCACGCCGCAGGGATTCGGTTGGCAGGGGTTTCGGTACTCGGGGATGGGTTGCCCTGCAATGCCGAAATCCATCCGATTAGTCACAGAGAGAAAATGTATATATATTTTATTATTAATATATAACTTACACAAGAAACTTGCAGTAAATTGTCGAAAATTCGAAATTAAGTTTTTTTTTCCACTATAAAATTTTCACGCTCAGGTTTCGAAAAAATCTTGCGAGAGCAACCCATAAACGGCTCAGAGCAACCGGAAGCGAATCGGAGCGACCGAAAACGACGGACTCACTTCTCGTGCACTGTCGATACGGGTCTCCCTCGTGATCCGGCGGACACACGCAAACGGCCTCGTGATTCTGCACGAGACACGTCGCCTGCGGGGCGCACCGCCCGGGACACGGATCCACGCACTTGTAGTCGATGCACGCCAGGTGCAGCGGGCAGTCCGCGTTGTACTCGCACTCCCGCTTGCACCCTTGCCTCGGGTCGCTCGGGGCCACGGGGAAATACCCGGGGAGGCACCTGCACACGGCGATGTCGTTCCTCACCGTGCATTCCATGTTCCGGCCGCAGGGCTCGGCGTCGCAGGGGTTCGTCTTGAACGTCGTCGGTCTCACTGCAACGACAGCAAGAAACGTCCACATTATTTTTTACATTTTCCACAATATTTTACTGTTTTTATCAATACTTTCCCTGGTATATTTCCCAAATATTTTTCAATTTTCACCCCAAATTTTATGCAAATTTTTTCCCTCCAAATTGTCATTCGGAAACGTTTTCAACGATAAAACGAGAAGGCGATTCCGCCTTCACTCACAAGGCTCGCATCGGACACTCGGATCCCCGGTGTACCCGACGGGACAGCTGCAGATCGGGTTGTGGTTCCTCACGTCGCACAGCGCATCCACCCCGCAGTACCCCTCGCACGGATTCACGCACTTCTGGTTCACGCACTTGAGATAATACGGGCAGTCCGAGTCCAAGATGCACTCCGGCCTGCACCCGACCTTCGGGTCCCCGAAATACCCCGGCCTGCACGAACACACCGCGATCCCGTTGTGCACGCGGCATTCCGCGTTCGCTCCGCAGGGATTCGGTTCGCACGGGTTCGTTCGCGGCGGCGGGGCGATGGGAACTGCAAATCAAAATACAATATTTCATAAAAACATTATTACTAATAAATAATTATAATAGCTAAATATAAATTTGCGGCTAAATTTGTTGCACTTTCTTCTTTTACTTCTCGATGAACTTATTTTCCTATTTACTGCGTTTTTCATGGAATAAATGCAGTACCTGGACTACAGCGGATGTATGGATCGCCGGTGTATCCGTTCGGACAGCTGCAGATCGGATTGTGATTGACGACGTCGCAGAGCGCGTCCACGCCGCACGTCCCGGGGCACGGATCCACGCACTTCTGGTTGATGCACGCCTTGCTCGGGGGGCAGTCGGAGTTGACGACGCATTCCGGCTGGCACCCCACGGCAGGATTCCCGTGGTATTCGGGGAGACAGCTGCACACGGCCACGTTGTTCACGACGCGGCATTCCGTGTTCGGGCCGCAGGGCGAGGGGACGCAGGGATTTCGGACCACCGGCGGCTCCGGGGGCGCTAGAGGGACGAATTTAATTATTAGCCCAAAGTGAATTCGTGAAACGATTTAAAAATCTAAAATAGCGCGAAATCTCTCGATAAATCAACGTATTTCAACGCGATCGGAATCGCGCTGCAGAAATTCGCGTGTGCGTGCACGAACCTCGTTGACACTGGACGTAAGGGCTCCCGAAGTGCTCCGGCGGACACTTGCAGACCGGATTGTGATTCACGACCTCGCAGAACGCGTTGATCCCGCACACCTGCGAGTGGCACGGATTCACGCACCGGTACTCGATGCACGCCTTGTCCCTCGGACAGTCGGAGTTGAGCACGCACTCCGGTCGACACTCGACGGCCGGATTCCCGAAGTAATTCTCCGGGCACGTGCAGATCGCCAAGCCGTTCACCACCTTGCAGATGGCTCCGCGGCCGCACGGAGACGGCTCGCAGGGGTTCGTCTCCACCTGCCGCGGTCGCACTGAAGAACGACACGCATTTTATTTTATCGTCGTTTCGTTCAGACGCTTCCGAGAAATCAATTAAATATTAAATTATTGAAAATATTTTCTATAAATATTAAATTCAATATTAAATATGTTAAATTAAATTCAAATATAACACACTAAACATATCAAATTTAATTCAAACATTAGACACTAAAATATAAGAAAATTAAAATATAAAAAAAAAACAAATAAATAATGGGATTCGCGGCACTCACAGTCGCATCGGACGTAAGGATCGCCCACGTATCCTTCGGGACATTCACAACGCGGCCGATGATTGATGGTGGTGCACAACGCATTGATCCCGCAGCTTCCGGGACACGGATCCACGCACTTGTTCCCGATGCACGCCCGGTCCCTCGGGCACTCCGCGTCGATCGTGCATTCCGGCCGACACCCGGTGTACGGGTTCCCGAAGTACCCCGGCAGGCACGAGCACACGGCGTAGTTGTATTGGACGCGGCATTCCGAGTTGGCGCCGCAGGGGCTCGGCTGGCACGGGTTCGTCGGCGGTTGGGGCGAGGCTGCAAGGAACAAGAAAAGAACACGTGCGAAAAAACGGGGAAACGAGAGAGCCCACCCCACCCCGGATCTCATCGGCATCGCTCGTCTTGGCACTCACTGCGGAAGCAATTCTGAAACGGATTTCCCGTGTGTCCCTCGGGACACGTACACACCGCGTTATGATTGACTACGAAACAGTTCGCATTCGGGGCGCAAATCGCCGCGTCGCATGGATTCTGGCACTCGTTTTGGATGCACGCTAGCGTGGGGGGGCAATCGCTATCGACAACGCATTCCGGCCGACACCCGTACAACGGGTTGCCGTAATTGCGATAAGCACAGGAGCAGATGGGGATTCCGTTCACGACCCGACACATCGTGTTCGGGCCGCAGGGCGAGGGGTTGCAGGCGTCGTCCGGGATCTCCACTGGGAAACAAACATCGTCGGATATAAAAATAAACTTACACATTTAAATATGATAAAACGACACTAGGAATGAGTACGATTAAAATAGAATCATCGAACGACTAAGAATAATATTAAAATAAGCTAAAAACCCGTAAAATAAAGGCATAAAAATAATATCGTGAAATAAAACTATGAAATGAAAATCATAAGCATAACTAATGAATATTTAAAAAAATAGTTTATGGGCTTCCACGAGCAAGAAAAACTCACGCGCTCGTAGACACCCAGAATACGCATCGCCGGTGTACCCGGCGGGACAGAGACACATCGGAACGTGATTGACGACGTTACACTGCGCTCCGTGCCCGCACGTCCCAGCGCACGGATCCACGCAGTGGAACTGGAGGCACGCGAGGTGCTGGAGGCAGTCGGCGTCGATCGTGCACTCGCGGCGGCAGCCGTAGAAGGGGTTGCCGTAGAATTCGGGAAGGCAGGTGCAGAGGGGGCGGGTGCCCAGCTCTTGGCATTGGGAGTTCGGGCCGCAGGGGTTCGGGTCGCAGACTCGTGTCTCGACTGTCGGTCGAAGAGAGAGAGAGGATCTCGGGTGAAATTCCACCTCGAAGTCGGGAGTCTCCATCGAGATTCCATCTTTAAACTACGGTCGCGACGACGGAAACCGGAATCTGACCTGGAGCGACAGCAGGGACGCACTGAACGTACGGATCCCCCGAGAAACCCGGCTGGCACATGCACACCGCCGCGTGATTGATCGCCTGACAGAGCGCATTCGCCCCACAGGAGCCCGGGCACGGATCCTGGCAGCTGGTCCTCACGCACGCGAGGTGACCCAAGCAGTCCGCGTTCACCAGGCACTCTGGCTTGCACCCGACCAACGGGTTCCCGTAGAACAACGGCACGCACTGGCAGAGGGGGTAGATGCCCGCGAGGACCGTGCATTGGGAGTTGGGCCCGCACGGCGTCGGATTACAAGGGCCGGTCCGCTCTGGTACGGCTGGAAACCATTCACATCACGCGTTCAATTACTCAAAATCATCGTCGTCGACTTAACTCTTACGAGAATTTACGTAATACCTATGTGAGACGTAGCCATTTCGTTAAATAAATTATTCTAAAGCGCATTTAAAATTCGAAGACACTTCCAGAGCAACGATGACTTTTCATCTCGGACGACAAGAATTACAGCCTAATCAAAAGTAGAAAAATGAACTCACTCGTCGGAGTGGACGCAGAGCAATAGACGAATGGATTCCCGGTGTACCCCACGGGACACACGCAATTGGGCGAGTGGTTGATGACCTCGCAGAACGCCCCGAGCCCGCAAGTGCCCGGGCAGGGATCTCTGCACTGGTAATTCAAACAGGCCAGGTTCCGGGCGCAATCCGAGTTGGACACGCACTGGGGCTGGCAGGATTGGAATGGATTCCCGACGTAGCCTTCGAAGCAGTAGCAAGAGTAGTAGTAATCGCCGGTTGGGCGGCAGTTGGCGTTCACGCCGCAGGGATTGGGGACGCAGGGGTTGCCTGGCGTGCCTGTGGACATGCATCGAAGGTAAGACACGCCATTAATAATTCATATTGCCCATTAGAGCTCGATTTATCGATGAAGATAATCAATTCTCGAATTTGCGATGCTACTGCTTAATTACTTCACTAAAACAAAAATTAAAGTTTAACTTTTCGTGCTGAATTCGAATAATAAATGGATGATGCGTGAACTCACTCGATGGATAGAGAATGATGGATCCAGGAGGATACGAAGGAGAGGGTGCAGGGACAGGGACAGGTGCAGGGGAAGGAGGGGAAATGACAGGTTCCCTACATTGCTCGTACGGATTTCCGACTAGATCAGGGGGACAAGAACACAGTGCGCGGTGGTTGACTACATTGCACAGAGCGCTGATGCCGCACACCCCGATGCAGGGGTTCTGGCAGCGGTTGCTCACGCACGCGAGGTCGTTGGAGCAGTCGTCGTGGGTCACGCATTCCGGGCGGCACATTTCGTACGGGTTGCCTTGGTACCCGGGGAAGCAGACGCAGATGCCGTCGGGATTGCAGTGGGCGTTGATGCCGCAGGGTTTCGAGCCGCATGGGGTCTCGGATGGGGTCGCCTCAGAGAAGGGGATGCAGAGTCTGAACGGGTCGCCGGTGTAGCCTTCGAGGCACATGCAGAACGGCTGGTGCTGCTTCACGTGACAGATTGCGTTCGTCCCGCACGTGTTGATGCACGGATCGACGCACTTGCCGAATTCGCAGGCCTCGTTCAGGTAACAGTCGTCGTCGGTGCGACAGTTCAACTTGCAGCCAATATTTGGATCCCCGTGGAATCCCGGAAGGCAACGACAGACTTCTACGGCGTCAATGACTAGACATTCAGCGTCGGGACCGCATTCTACCAATCGACATCGTTCGGCAATCACCGGACGATCCGGTCGGGCAGAGACAGGGAAGTCGTATATGATGCCAGGCTGCTGTGGTTGTTGTATGACCACAGGTTGTACGAATGGATGGCTGGGATACCCTAACTCAGGCGAAGGTAGGTATGTGACCGGTCTGTAACCAGGCGGTTGAGACGGTATGTAAATAGGTGTGAACGTTGGGCTCACTGGAGTGGGGGGTATGGGCTGTTGAGTGTAAATAGCGGGAGGATGAACTGGTGCGGGTCTGGAAATGTGCACGGGGGGGAAAGGCTGTGGGGACGCAGGCTGTGGAGATATATGCTGAATCACAGGTGGATATCGGGGTGGAGGGGCAGGCGTGCTGAGAATGATAGGTGCAGGAGGAACAGACGGTGGAAGAGGTTGAAAAGGCGCTGGGATGTAAACTGGTGACTGGGGTTGAGGTTGATGTGATTGGATGACAATTGGTTGGGTTGGAATTGGTGGCGGTATTGGTGGAGCAGGCTGTGGGATGTAAACTGGTGACTGGGGTTGAGGTTGATGTGATTGGATGACAATTGGTTGGGTTGGAAAAGGTGGGGGTATTGGTGCAGGAGATGGTGAATAGATAACTGGTTGCTGAGGTGGAGGTGGAGGTGATTGTATGATAATTGGCTGTGCAGGAGGTGGTGGGGGGATTGGTGCAGGAGATGGTGAATAGATAACTGGTTGCTGAGGTGGAGGTGGAGGCGATTGTATGATAATTGGTTGTGCAGGAGGTGGTGGGGGGATTGGTGCGGGAGTAGGTGAAAAGAAAATTGGTGGTTGGGGTGGAGGTGAAGGTGATTGGATTATAATTGGTTGTGCTGGGGGTGGTGGGGGAAATGGTGCGGGAGGCTGTTGGATAAAGAATGGTGGCTGAGGTGAAGGTGAAGGTGATTGGATTATAATTGGCTGTGGGGGAGGTGGTGGGAATGGAGGAGGAGAAGGTTGGGGAATGAAGACAGGAGCAGTTGGAGTTGGTTGTTGCGGCGTTTCAATGATAATGGGTTGAACAGGAGACTGTGGAAATTGTGAGGGGCTTTGTTGCGTTATCACAGGCTGCACCTGGGGTGGATATAGAGGGGAAGGTGACGTGCTTATTGGCGGAGGTGACCCATAGGGAGGGTACGGCTGTGGCTGTGATGGAAATAAAACTGGCTGTTGTGATTGAGATGGCGGTTGAGACTGAATGACGACGGGTTGTACAGGGACAGAGGGGAAACTTGAAGAAGGAGAAGGCAAAGGTATATAAGAAGGTGGTTGTACAGGTGGCTGGGGCGTACTGATAATAATTGGCTGAACTGGGGCCTGAGGATATGACTGAGGAGGTGGTTGCGAAATTACTGGTTGAATAGGAAATTGTGATTGTGAAGGCGGAGACTGAATGACGATTGGCGCGACAGGTGTCTGTGAAGGAAAAGGCGGAGCTGGCGATGGAAAAACTACGGGCTGCGTTGGAAACGACGGTGCGGGAGATTGAATGACAATTGGGGCGGTAGGTGCCTGCGGTGGATAAGGGACAGCTGGCGATGGTAAAACTACTGGCTGCGTTGGAAACGATGGTGCGGGAGACTGAACAACGATTGGCGCGACAGGTGCCTGTGAAGGAAAAGGCGGAGCTGGCGATGGAAAAACTACTGGTTGCGTTGGAAACGATGGTGCGGGAGACTGGATTATAATGGGTTGTGCTTGCTGAGGAGGATATTGCTGTGGAGCCGGCTGCGTTATCACTGGTTGTACTGGGAACGGTTGTTGTGGTGGTGGAGACTGAATGATGATTGGGGCGACAGGTGCCGGTGGAGGATATTGGGGAGCTGGCGATGGCAATACGATTGGTTGTGTTGGAAACGAAGGTGCGGGAGACTGGATTATAATAGGTTGTGCCTGTTGAGGTGGATATTGCTGTGGAGTTGGCTGCGTTATCACTGGTTGTATTGGGAACGGTTGTTGTGGTGGTGGAGACTGAATGATGATTGGTGCGACAGGTGCCGGTGGAGGATATTGGGGAGCTGGCGATGGCAATACGATTGGTTGTGTTGGAAACGAAGGAGCGGGAGACTGGATTATAATGGGTTGTGCTTGTTGAGGTGGATATTGCTGTGGAGTTGGCTGCGTTATCACTGGTTGTATTGGGAACGGTTGTTGTGGTGGTGGAGATTGAATAATGATGGGTTGGACTGGTAGAGGTTGTTGAGGTTGTGGCGATGGAATAACAATAGGTTGTTGTGGAAGGGGTGATGGTCGTGGCGATTCAATTACGATTGGTTGAATGGGGAACTGAGGCCGTTCACTTGGTTGTGTAATCACTGGCTGTACCTGAGGCGGATATAAAGGTTGTGGTGTCGTCTGAATAATGATGGGTTGGACTGGTAGAGGTTGTTGAGGTTGTGGCGACGGGATAACGATTGGTTGCTGTGGAAGGGGTGGTGGTCGTGGCGATTCGATTACGATTGGACTCACAGGTCGATATATTGGCTGCAATGGACCTGGACTCGGAATATAAATCGGTTGAAATGGTGGCCGTTCAAGTTGTTGAATGACGATTGGTTGTGTTGGAGTTGGATAACTTGGTTGCGATACTTGCGGCGAAGGGGGAGGTCTGGTTTCAATGATGATGGGTGAAACATCAGCTGGTCTTTGATCTGGGGGTCTGATGTATGATGGCGTCGGTTGGTAATATATAGGTGCTTGGGTTACGAGAACTATAGGTGGTTGAGGTATAAATGGCTTGGGCTTGGTTTCGACGGGCTCCACGGGCGGAGGCTGCTTGGGGCGTTCAGCCACGACAGGTATCACCGGCGGCGACGTCGGTCGTTGAGCCGGTGATGGGCGTATAGGTGGTGGACGGGACTCGGGTCTCGGCCGTGAGCCGACGAATATCGGCGGACGATAAATAGGTGGACGTACGGGACGGGACGGAATCGTTTCGATCGATTCTACCGCATGAGTCTGTACGTTCTCGACGGGCACCACCGGTGGTGGACGGTAGGGCAGGGGATAGCGAATCGGAGGGAGCTTCACTTGCTCTTTCAATTCGGCCTGGGGATGGACCGGAGGTGGGGATTGGTAATGCGGTCTTTCCGCTACGATCGGTTCTTTCGGGAGTGCCGGTTCGGGCGGACAATCCACTTGAACGGGCACTGTAGGAACCTTTTTCGGGGGGGTGGGGGGTGGGTACTTGGCGAGGGGCGGGAGAGGTTGTTCGATTTCGTTCTCGACTGCCACTGGGGTGGGGGGTCGGGGATGGAGGAAGAGGAGGGGACTTTCTGCCTGGCAGGTCAGCTGGCAGACGAGGGGACCTGAAACAAAAATCACCGAACGGGTTAATGCAAGGCGAAACGGGGAGAAGCGGAAAGCCAGGGAAGGAAAAGACAGTCCACGAGAAGAGCATTTACAGAAGGAAAGAACGAGGACAGAGGAAAGAAGACGAGGAAAGGAATGTCACTCACCCGTCGAAGGACCGTCGTTTCCCGCAGGAACTTTCAGGCTTGGAAAACGTTTTTTCGTGCGAGTGCCAGGGACCATGCAACGCTGCTTATCGAACGCGGACGGTTTTAGTACAGAACAGATTCAGAGAAGGGGACTTGCCAGTGTGGTTTGGAGAGAGGGAGCGACAGTGGTGCCAAGACGGGTATGCGTACCGCATCAACATCAAGCTATAATAAGGCCGTGTCTCTTCGGAAGCGCAACATTGCGCACGATGACGTCATGATACGGTATGCGTGATTTGGTGAAAATCACTTTAACAAAAACCTATTTTCATTCAAAATCTGATGTGACCTTTCAAGTTCTTTGCCACCAATACATATGTACGATTCCATTTTCCCAATGCAATTAAAACGTTCAGTAAATGGCATCGAGAATATTATAATCATAAATTCGTTCGACAGAATCCGAGACATTTTTTACGGGTGCACAACAGAAGGAAACGAAACTAACACTACAAAAGTATCCGGAGCAAGGGATTAAGGTGCCAGGCGAGACGATTAATCCAACGCTACGAGGAAAGAGACGGAACTCACGCGGCGGCGGCAGCACGCACTGCACGAACGGATCCCCCGTGTACCCCGGCGCACAGCTGCAGATCGGGTTGTGGTTGTAGACCTTGCACAGCGCGTTCACGCCGCACGTCCCGGGGCACGGGTCCTCGCACTTCTGGTTGATGCACGCCTTCTCCAGCGGACAATCGGAACTGAGGATGCACTCCGGCTGGCACCCGTAGAACGGATTCCCCTTGAGACCCGGCAAGCACGCACAAGCCCCGTGTCCGCCCTCGGAGATGCACTCCGCGTTGGGGCCGCACGGGTTCGGCTCGCACGGGCTTCCCTTCTCTTGTGGCTCGGCTGCAAGAGCAACGCATCCGGATTTTATACATCGTATTATATTATCGTCATAACACGTCTATACGCGTCTGGATACGTGCGAAGTGCTCATATTTATTCAACACCGAAGCTAAGTATCACTCCTCTCACCTACTACTGTATATCTTCAACCTCACAACCGACAACAGAATGCCAATTTTTGCAGGCAATTAACTTTAACGACCGGCACACCCCTAATTTCCTCATCTCCTACCACGTGACAATGAAACAGAACGACCTCTCATCACTTACCAGGTGGCAACGGGATAGGATGACACCCCTCGAAGGCATTCCCCGTGTAGCCAGGCTCGCAATAGCACGTCGGGTTGTGATTGATGACGGTGCAGGACGCATGGGGACCGCACGTCCCGGGGCACGGGTCCACGCACTTGTACCCGATGCACGCCTGGTGCGTGGGGCACTCCACGTGTGACGTGCACTCCGGTCGACACTCGATGAGGGCGCTGCCGATGTACCCGTACGGGCACGTGCACCGGCCCACGCCGTTCTCCACGGTGCAGGTGGCGCCGATGCCGCATGGGGATGGATGGCATGGGTTTCGCTCTTCTTTTTCGTCTGTCGGAACAAAATGTTTACCCTTTTCATGCATGATACGAACTTGGAGGTACTTTTTAAAAGTTTTTTTTTTCCCCATTTTCACGCGATTCAATTTATATTCGATAAAGCGATTAAACTGCTCTCTCAACTCGCACTATTTCGGCGCAATCTTCTAGCAAAAAAAAAATATAATTGACCGTTTACCATAGAGTTCCTAAATTCAGTGCTGATGGTAATTGCAGGACGATAAACTGAAAATATTTCTCGGCCCATTTTTTCAAAGAACCACAGTTGGTACTTGGTACGAAAATCTCGCATGATTGCATTTCAAAACGCAGGATCTAGAAAGGTAAAAAAAAAAAAACGAGACTCACAATACGGATAGCAGGCCACAAAGGCATCTCCGGTGTATCCCTCCCTGCAGGAGCAGAGCGGGTTGTGGCTGACGACGTGGCAGTCCGCGTTCTGCCCGCAGGCGCCGGGGCACGGGTCCACGCATTTGTAGTTCACGCAGGCCTTGTTCAGGGGGCAGTCGGAGTTGAGCACGCATTCGGGTCGGCACGGGTTCCCGTAGTATCCCTCGAGGCACGAGCAGACGGGTCGTCCGTTCACGACTCGGCAGACGGAGTTGGGTCCGCAGGGATTGGGATGGCAGGGGTTCGTCTCCACCGCTTCCTTGGGTGGGGGGGCCACCGGTTCGGGGTAACAGTGACGGAACGGGTCGCCGGTGTAGCCGGGGGGACAGCTGCAGATGGGGTTGTGGTTCTTCACTTCGCAGATCGCGTAGGTACCGCAGGAGCCGGGGCAGGGGTCGCGGCAGCGTTGGGCGATGCACGCTTGGTGTTCGGGGCAGTCGGCGCTGACGAAGCACTCCGGGTGGCAGCCGACTTCGGGGTCGCCGAGGTAGCCGACCACGCACGTGCACACCGGTCGACCGTCGGCGATCGTGCACTCCGAGTTCACGCCGCAAGGAGACGGGTAGCAAGGGTTGGACGGTGGAGTCACTTCTGGCGGTTCTGGGGCGAAAGGGGCGAAAATTTTCCAAAAGTAAGTGGAAGTCTTCTTCCTTTCTTCTTTACTTTCTACGATTTCCAGAAAACAAATATTAATCTGATGAGCAATACTTAAAAACAAATCTGTCTGACACGGTTCCATGAACTCCAAAACTACTCAAATATCCAATATCATTTCAAAATCTGCTCAACTTGCTCAATTTGCATTTTTTTCTGGAATCACAATCGCGATGGAAGTTCCAACTCACTCCTCTCAAAGCAGTAGGAATAGGGGTTTCCGGTGAGCCCGGTGGGACACACGCACACCGGACGATGATCCTTGACGGTGCAGAGAGCGTGCGTCCCGCAGGCGCCGCACGGATCCCTGCACCGCTGCCCGGCACAGGTCTTGTCGGCCGGGCAGTCGTAATCCGTCTCGCATTCCGGCCCGCAGCCGTCCTGGTTCGGCCTCACCCAGAAGCCTGGGATGCAGTCGCAGACGGCCTCGCCGAGATCGTCCACGCGGCAGATGGTGTTCGGGCCGCACGGCGACGGGTGGCACGGGTTTCGAGGCGGCAGCGTGCATCCCGCGTAAGGGTTTCCTTCGTATCCGGAGTCGCAGAGGCATTTGCCGTTGTAGCATGACGAGTACGGACCGCACGGTGGGCTGCAGCGGTCCACCACGGGCGCTACGAAGCAACGGTCGTTTCGTCAACAAATATTAAATTACTTGGAAAATTACGTCAACAACTTCAGGACGATTAACAGTACTGTTTGTTCCGAAAAAAAAATTAGATCCTGAAAACTGTCGCATGGACTCACTGGAACAGCCGGAATAGGCATTCCCGACGAGTTCAGGGGGACAATAGCAGACCGGGTTCCTCCTTGGGTCGCAGAGGGCACCGGGGCCACACGGATTCGGCTCGCACGGGTTCGGGATCTTGCACCCTTGGATCGTGTTCGGGTCTTCCACGTAGCCGGGTCGGCAGACGCACTTTGCGTACCCGTCGATCACGTTGCATTCGGTGTGGGGGCCGCCTGCAAGGGAGACGAGGCTTCAAAATATATTTAAATACTAAAATAAATATTTAAAAAATAAATTGAAAAAATACTGACATGGATTGGGGTTGCATGGATTCTGCGGTCTGCGGCAGCGTTCGCTCGGCGGCTGCCCGATGAACCCGGGGAGGCAGAAGCACGTCACCTGCCCGGTGATCAGTCGACATCCTGCGTTCGGTCCGCACGGGTTCCCGTCGCACAGGTCTCCCTCTGGAACTGGATGCATCCGGGAGCGTCACGAGCGGTTCGAGCGGCACCAGCGGTTCGCGTTAGGGTATTATGGGGCATGCAGAGCTATCTTTGCTTCGTTCTTAAGCTAGACGAGTGCGGATCGCATACCAGTATTATATTTCCAAGCATGATAATATATTATATGCAAGTTTAAGTTATGGTATTATTTTACTTGCAAGCATAAGTTATGCTAATATATTATGTTCAAGCGTAAACTGTATGCTAATATATTATTGGCAAACATTAATCATACACTAATATATTAATAGCATGCATAAATCATATACTATTATTATTCAAAAGCATAAATCATATGCTATTATTATTCACATGCACAAATCATACGCTAAGTTATTATTCACAAGCATTAATCATACACTAATTTATTATTTGCAGGATACGCTAAGATGTTATCCTATCCAGAAGCATTAGGATCGAGCAGCCGTAACTCACGGATGAGTGCATACGCAGGCCCGATTAGCTCGGTAAACGTCACAAGATGCACGGTAATCGACGATACACTTACGGCATTTTTGGAACGGGTTTCCCGTGGTTCCCTTGGGGCACACACAGATGGCGTGGCCGTAGCTGACTTCGCACAGCGCGCCGACTCCGCACGGGTTCGGTTCGCACGGGTCCACGTGAGCTGGAGGTCGGGACGGGAGGGCGAGGAGAGAAACACGGATTGTGCAAGAAATAGAGGAAAATGTGCGAGAGGGGGGAGAGGGGGGGATTTTTGGTTTTTTTTTGTGAGGGGGGAGATAGAGGTCTGAAGAAGATAGTCAGGGTGAGTGGGTGTGGGTGTAGGGGTGGGGGTGGGGGTGGGGTGGACGGGTGACGGAATCGGGCTTACCGACTGCACACTCGATGTACGGATTCCCGGAATATCCGGGCTGGCACTTGCATCGGGGCTCGTGGTCGACGACGGTGCAGCCGGCGTTGCGGCCGCACTTCTCGTCCACGCAGGGGTTGCGGCAGACGCGGTTCAGTCGGTCGCAGAGCTCCGTGGGCGGGCAGTCTTCGTTGTACTGGCACACCGGCGTGCCGGTCGTGACTGCGGAACACACAGGGCGGCGTTACGGAAGAGAAAGAGCGGGTTCGAGAGCGGGTCGAAAGTGGGTCGAAACGCGGGTCGAAAGGGGAGACAGTCGGAGTCGGTCAGTGAGGTCGATCGTAGAGAAAACCGTGAAAAGTCCGTCACCGCAAAGTCGAACGACGTGATGGAACAACAGAACCCATCGGCCAAGCATGTACAGCACAACAGCAGCCCAACTACCGAAACCCGAATTACCGATTACCGATTACCTCGTTTACACTGAATGGTCGGGTCACCGTCAAAGCCATCGGGACAGTAGCAGATCGGTCTGTGCGCCATGACGCTGCAGCGGGCGTTCGCCCCGCACGTCACGTCTCTCACGCACGGACTCGTGCATATACCGTGAACGCACGCCTGTTTCGACGTGCACTCCTCGTCGTCCCTGCACGTGACTGGATCAGACAAGGATCGCGATGAAGCAAACAACCTTCCGTGCTGAAAAAATCTGGGAATCGCTTTTGCCGCGGCGTGCAAAACCGATCCCGCAAATTTTTTCCCCTAGAAATTTCCCATCGACTCTTACATTTCGTGCACTCCTGGTACGGATCCCCCGCGTATCCCTCGGGGCACGCACAGGTCTTTCTCGCACCGCACTCCGCCCCCTTCCCGCACAGTCTGCACCGATCGACGCACGTCCGATCGTGGCACACCTGCTCGGCGGGACAGTCGGTGTCCAGGATGCAGAGGGCGCGCACGCACCCTCCCGTCACGCTCGGGACGTGATCGGGCGGGCACAGACACTGCACCTTGTGCTCGATGACCTTGCACGTCGACCCCCGGGGACACAGATCCGGTCGCAGGCACGGATCGCTGCACTGTCTGTCGAGGCACACCTCGCTCGGGTCGCAGTCGGCGCTCTGGGTGCACCGCGCGATCAGCGTGCACCCGTGGAACGGGTTGCCCTCGAAGCCCTCGGGGCAGAAGCAGTTCGCGGCGTGGTCCACCGCCCGGCAGATCGCGTCCACGCCGCACGGGTCCCTGTCTTTCAAGCACGGATCCACGCACTTGCCCTCGAGACATTCCTCGTGAGAGTGACATTCCTCACTGAGGACGCAACCGGGGGATTTGGCGCCATCTGGTGGGGATTAGCGACAACCTGGTTGGTTTTCTTGCTTTTTTTTTGGCAATGGCAAATGGCACGGATGGGGGCCCGGTTAGACTCTTTCTATCCGACAAGCTTCGCAGATATTCACAAGAAAAAGCGGTTTCGACGATCGCACAAAAAAAAAACCGTGGGGCTTGCCATTTACGAGTTCCCAAGTATTTTCTCATCAACTGCCGATCTAATCGCTTACATTTCGAGTCAAACTTAATATGAAATCATATATATATATATATATGCACTTGCGAAAGTCTAGAACGAGTTGGAACCGTAAATGCTCCTCGCGAAGTCATCGCACGGCATCGTCGAATTTCGCATCCCCTCCATTTCTCCTCTCGCAAGCCCCACGCAACAAGCAAACGGACAAGCGAGAAAGAAAGCGACAAGCAAAGGCGACAAGCGTGGCGACCTGGGAAGCACTCCAGCCTGGGATCCCCGTGGAACCCCTCGGGGCAGGCGCAGATCGGGGCTCCCTCCCCCGCCTCGCAGACGGCGTTCAGTCCGCACGGGTCTATGTCACAGGGGTCGGGGCACGGGTGCGAGTCGCATGTCGTGGGGGGAGGGCAGTCCGAGTCCGTCGCGCACCGTGCTGCTGGGGGGAATAGGATACGGGTCGTGCATGGTCCTGCTCTACGGGTCGAGGGAGGACCAGCTCTTTTTTTTACATTTTAATATAAATATCAAATATATATTTTAAAAAAATGAAATCAAATTTTAAAATGTGATTTCATTTTTTCATCTTTTATATGTGATTTAAAATTTTTTTTCGCATCGACGTACATGCATTTGAGAAAGCGAGAGCTGCTTCTCCCTCCAACACGGGGGAATTTTTGACGGAGGGTTTTCAGGGTGTACATGCCACAAGCATCACTAATTACAAGGTGATTCCTAATTAAGACTACGCATGCTAAATATCGCTATCTACTGCTAGACGAGAACGATTACGGTGTGAGTTTTTGGACGTGACGGGTTGCGGCGTGAGGTGAGTGAGTGCTACGGGGCCCATCTGTTCGATCGAGAGGAAATCTTACGCTGGAGCGGAACGCAGGAACCGGCGCGGCCGGCCGCGAAACCCAGACTGCAGCGGCAGCGGGCGCGGTGTCCGGCCGCGACGCACTCCGCGTGTTCGTGCGTGCACGGGTTCCCCTCGAGGCACGGGTTCCGGCACCGTCGGTTAATGCAGGTGTGAGCGGGTGAGCAGTGCTCGTCGCGCACGCACGTGCTGGGGGGCGTGCTGACGGCTGTGGATCACGGCGCTTGTCAGTCTCCTGGCCTCAAACTTTTCTCTTAAAATTCCTCTAACTTTTTTTTTTCATTCTCAGAGTCTAAAGTGGCAAGTGTCAAGTCTCAAGCGATTCTGAAATTCAAATTTTCTGAGTCTACGATTTCAAGATGGATCTTGCATGAATGCAAAACTTCATCGCTGGAGATTCGCTAAATTACGATTTAAAAAAATTATTCGTCATTTCTCTCGCAATAAACTATCTTACCGGAAATGTACGATGAGAACTTGCTTATTTAGACAAAAAATGACAGTAAAATTTGGTTGAAGTGAAGCACAGACGAATATCTCTAAACGATACCGAAAAATAAAAAATAAACTAGTTTATTATTGGGGGTGAAGAGAGTTAGTATACCTTCGTGGCAGTGGTCAGTGGGGCTGCCGGTGTATCCCTGCGGGCAGGAGCACCGGGGCGTGTGCGCGATGGCCGTGCACAGCGCCCCGGACCCGCACGGACTGTCCACCAGGCACGGGTTCACGCACCCGGATTCCCGGCAGGCCAAGTGCGGGGGGCAGTCCGGGTCGCCCTGGCAGGCCGGGGTCACCGGGGTCACGGCGGTCACGGGGGTCGCCGTGCCGGGGATCACGGTCACGGGTCGCGGGGTTTGGCTCAGGGAGGGTTTGGGCGCTGGTTTCCGGGTCAGGGAGAGAACATTCCACATTAGAATTATATTATACATATATTATTATTAGAATTATATGCGAGTTTGCATTCCACGTGCGTGAGTGCTTAAGTAACATTAACTTAGGTCGAGGACGCGTCGTGCAAATTCGTTTCTGCAGTTTGCAGATGCATGCTCTTCCCTCGTCGCGGATTTACGCGACATAAATGTATTATGAGGGGTGTAAAATATTTAATACATTAAATGGATACTTTGTACTTTTCTCGGCGGCGCGTGAGTCACCGCCGTACATTTAAGAAATATATTTCCACAGGAAACGATGGGAATCCAAAACCGTTCAATCTGAACGAGAAAATCGATTGAAACTCAGCGAGTTTTAGAATCAGAAGAATAAATTACGAAATTAGCCAAAATTGAAATAAATTTCATTTATTCGAATGCATTTTTATTTCGTTAGTGGATCTGTTTATATTTAATTGCGCGACGCATCCTCTGGGCTTAGGGAGTAAAGAAGCCGTGAGGGCAGCAGCCAGGGTTTTTGTAAGTACCTGCGGGACTACATCCGTCAACGGGGTTCCCCGTGAAATCGGGCAAGCACACGCAAACGGGCTGGTGGTCTCGACCGAAGCACTCCGCGTTCGCGCCGCACGGCCCGAGCCCGCAGGGGTCGACGCACGAGACCCCGTCGCAGACGTGGCCGTCGGCGCAGTCGAGATCGGAGCGGCACGGACTCGGCGACGGCGATTCTAAGAGGGACAGAGAGTCACAAGAGGGGGCCTTCGAGGGGGGCCTTCGAGGCGGCCCTCGAAGGCCGAGTCGGGAGAAAGGACAGATCGAGAAGAAAAGTCGCTGGAAAAAGAATCATGAAGGCACTTTGAACGGTGAGTGAGGGACAGGAGACCCAAGAACGGCTTTAGTAAAGCGTCAACGCCCAGTGCTACGATTTTCCATCGAGAAGAAATTTTCTACCACGCAAAATGAACCAGTCGTGGTGAGGACGAGCACAAATTTATCGTTTTATTATTTTTTATCACTACAAAGCGGCATCGCTGGGTGAAGGTCTCCTGTTTGGGAACATCATTAGTGACGTCGGTGACGTCATTAGTGAGGTGGTCACGGGTGAACACCTTCGAGGAACTCGCTCGCACACGGATTAAAAAAAAACACCGACTCGCACGCCGTGCAATCTCTCACACGCATGCACGCGAGGAAACGCGAGGAATCGCTCGGAAGCATGCGGGACGTGACTCACCTGGCTGGCATCGCCCCTGCTGACAGGTGTGACCGGCGGGGCACGACCCGTCGTCGCCGCACTCGCGGAACTCCGGTGGGCTCGCTGTGAAAGGGGGGTCCGCTTACAATGGGGGTCCGCTTACATGGGGTCCGCTTACAATGGGGGTCCTCTTACGATGGGGCCGCGTGGGCCGTCGTCGGCCGGTCGGCGACTTTTCGTCCGTGTCGGCGAACGATCTCGGCGTCTAACTTCGTTTCGCTTCATGTCGGGAAGGCGACGAAATGCGTCTTTAACGTAATCTCGAAATCGGATTTAATTACCTTCTTACCGTTTCCTTTTTAAATTATTATTCTCGCCGTCAGCAAAAAGCGAGACGAGGAAATGTCGAACCGAGTGATCGTGACCTTTGGTGAAACCGGCGGTGTCGATTCGTTTTCCGTTTCCACTCCTCGTATCCTAGCAAGCCCTGACAGACAGGCCAAATGACAGTCGAATCGGCCAAATGACAGTCGAATCCGTCAATTGAGAGAAATTGCTTCCAACAACTTCTCATTTCGGTTAATTTCTGCATTCATAATTGTTCACCCGACCGTAAATGGCATGCTTGTCGCCTAATTACTTCCTAATTACTTCCTAATTACTTCCTAATTACTTCCTAGTTACTTTCTAATAACTTTCTAGTCACTTTCTAATTACTTTCGCCATTCGCCGTTTCGTTCGATGATTTCGGACGAAAAGTCGCAGACTCACACTTGACACTTGAGCCTCATCATTTCCATTAGGTTCAATTTTCATTAATTTCTTGCTAATTGCCGCGTCAAACTTTTCACTCCGAATTTTACTCCTGAATTTGATTCTACTCGAAATTTCGCGGACTCTCCGCGGTAAGAAAATTGCAATAAAAAAAAGACTCACGTGATCCGACGACGCAGTTGCAGCCGTCGCAGAAGAGGCCGGCGGAGCATTCGCGGTTCGTCTTGCATTCGCACACTGCAATTAAATCGATCAAATATATTTCGGGAACGAATGTTTACATCGTTACCGTTCTCGGAGGAAGAGACTCACCGGAGATGCAAACCGTGAGGTGGTTGCGAACCTCGCAGCGTTCGCCGGGTTTGCACGGGCTGTTTTGCACGCACGGGTTTTGGCACTGTCGGTTTATGCAGGACAGAGAGGCGGGGCATTCGCTGTTGTCTGAGCAGCCGACCACTGAACACAAACAATCCGTATGTCAGTCCTAAATTCATTTAAATTAAGTTAATTTAAATTACATTTTAATTTAATTAAAATTCATAAATCTTTAAATGTTCGTGATGCATTTTTTGCTTTACTGATTTTTTTTCCTAGAAATTTGAAATTATATTTAAGAATTTCAAGATGAATTAAATTACTTTCTGCAATGTTTGTACAATAAATAGCCGAAGAACGAAATACTGCGAGGCTCCAAGCAACATGGCGAAACTAAAAAAAAAAAACTAAGAAGATATTTCTAAGAACGCAAGCATTTTACGCATAGCACCTTTCCTCACATGCTGAAACAAGCTCCAAAATGCTGAAAAAGAACAGGCATCGAAAAAAATCAGCGGGAAAAATCAGCTGCAAAAAAACAGCAAAAAAGGAGAAAAAAATAGCAACTACTGTTTACGAGCGATAAATGCAAGAGAGATGGATCCACAGTGCCTTCGGCGCTGCATCGCGGCGGTTGGTCAGTGCAAGCGAGAAAGGAATCAGTCCCAGAAGGAGGAATCGGTCCCGGAAAGAAGGAATCCGTCCCGGAAGGGAGGAATCCGTCGCGTTTCATCGAGAGTCGAACGGGAAAGCCCCAGAGACACCAAGCGACAGGGTTGCAAGAGGGTGAAAAGGTAAGCGGTGTTTTTTGGTACGGTGCGTTACCTTCGCATTTTAGATCGGGGCTACCGTGCATGTAAGTCGGGCAGACGCACGCAGGCCTGTGCGCGACGACGAAGCATTCGGCGTTCGCGCCGCAGAAGTTCGCGACTTGGCAGGGGTCCTGACAGAGGTTGTCGATGCAGGCGAGGAGGGTGGGGCAGGTGGTGTCGGTGCGGCACTGGACGCGGGTGCCGGGGGGGGTCGGACGAGGGGTCGGTGTCGACGGGTATTTGGGACTCGAAAGTTCTGATTCTGTGGGAGTTTCGGGGTATCCTGGACGTGTCGTCGAAGGGTGCTTTGGTCGTGTCGTCGGCGAGGGGTACTTTGGTTGCGTTGTTGTCAACGGGTGTTTGGGACCCGACGGCGTGACGGGATATTCCGGCCGCGCGGATGTCGCCTGATGTTCGGGACGCGCCGGCGTCGTCGGACGTGTCGGTTTCGACGGTGTCTGAGGGTACGTAGGTCGTGTCGTTATTGCAGGCGATTCGGTTCTTGCAGGTGTGACCGGATGTTCTGGTTCGAGTGAGGTCGGAGGGAACAAAGGCCGCGTCGACGATTCGGGTTGCCGCGGGGTCGTCGGCGGCGACGCGAACGGATGCGTGGGCCTAGGGCTCGTCGACGGCTTCACGGGTCTGGGAGTGTCGCGTTCGTCCGGATATTCGGGTCGTCGAGTCGGGACAGAGAACGTTCCGGGTCCGACCGGAGCGTCCGACGTCGGTGGACTGGTCACGGGTTCGCCGTGGTCCGACGGGGATTTAATCGCGGGATGGGTCGCGGGCGGCCCGCCCGTCTCGGGGACGCGAGGCGATTCGGTCGTCTGGGGGACGCGAGGCGGCCCGGCCGTCTCGGGGACGCGAGGCGATTCGATCTCGTCGGGGACGCGCACGCACCCGTCGATCGGGTTCCCCGTGTAACCTAACGGACATAAGCACACAGGCCTGTGCGACGACGCCCGACACAATGCATTCTCCCCGCACGGTCGAGGCACGCAAGGGTCAACACATCGATTAGTTGCACAATGCTGGGCAGGGGAACAGTCCGCATTGCTCTCGCAACCGGTTCCATTAGTGAGTGCTGGGGGCGCTTCCGTGGTGGTTCGCCATGGGGCTGCGACAACGGGAGAGAGAGATTCATCCGTTCAATCATTGCATTCAATGTCAGGGTCAGTAATATGAGGTGGAAGAAGCCAGGTTTTTTTTTCTTAAGCTTTCAGGTCCGATGCGTCTTCGGCGGATTTTCGGGACCTGAAAGCTTCCGACTTTTTTTTTAACATTCACTAGAGGGTCAATGGTGAGTAGGAATACGTTATCGTTACGGTGGGAAGTTTTTTTTTTCGGGTGAGGCTTCCCCAGCTCCCGGTTAGACCATCGTATCCGGCATTCCATTACCTGGGACGCAACCGGAGGCGGGATCGGCCACGTAGCCGGTGGGGCAGAATTTGCAGACGGGCCTATGGTTCTCGCTGACGCACGGTGTCCCTCGGGGGCACGCGTGATCCGCGCAGGGATCCTGGCACTGATAGTTCCGGCACGCCTGGCTGGGGGGGCAGCCGCCGTCGCGGAGGCAGATGGTCAGCTCCGTCGTGCATTCCTTGTCGCAGATGCAGAAGGCTCGGTGGTCGTTGACGTCGCAGGTCTTGCCAGGGCCGCACGGGTCGTTCACTCGGCAGGGGCTGTTGCATTTGAAGTTGATGCAGGCGAGGTGAGTCGGGCATTGGTCGTCCGAGCGGCATTCCACTTCTCCGGGGGAGCAGACGAATTCGCCGGCTTCGTTGACGAGGAAGCCGTGTCGGCACACGCACACCGGGGCGTGGTCCCTCACCTCGCAGAGCTTGTTCTGGGCGCAGGTGTGGCTCTCGCAGGGGTTGAGGCATTCGCGCAGCCTTCCGTCGCAGCGGAGGGATTCGGGGCAGTCGTCGTCTTCGTCGCATTTCGAACCGGGGATCCCCGGCCTCTGCGTGACGAGTCCGCTGCACGCCGGGTCGGGCGTGCAACTCACCGCGGGTCTCCCGCGGAAACACTGCGGACACGTGCATCGGACCTGGTGGCGGACGGCGCTGCACAGCGCGTTCTCCCCGCACGCCCCTCGGCGGTTGCAGGGATTCGTGCATTGGCCCTTGTCGCAGGCCTCGTCGCTGGGGCAATCGTTGTCGGTACGACAAGCGCCCACTGGTGGAGGAAGGGGGAGGTGGAGGAGGCGGGGAGGACATAAAGAGAAAAAGACAGACATCATGGACACGCCGTAACCTCGGGGGTCGAGGAGGGTTAGAGAGTCCCGGTTCGAGTCAGTCGGGGTTAAAGACGGGTCGGTCAGAGTGCAGAGTGAAGCATGGACCGTGTGCAAAGTGTGACGTGGAGTGACATGCAAGAGCCGCAGGGCAGCGTGGACGTCGGGTATTTTCGTTTTTTTTTTCAGCTATGTGATCGTCTCTTTCGTCCTGACGCGTCCGGGACCCGAGCGGCCGCGTCGCGTTTTCTCGACCGCTCGGGCCCCGATCGAAGTCGGTCGCCGGCGGGCAACCGTCGTGGACGAGGGAACGGTAACTCACCCGGCGAGTCGCACTTTTCGAGCGGGTCTCCGGTCGTGCCTCCGGGGCACCGGCACATGTAGTTCTCTCCCGACCGGACGCATTGGGCTCCGACGCCGCATCCGCTCTGTCTGCAGTCCAGATCGATTCGCTCCACTTTGCCTGCGACGAACGGACTCGGGCGTGAAATTCGGGCACTAAATTCGGACGTCGAAATCGAACGCATTCGGAACGATCGGACTCACATTCCCGGTTAGGATCTCCCAGCGGGTGACTGGGCGGACAGTAGCATTTCGGCCCTCCGTCCACCACCTGGCATCGCGCGTTCACCCCGCAATACACCGTCCTGCAAGGGTCGATCTGCGGTCCTTGGCAGATGCAGCCGGAGTACGGGTCGCCTTGGCAGCCGGGCTCGCACTCGCAGGTGAAGCTGTTGGGGGTGTCGGTGCAGATGGCGTTCGTGCCGCAGGGGTTGCCCAGGCACTCGTTCACGTCTGCAGGGAGATCGCGAAACGGTTTTTGGAGCTGACGTGCTCGCCGATTTTGAGGAATCGTCGATAAAGTGGAGCAGCCGGTACCAAACTTATTTTAAAATTTGACTTAATTTACGATTTAAAAAAAAAACTCATGATACCAGGCAAGAAGAACACGTTGGACCGTGCAAACGATGCGAAAAACCGAAGCATTGCCTAAACCACAAGAACGGAATGAGGACTTGGCACCGACCTCGTTGACATTCGACCCTCGGATTGCCGGCGAATCCCGGCGGGCACTGACAGACGGCCCTCCGATCGTCCACCCTGCACTGCGCGTTGAGCCCGCACGCCCCCTCCTGGAGGCACGGGTTCACGCACGACCCCTCCCTGCAGTACTTGCTATCCTCGCAGTTGCGATCCTCCAAGCATTCCACCTTCTCGCACAGCGCGAACGGATCCCCCACGAAGCCGTTGGGGCAGAGGCAGACCGCCTGGTGGTCGGAGGCGAGGCACTGGGCTCCCTTCCCGCACGGCTTTCGCTCGGCGCACGGGTTCGTGCACTTGCTCTTCGCGCAGGCTTGGTCGTTCGGGCAGTCGTTGTCCGAGCGGCAGCCCGAGACGCAGATCCCGTCGCGGCACAGGTGGCTCTGTCGAGGGAAACCGAGGTTCGTGGATGTCCGGCGGAAAATATGAATTCCGATGTAAATGATAAAAAAATCGTAATTCATTAATGATTAATGGCTCCATCGATAAATATTACGATAAAAGAGAATTTCGATTCGGACTTGATTATTGGAAGCGATGAAAAGGCGAAAGTGTTTAAAAGAGACCATGAGCATCACCTCACCCAAGAAAAACGAATGCAGCAGACACAATTATTATAAATTATAAATAATAAAAAATAGAATGGCACTCACCCTCGAACAGTCGTTGGTGTTGCTGCACTTCTTGTGGCACACGTTCTGGACGCACGTCTCCCCGCACGAGCAGCCGTCGTCGCCGCGGCAGGCGTTGGTGCAGAAGCCATCGCGGCACACGCCGCCCCGGCCGCAGCCGCGGTCGCCCGTGCACGCCTTCGGCGGCCGTTGACACAGCACCGATGGGTTCCCGACCATCTCCGCCGGGCACGTGCACTGCGGCGAGTGGTTCGCCACCTGGCACAGGGCGCATTCGCCGCACGCTGCTGCGCTCTCGCACGGATCTGCAGGAAGCGAATTTTCAACGTCGCGATCCAGCTCCCAGGCCATTTCAGTACCATATCTTTTTCTTTCTCGCATACAATTCTTACAATAATTACTTTTAGCATTTTTCTTTAAATGTTTAATTTTTAAATTCCACTTCATTCCCTTCAAATTATTCTTTTTCAGCTTGAATTAATTAAAAATAAATTTAAATATTTTTTATTTATTTACCAAACCTCACGCCCCCACCGACCTCAACGCGTTCACTTTAGGGAGAAAGCATCCACTCACTCCTGCAGACCCGATCGATGCAAGCCTTCTGGAGCTCGCACTGAGCATCGCTGCGGCATCCCGTCCTGCACAGCCTCCCGTCGCAGATCTCCCCTTCCTCGCACTGGTCGTCGGAGTTGCAGATGGACTTGCACACGCCCCCGACGCATCGTTCGTTGTCCAAACAGCTCTGGTCGCTGCGGGGAGAGATGGAACCGTGAGCGAGGATCCACCGCGAACGGTCGCGAACCGTCGCGAATCGCTCACCTCGAGCACTTCGGTCGACAGAGTCCCTGGACGCAGGTCTGATCGTCGGGACAATCCCCGTCGGCCTTGCATCCCCTCGGCGGTTGGCGACACGAGAGCATGGGATCCCCTTGCAACGGTGGCGGGCACACGCACGACACTTGGTGGTCTCGCACGCTGCACGCCGCGTTCGTACCGCACGCCGTCGACGAGTCGCACGGATCTGAAAACGGGGAACACAACCGTTTCGGTCCGATCGGTCGACACCGTTTCCGTCCGACCTGGCGACACGTGTCGGTCGAGAAGCAACTCACCGATGCACTTGTTGTTGATGCAGGCCTGATGCGACGGGCACTCGTTGTCGGCACGGCAGCCGACCACGCACAGGAGACCCTGACAGATCTCCCCGTTGCGGCAGTCGCCGTCCCGACGGCAGATCGGCTTGCACACGCCCTCGTCGCATTTCTCGTTCGCCAGACAGTTCTGCACGCTCGAACAGATCGGCCTGGGGGCGACAAAGTCGTCGAGATCCCGATTCAAATTTCACCAACATTCAATTCAATCAATTAATCGCGACGTCAGGAATGAAGCGGACGCCGAAATCGGCCGCAAAAGCCCGTACCTGCAGACGGATCCGGTGCAGACGACCCCAGCCGGACAGTCGTTATTCGTCACGCACGGCGTCGGCTCCCTCACGCACGCCACGTTCGGCGTGGGATTCGGGATGAACCGCTCGGGACAGGAACACTGAGCCCGGTGACCGACGACGGAGCAGAGGGCGTTGGGTCCGCACGCCGCCCCCGCGTCGCAGGGGTTCACGCACCGGTTGTTGAGGCACGCCTCCGACGACCCGCAGTCCTCGTTCGCTCGGCAGCCGATCAGACACATGTTGTTGAGACAGATGTGCCCGAGGAAACAGTCGTTGTCCACTCGACACGTCACTGAACCAAACCATTTTTTAAATAATTTCTTTTAATTAATAAATGTAATATATATAAATTTGTAAAAATGATTTAAAATGAAAATCCGGACTCACGTATGCAGTTGCCATTGACGCACTTCTCGTTGAGCGCACACTCGTTGTCGCCCTGGCACCCAGGCATGCACACGCCGTACTGACACGTCGACCCGAACGGACACTGCTCCTGCGACTGACACGGCGTCGGCGTCCTGATGCATTCCACGGCCGGCTCGCCCTCGAATCCCACGGGGCACGTGCAGTGCTTCCCGTGACCTCGCATCTCGCAGAGGGCGTTGAGGCCGCACGCCGAGTCCGTGTCGCACAGGTTCGTGCACTGACCCCGCACGCACGCCTCCGAGGCGCTGCACTCGTCGTCCGATCCGCAAGGAGCTAGACCGACATGAGATATTTTATTTCGAACGTGAAAAAAAACAAACGCGTCGGTGCGTGTCGACCACGAACGAAACGCGAAACTCACGTCGGCAGTATCCGCCGTCGCAGATGGTCCCAGATGAACAGTCTTGGTTCGAATTGCATCGCACTTGAACTGCAAAAACCAAACATATTTTAAATTCGCTAATAATTAGCTAATTGAAATCCGAGTCGAGACGAACTGTACTGACTCGGAGTGCATCCGATGTTGAGGTCGTCACCGCTGCCCGTGTACCCGTCGATACAGGTGCACGTCGCGGCGTGGTTCACCGGCTTGCACAGGGAATTCGGTCCGCATCGCACGCCCTCGCATACATCTGCATCGTTTCCCATCGTTTTTCATCGTACCATATATTTTAAATACATATATATTTAAATGAGAGAATTCGGTGGTTACCCTGGCACTTGGGTCGATTCCTGACCATGATGCACCTGGCCGTGAGGGGGCAGTCGCCGTCCTTGCGGCAGGCGACCGGCTCCTCGCATCCTTCGGCGTACGGGTCTCCGACGGTCCCCTCGGGGCATCTAATCCCAAAATGATTCCCTCGAGTGAATTTCGAGTGAATTTCACCGACGAGGACGAGCGAAAAGGAGGCACACGAACCTGCAGATGTACGTGCCACGCCTCGCGTTCTGGCACTCCGCGCCCAGGCCGCACGGCTCGGCCGCGCAGTAGTCGATCTGCCTGCACCGGACGCGCGCGTCCCCCGTGAAGCCCTCGGGGCAGCGGCACGCCGCGTCGTGGTTCTCCGACACGCACTGGGCTCCTTCTCCGCAGGGGTTCTGCACTCGGCATGCGGCTGCAACACGTTTTCCGCCGTGATGTCATGCGAAATTTGCAACTTAAAAAATGTGTAGCTTCGTTCGCAAACATTTTTCATTTTATTTATTTTATGTATTATTTTATTTTTATACTTTATTTTAACTCAAAATTTAAAAATGATCTGGAAGCCGTACCTTTGCATTTGAACTCGTGGCAGACGTCGCTGCTCTGCCGACAGTCGTCGTTCTTGTCGCACTGCTTCCTCTCGCATCCGATCTTGTCGTCCTGCGGATTCCCGAAGAATCCGGCCCGGCACTGGCACGACGGCGCGTGGTTCTTCGGCACGCACTCCGCGTTACGCCCGCAGAGCACCAGGCCGTCGCACACGTCCTGGCACTCCGCCTGCCCGACCGCGTTCTGCCGGCACGCCTCACGCCCCGCGCAGTCGTTGTCCGAGCGGCACCGACTCACCACGACGCAGATCCCGTTCTGGCACGTCTGGAACGTGGAGCAGTCCGCGTCGTTCTGGCAGCGGGGCGTACAGCGGCCGTCGATGCACAGTTGATCCGAAAGACAGTCTCTGGCACTCGTGCACGTCGCTGAAAAAAAATTAATTATTTTAATTGAAAATAAAATAAAATATTTAATTTACCATGAAAACCTCTGAAACTCTAATTAATTTTCAATTTTATTTCAAGTAAATTTTAAAAAATAATATTTTTTTCCAGTTTGACCATATTCAAACGAAAATCGTGAAAAATCGTCGGACTCACAGGTGCAAACTCCATTGCTGCACACTTCCCCGGTCGGACACTGCCCGTCGCCCAGGCACTGGATGATCGGCGAGCACCCGAGCAGCGGGTCACCCGTGAATCCGGGCGAGCAGGTGCACCCGGCCTGGTGGTTCCCAGCGCGGCACTCCGTGTCGCGCCCGCACACGCCCGGGATCCCGCACGGGTCCACGCACTGGTTCTCCACGCACGCCTGGTTGTTCCCGCAGTCGTCGCTCTGGATGCATTCCAGCGTCGTGCATTGGATGCTGGGGTTCCCCGTCGTCTGCACCGGGCATCGGCACACCGCTCTGCACGACAACGAAACGGATGTCGTGCTCACTCTTTTACTTTTTTCTTTAACACACTGAAAAAGTATTACAGCTTTACTGAGCTTTACTATGTTATGTTTTATTTTATTTTGTATCATATTACCTTTTCCTTATATAATTTTCATTTTTTATACAATATAATTTTTATATATTATATTATACTACATTTATATCGCGATCATGGCGTAAAGCACTCACTGTCTGTTGATGGCAGTGCACTGCGCACCCCTGCCGCACGCATTCGGCTGTTCGCAAGGATTCTGGCACCGGTTGTTGACGCAGATGGCGTTCGGGGGGCATTGGGCCTCGGTGCGGCACTCGCCCGGTCGCAGGCAACCCCCGAGGTAGGGGTCGCCCACAAGTCCCTCGGGGCAGACGCACTTGTGGCTTCCGGGGAGATTCTGGCAGCTGTGAAGTCGAATGTGCAACATTTTTTATTTATATCTTTTTTTTGCGCCAAAGACGACTAAAACGGATTCAAATCGAGGAATTATTTTTTAAAATTATTTTTAACGTACGACTTACAAGTACCATCATGGAGAATTAATTCAGACGGAATTAATTCAAGAATTGCAAGTTGATCGATCGCAAACAAGTTCAAAAATAATTCAAAATCCTGGAAACAGACAAAAAAAAGGACTAAGGACAAAGGACTCACATCCCAGACGGATGGCAAGGATTCTCTTTGCACTCGTCGATGTCGACGCACGCGTCGCCGAGGACGAAGTACCCGGCCTGGCACACGCAGACCGGCCCGTGGTTCTCGGCTCGGCACGTCCCTCGTCCGCAGTCCACTTGGGCGCACACGTCTGCCGGGCGTCGAAAGTGTTAAATAAATATAGAAATAACTAAAAGTTTAAAATATGAATATGTAAAATATGAGAAAATTTTTTGCATTTTTTTCTTTTTTTAAGCCTCTAATACGTCTAATAAAACATAAAACTAATTGCTTTTGAGGAATAAATTAAAACGAAAAGAAAGCCGGGCTCGGGACCCACCGATGCAGCGGTTGCTGAGCCGGTCGCAGAGCTTGTCGGCCGGACAGTCCTCGTTGTAGATGCACTCGACGCGGAAGCAGCCGACGCTCACGTCGGCCGGGCTACCCATGTGCCCCGGCCGACACTGGCAGAAGGCCAGGTGCTTCTGGACGATGCAGTCGGCGTTGGGGCCGCACGCCGTCAGCGTGCAGGGGTTCATGCACTTCAGGATCTCCTGGCCGTTCAGCTGGCAGGAGAGGGACTCGGGGCAGTCGTCGTCAGACTTGCATTCGTGGGGCGGGTGGCCTAAGAAAACATACGATTTTTCCTGTCTTTTCTCGCGAGAAACTTGCGCCCGATGGAAGACTAAGAAATTGATCGACTCATTGGCAAGAGTCGTAAATATAAATAAATCATAAATTAAAAATAAATAAATAAAATAATGTATAAATGGTAAATTAATATAAATAAATAAATAGATAAAAATGAGCAATATCGAGGAAAGTCTCCTCACATCCTTCCTGGTTGGGATCCCCGACGGTGCCCTGAGGGCAGGTGCACTTGAAGGTCCCAGGCAGGTTGACGCAGATGGCAGAAGGGTGACAAGGACTGTTGGTGCATTCGTCGATGTCTTCGCAGCCCACGAGGCCGTAGACGAAGCCGGTTCCGCATCGGCACTGGTTGCTCATGCAAACCTGGTCCGGAGTCCATTCATTAATCAAATGATATACGTGGGAATAAAATAATTGTACCATTTGGTACCACTTGCAATTGTGCTTTACATTAATTCGACGGATTTTATCTTAAATAAATTTGATTTAGTCGTTAGTCGAAATTTCTTTGAATCCGGGAATCGGATTAAGATTAAGATTAAGGGGACTCCGCTCTTGGACTCACCTCGTTCTGTCGGCAGTCGCTGGCGCTCCGGCAGCCCGGCTGGCACATTCCCTCGACGCAGACCTCGCCTTGAAGGCAGTTGTTGTCGGTGTAGCAGACCTTGAGGCACATGCCGTTCTCGCAGCGTTCGCCCGCGGCGCATTCGGACGCGGAGGCGCAGGGAGGACGGCACTTGTTGGCCTGGCAGATGAAGCGAGGGGGGCACTGAGCCGGGGTGGAGCAGTCGGTCGGGGTCCGGACGCAGCCCTGCTGCGGGTACGGGCTCCCTTCGAAGCCGTCCGGGCAGTAGCACTGGGCCGAGTGGGTGATGACGCGGCAGAGGGCGTTGGGGCCGCACGCGCCGGGGCGGCCGCACGGGTCGGTGCACTTGCTGTTGATGCACGCCTGTTCGCGGCCGCAGTCCGCGTTGTTGCGGCAGCCCGCGGCGCAGAAGCCTCTCAAGCACGCCTGCTTTTCGGGGCACTGCGCGTGACCCAGGCACGGCGACATGCAGAGCTTGTTGAGGCATCGCTCTCCTTGCGCGCAGTCGCCATCAGAGCCACAAACGACTGAAAGAAAAAAACTCAAAATCGTCAGCAGGTGCAAACTCGCGCTCGATGCGAAAACTTGCGCGTTTCGGCGTGGCACCGATTTCGCGACCGAGAGATCGCGATGAATATTGGCTGACTTTTCGAGAACTTCTGAAGCTCGACCGCGCTCCCGTAACGATAAACCCAGAATTACTGTGAGGTCCATGCATGAAACTCGCGAACCGCGAAAACTTTCCAATTTAAATGAAGTTCCTCAATCGAACGGAAATAGACCGAAGGAAAGAAAGCGACTTGGACTGACTTCGACACATCCCTTGGATGCAGACGTCCCCACCGCAGTCCCCGTCGGCCTGGCACCCCGACACGATGCGCCTGCAATGCTGGAGCCCCGCTCCGGTCACGACCACTCCGAATCCAGAGCGGCACGTGCAGAGGGCGCTCCGGTCCTTCACGGAGCAGACGGCGTTGCGTCCGCACGGCTCGCCCTCGCACGGATTGCGGCAGACGCCTTTCGTGCAGGCGGAATCCGGTGGACAGTCCGCGTTCGTCGTGCAGTAGTCTCCGCCTCGTCGACCTGTGCCGACAAAAAAAATCGGCATGCCGTTTTCAGCACGTCAAAATCCTCTCTCGAGCGCGAATCGCTCGAGGAACCGACACGGAACCGGCATGGAACCGGCACGGAAGAGACACTCACATCCCCCGACGTACGGATCCCCGATGGCACCCTGTGGACACTGGCACGCGAAGCCGTTCGGAGCGGCGACGCACTGCGCGCTCGAATGGCACGGAGCCGAGTCGCACGGGTTCAACGGCAAGCATCCGATCTCCGGCGACACGTTCGGGCGGAATCCGGGCCGGCACGAGCACTGCGGCGCGTGGTTCGCGGCCACGCAGATGGCGTTGGAGCCGCAGGCGTCCCGGCACACGTCGTAGCAAGCGTAATCCAGGCGGTTGCAGGCCTGGTCCTTCGGGCAGTCCGAGTTCATGATGCAGCTCACTATTTCAAACATATCACATGTATAATATATATCGTATATTTAATACAAATGGGGAAAATGAAAATAAACGTTTCGTACCGGCTTGGCAGCCGGAGCGGAGGTCGTTGGGGTCGCCGGCGTATTTGCCCGGTGGACATTGGCATTGGCCTTCGTGGTTGTTAGCCACGCAGACCGATCCGGGACCGCATTGCACGAATTGACAAACCGGTAGACATCTAAAGAATATTCATTCAAATTTAATAAATAAATAACATTTATTACATATATTTAATTGATTATTTATTTACAAAAAAATTCTTAGGAATTAGTTATACGTAGATTTGGGATAAAACAGCATAAATCAAATTCAAGATTAAAGGATAAAGAATAAAATTAAATTAAATTAATTTCAGACTAAAAAAATTAAAAATTAAATGAATAAATAAAAATGTTGGTACAAGTAAATAGAAAATTACCTCCTGATGGCATTCTCCTCCCTGCAGACCTGAGTCTCCGGGCACTGTGTGTCCGACTGGCACTGGTCCTGCGGCTGCGGGACGCACCCCTCGCGACTGTTGGGGTTCCCCGCGTACCCTGGGAGGCACCCGCACACGCCGCGGTGGTTCTGGGCGACGCAGCGCGAGAACTGGGGGCAGGTCACGTAGCTGCACACGTCGATGCATTTGAGCACGCCGAGGCCGTCGGGGCGGCAGGAGCCGTGCAGGGGGCAGTCGGCGTCGCGGGAGCATTCCGGGATGCTTGGTTCTGTGGGGAGGGGGGGCGATGCGTACGTGAGTCACGCACCGGACGTGAAATTTTTTTTTGCTTGCACGCAAGGGAGCACATAATGATAATGTAAAGTTTAAAATAAATTAAAACGTTTGCGATGAAACAACCGACCATTATTACAATTTCTCACGCGTGTAAAGACGGAAAATATGGAGTACGTGAGTGCGTGCGTGCGCGAACTAAAAAAGTGAAGGAAACGGACTCACTCTCGCATTTTCCAGAGACGGGGTTGCGCGCATAGGTCGGGATGCACTCGCACACGGGCACTGCCTCCCTCAGGAGACAGACCTCGTTCTGTCCGCAGAAGAGATTCTGGCACGGATCCACGCACGCCGGGAATCCCTGCGCGTTCACCTGGCAGACCGTGTTCCCCGGGCAGTCGTCGTCGTCGCTGCATTCGCTTCGCTGCAGCGGCTGAAACACGCGACGCGTTCGTCACCCCCGAGAAAAAAAAAAACCTTCCCACCTGCAGGCGGCGAAAGCGACTCACCGTGCAACCGATCTTCAGGTCGCTGGGGTTGCCCGCGAATCCGTTGAGGCAGATGCACGCCGACCGGTGGTTCTCGGCCACGCACACCGCGTTCGGACCGCACTGCACCTTCCGACACGCGTCCGTGCACTTCCTTGCTCCCACCGGCTGCGAGAAGCAGATCTGCGAACTCGGGCAGTCCAAGTCGTTGTCGCACTCGTGAGCTGCACCGAAACAAAATTAAACAAAATTTTCATTATTGTTTCGCGTCGACAAAAAAAATTATTTTGAGTTTTAAATTTAAGATTAAAATATACAAAATTAAAATAATTAATTTTAAAATAATAAAAAACGCTTTAAAAGAAGCCTCACCTCTACATCCAGAATTTCGATCGGCCGGGCTCCCAGAGAATCCAGGCAGGCAAACGCATTTCCCATCGGAGCAGATCGCATTCTGACCGCAGATGATATTGGAGCAGCGATCCACGCACAAGTTCTTCTCGCACACAAATCTACAACCCAAATCCGCATCATTTACACAATCCACAAATATAATTATTTCTTATTTCTTATGCATATGTATTATTATTTACTGATTATTTTAAATTATGTTATTTATTTATTCACGATTTACCATTTTAATAGCCTATAAATTGATTTCTAATTGCTCATTAGCGAAAACGATGGCTGAGACGCACCCTTGAGGGCACGGATTGCCAGGGCCGCAAGTCCCCCGGGGAATGTCCTCGACCGGCATGCACATCATGAACGGATTCCCGGTGAATCCGGCCTGGCACCGGCAGTCGTAGCTCCCGATGGTGTTGATGCAGATGGCGTTCATGCCGCAGGCGTTCCCCATGCACTCGTTCACGTCTGGAGATTCAAGTTAAAACCGATTCCTATTAATTCTGTGAATGATTGACAATTTTAAGCGAACGAATGCTCAAATTTTAATTCCGAAAAATAAAAATAAAAAGCGAAATAAACATGAAATAAGTGAATAAATAATTTTAAAATAATAAGTATATAAGCATAAATAAATAAATAAATAAATGAATAAAAGTAAATAAAGATATTAAATAAACTTGCCATCGCAGCCGACGTAGGGGTTCCCTTGAAATCCAACCGGACAGACGCAGTCGACCCGTCCGAAACCGGTCTTGCACTGAGCGTTCTTGCCGCACTGGGTGGTCGCGCACGTCCGCTCCTGGGCCCCGCAGCTGGAGTACGGGTTCCCGGACGTGCCGGCGTTGCACACGCACTTGTTCGGGAATCCGTATTCGCAGTGGGCGTTGTCTCCGCACGGCGGGGAGCAGATGGGCGGGAGCACGGCTGGAAGACGCATCGAAGGTTCAAACATTTTCGCATATTCTGCCTTCGAACATTTTCACATATTCCGCCTTCAAACATTTTCAAACATTCTGAGTTCGAGCATTTAAAATTCGGATATATTACATCGTATTTCATGCGTTTGTAAATCGGAGTCATAGGGGGGCACTCACGCGGGACGCAGAGAAGATCCGGATTGCCGATGAAGAACGGCAGGCAGATGCACTTGTTGGTGTTCTTGTCGCACTTGGCGCCGACGCCGCAGACGACGCCGGAGCACCGCTCCTTGCACCGTCCCTGGATGCACATGAGGGGCGGGCGGCAGCGGTTCCCGGCGTCGCACACGTCCGCGCCGCACGCCCCGCCGGGGAACGGGTTGCCCGAGTAGCCCTCGAGGCACGCGCAGGTCGGGCCGTCCGGCGTCACGATGCACTCCGCGTTGTCGCCGCACAGGACGTCGTGGCAGACTGCAAGGAGCGACGGCGTTCCGTGAGAATCTCATTCGATGCCGGAGGAAAAAGTTACACAATTTTGGGAGAAAAGCCAGAAAACTCATTCCTTGAGGTGTAAAAAATCTGACAGATCGAGAACACTTCTACCAAACTCATCCTTATGCAATTTCGCAAAATATTCGTATTCGTTCGAACGAGGAATAAAATACGAGTGAAAAAAAATGTGAAAACGCACTGGAAGCGCAGGCCCCGTTCCTCCCCTCCTTGAATCCCGGCAGGCACCTGCACCACGCCGCCGAATCCTCCACGGTGCAGTAGGCGTTGTCCCCGCACGGGAGCAGCGAGCACGGATTCACGCAGTCCCCGCTCTTGCAGGCCAGGTTCGGCCCGCAGTCCGAGTCCTGCTGGCACGCGCTCGTCGCCATTCCGGTGCCTGAAAAACACGCGTTCTCGTGTCGGTTGCTTCCCACTAAGTTCGACCCTTCGATCGTTCTCTTCCGAAATTTTTTATTATTATCGAAACGTCTTCAACGTGCGAGAAAATTACCCAGTTACTCAAAATGATCCAACAAAATTATTCTAAATTTTCAACAAAACTATTCTAAATTACCAAAAAAAATTACTAAAAATTTAGGAAAAAAAAAAAGAGTTTTAAAAAAGGACTGACATCCGTGGGTGATGGCGTCTCCGGTCGTCCCCGGCGGGCACTGGCACTTGAACCCGCCGACCTCGTTGATGCACACCGCCCCCTTCGCGCAGGGGCTCTCCGTCGCGCACTCGTTCATGTCCGCGCAGCCTCGCAGCGGGTCGCCCGTGAAGCCGGGTCGGCACATGCAGCGAGGGGGGTCCGAAGGGGTGCATTTCGCGTTCAGGCCGCAGCGGAATCGTTCACAGGGACCTGAGAAAGCAACGGGCAAGGTCAGGAATTCCGACAAAAAAAGTCAAGTCGTGGACAAGATGGATCTAAAAGTTTGATATTTAGATTTGAGATTTAGATATTTAGATTTAGATTAATTTAATGTTTCGAACTGATGCTTTGAATTAATGTCTCAAATCACCTAAAATTACTTGCACTAATATTCGCGACTCCACGAAATGGATTTCTCGGCTCGAGACAGCGCGGAAAAAAAACGGGACCGGAACTCACTCTTGCACTTGTTGCCGTCGGTGGTATCGACGAAGAACGGCGGCGGGCAGATGCACTCCCCCGGCTGGACGCAGCGCTCGTTCGCCCCGCAGTCCGTGTCCCGCTGGCACTCGATCCGCGCCGCGAGGGAGCACACGCCCTGGTACGGGTCCCCGCGGGACCCCGGGGGGCAGAGGCACTCGTAGCTGCCGGGCAGGTTCACGCAGTCCGCGCCGAAGCCGCACACTCGTTGGCCGTTGCTGAATCGGCACTCGTTGATGTCTGCAAATTCCGGGGTTTTTTTATCACTCGGTTTCGTCCTTACCTTCTTTTTCGTATTTTTCATCTAATACTTTTTATAAGTTATATTATTCTATGTAACTCGATATTTTCAGAATATGAACTTCGTGCTTTACGCTCATTCATTGGAGTTCGGCCTGTTTGGAAAGCCATAAACAGCTCCAACAGTAATTCATACTTTGACGAAGTCGATGTTAGCTTGCACGAATGGAATTCTTCGATTAGATGGAACTCCCGCAATATTTTGCAAATCCGCTGCTCCATGCACATATGCAAGTCGAAAGGGTTTCAAATCTTAACGCAACTCATTACTAAAGAAACCGATGACTCGTTAAACCCCCCCAGCCCCCGAAACACGATCGACCGCATTTAAGACCCCACCCGGATCGCAACGGCACGGATTCCGGTCGATACCTTGGCAGGTTCCATCCGGGAGAGTCTGGTAGCCCTTGGGACAGGCGCAGTAGGTGAGTCCCCCCGTGAGCTGCACGCACTCCGCCCCGCCGGGACAAGGGTTCCGGGTCGAGCAGTTGGTCAGCACGCACGAGCCGTCGATGAATTTGGACGGGGGCAGGCACGAGCACTCGATGCTGTTGCATTCTGAAACCACAACGACACGTCCTCGGAGGATGACATTCCTCATTCCGTGACATTCCTCGTTTCGTGAGATCCCGAATGGATGACAGGCATACCTTGACAGGAAGCGAAGGGATTGCCGACGTAGCCAGGAGGACATTCGCAGACGTAGCTGCCAGGAAGGTTTTTGCACAGGGCGTTGAACCCGCAAGCTGGCTTGTCTCGGAATTCCAGACATTCGTTGATATCTGTGGGACGAGGAACGCGACGAGAACGACGTTAATACCAGATATTCAGAGGGGGGGAAAGAGGAATCCGTTTCGGGACGTGCCTCTGCAGACGCCGGTCTCCCTATTTCTGGTGTATCCCCTCTGACAGACGCAGACGTTGTTCCCGGTGAATTCCTCCGCGACGCATTCCTCTCCGATGGGGCAGGGTTTCTCGCCCGAGCAGCCGGGCGCCTTCACCTTCCGGCACTCCTTCTTGTACGGATCGCCCTCGTACCCGTTCGGACACTGTCGAGAGACCGCGATTGACCGATTGCGAATCTTCCGCCGATCTCGCGAGGACGTTCTCGGAAACCCACCTCGCACGAGAAGGTCCCGGGCCCGTTCCGACAGAGCGCGTTCGGGGCGCAGGGATTCGCCAGGCACTCGTTGACGTCGACGCAGCCGGCCACCTCGTTCGTGCTCCCGCTGTACCCGTTGGAGCACATGCACCTCGGTCGTCCGTTGATGAGCATGCACTCCGCGTTCGGTCCGCAGTAGATGTCCTCGCACGGATCTGGAAGGAACCGATCGCATCCGTCTCACCGTTCGGGCTCGGTCGCGACGGCGCGGGACGCGGAAACTCACGTCGACAGTCCTGGCCGATGTTGGGCGTCGGGCAGAGGCATTGCCTCGTCGCATCGCAGATGGCGTTCCCGGGGCAATCCCCGTCGCCCTTGCACGAGATGTGATCCACGCACGCCGTGTGCGGGTCCGGCTCCGGCACCGTGCCCGCCGGACACGCGCACTCGAACGACCCGAGCGAGTTCTGGCACACGGCCCCCTTCCCGCACGCTCCCGGCTGGGTGCACTCGTTCACGTCTGCGATCCCCCCCGAACCCCAAACACGAAGTCAGTCTCCAGGTTTTGCGATTCGGCATGCAAGGTTAATGATTATCACCACGACCCGACGGGTTCCAACGCTACCGGGTTTAGTCCCGACTCTACCGATGTGCGTTAGAGTGAATTCTACGACTACGAAGTACGATTCTACGACTACTGAGTACAATTCTACGACTACCGAGTACGAATGTTTAATGTACAAGTCAACAACTACGTGACTCGAAAAACGAACACAAAACCACTGTATATACACCCGAAAAACTGGAACCAAATTTCTACGGGTGAATTACCTCAAGCATTACCACCGATTACCAGCTACGAAAAAGCACGAAAATCCAATTCTACGACTAAAAAAAAAAAAGGCGTGTGAAGGTTAGGTTGGCGTGAACTGACCGCACTCTTCGAGTGGGTCACCCTGTCCTGGGGGGTTAGGGCAGGAGCAATTATAGCCTCCGGGGGTGTTCAAGCAGTTGGCATGCACGCCACACGGGAAGGGAGAGCCCAAGCACTCATTCACATCTGCATCATCGATAAATGAAAAAAAAGGCATCGGGTTATTCCGGTAGTTAGCGGTGACCCCTGGGCGAGTGAGATGAATTCCGGGGTCTGACTGGCTTTTTCTTTTTCGACACGCCCGAATATCCGGTCTCGGACAAACTGGTCCCAAAAGTTCAGAACGTGGGAGAGGAACGGATTTAGAAGCGAAGACGGAATTCGTCTCACTTGCTCAGAGTCAAATCTGAACAGAATTAAAAATTAAAAAACAACGGAACGGTATCAGTGGCTGGGTGAATGGTCTCACACTTTTTAGCACTGAGGTTACTCGATGAAGTAATGGATTATGTATCGACTGACCTTTACTCCACGGCTGACCTTAGTACATTTCAAAGGGTAAATCGTTAAATCGGCGAAGACCATCGGAGTTAGCATATTATCGACTTGCCACGGTGAGCTTCGCGACCTTCCGCCTTCCGGCTCGGTCGGAACGCTCGAAAGCATCGTAAGTCGGAACGAGAACTGACCCAGGCAGCGGGTGTAGGGATTCCCCGAGAATCCGGGGGGACACTGGCAGGAGTAGCTTCCGAGCGTGTTCGTGCAGATGGCGTTCTCGCCGCACATCCCCGAGGGGCCGATCCGGGGGTTGCACTCGTTGATGTCTAAGGGGGACGGGGAACTCGGGTGAGACGGGTGCAACGAGATGATAAGCACTCCAAAGTGTTTTACATGCAATTATGTGGAGAATGCTTGTTTAATTCTCTCATTTGCATTTCGGAGCTCTACCCAAGTACTTTGCATTTCAATGCTCCAATACCAACATTCTAAATATGCTCATGAAAATACAAAATGGATATGTCCGCGTGTAACTTCAGACGCATAACTCTTATTCTGGAGCAAGTTATTACAAAACACACGGCGAGTGGGGAGCTCTACATGCAAAATAATAAATAAGAAGTGCAAAAATGCACTTTAGAAATATCAGCGCGTCATCAAATTCTTCACATCCTCGCCTCGAAGTAAGTTCTGTAAACAACGAATTCGCTACAGATTTATTGGAGGACGGTGCGAAAAAACAGCGTCGTTCGCACGAATCACGCGTGTTCGCTCACTACCGCCACCTGTGTTCTCGACGGGTGACCGATACTTGTCGCTCGGACCGAGAGATGGCCCGGGCGAGAGTGCGTGACTCTCGGACTCACCCATGCAACCGGCGTCGATCCTGGCGGGGTCGTAGGACCAGCCGTCGTCGCAGATGCAGAGGGCTTCCAGTCCCTGAGGCTTGCATTGGGCGTGGGGTCCGCAGTCCACTCCGTCGCATGGCGCTGTGGTGGATAGCACATCGCGTTAATACGAGCGGCTGCGATCGAGGGTTAAAGGGTGAGACCGAGTGAAGGAACGAGCAGGCCCATAGAGCGATGGGGTTAGAGTGCATTCCGGAAGAGACGAGAGTCGAGAGGGGGGGCGAGGGGGGGCGAGGGGGAGGGAGAGGCGTTGTGAGACGTTGTGAGCTGGGTGAGGCTTGGGGGGACTTACACATGCAAGTGACGGTAGGGTCCCCGACGAGGGGGCTGGGGCATTCACAGTAGAAGCCGCCGGGGAGATTGAAGCATTTCGCATTGATCCCACAGGGATGCTGCAGACTCAGGCACTCATCTACGTCTACGACAGCCAGCGCGTGTGAGCGTGTGAGCGCGGCAGAAGCGGGCGACTACGAGCGTTAGTGAGCGAAAAGAAGCGAAAGAGAAAAGACTTGCCTTTGCACGGATGAGTGGGCGGATCTCCGAGGTATCCCGTCTCGCACTTGCACGCGTACGAGCCCGGCTGGTTCACGCACAGCGCGTGGGCCCCGCACACGTTCGCCTCCTCGCATTCGTTCACATCTGCGCGCGAAAATGCGATCGGGTCAAACATTTCATCCTTGCGAATTCGATCTCGCCACTCCCGAAAATCTCGACATATTGTTCGTATCGAATTCGACTCAAAAAGTTGGATATCGTGCTCAACAAAATTTTGAGGATTCCATTGACACCGCCAGGAGTCACCCCTCCCCCCCCTCCCCCCCCCCCGGTCTTTCAAAAAGTAAATAATCACTCACACATCCCGCGAGTGCATGCATTGCAGCGCATAAAAAAAAATGCTTAAATGCCGAAAAACTTTCATTACTGACGGATTCATCTAGTGGCAAAGCAAAATGAAAATTTGAACCGGACAACCCTGCCGATCGAACGTGGAAGCGACGTCGCAATCGACCTCAATGGTGACGCCATCGACCAGACCGAACCTGGAAGCGTTCAACATTTAAATATTTAGCAAATAAAATTTAAAATATTTACATTCCCTTCCCGCGAACTTTCTCCGCATAATGATACGGTTTCCCTGCACATTCCCCGCATATTGAGCCCGGTCACGTCGGAATGTTTCCTGACTGTGCCTCCATTAGCGTCCGCACGCCTTTCGCGTGCGCGTGAAGGAAGGAAAGGAAGGGAATACCGATGCAGGTGGCTCCTTGGGTGAGGAAGCCGCCTCGGCAACGACACGTTCCGTCCGTGCACTCCGCGTTGTTCACGCAGTCGAAGTTACTCACGCAGATCGTTCTCACAGAGATCTACAACACAGAAAAAAAAAAGTTCAATAGCTTCTAAATGAAATTAAATGATTAGAAATAATAAAAGAAACAATAAATAATGAAATTAAATCGTAAATAATACATAATGAAATTAAATAATAGATAGTACATAATTAAATGAAATAATAACAATGAGAATCTTCAAATATTATTTGTTTAGTTGAAAAAATGTATTAAGATGCAACGCAATCGGGCACCTGTTCACAGGCGATGTCGGGTCGGGGCGCTGGGTCGTAGCCTTGTTTGCACGTGCACGTGTAGCCCGGGACGGCGTTTTGACACACCGCGTTCCTGCCGCACGGCTCGTCCAAGACCGCACATTCGTCGATGTCTGCAATTAATGCATTAAAAAAATCCATTAATAATAGTCATGAAAAAAAAGCGAGCTCTGAAAATGACTCCTCTAGAACGAGGACTCGAATGCGGATTCTCAATATTTACATTTTTTCTTTAGAAATAAAATGTGAAATTTTTTTATGAATGGAAGGATGCGGTGTCGTGAAACGTCTGAACGAAAACGCAATAAGAAAAAAAATCCTCAAACTTGCATAACTGGAAAAGTAATGATATAAATTATTACTTTTACTTTTAAGAAATTAATAATAATGGAGGGAAAAGTTATCATGATGTTGCAAAGCTGCAACAAGCAAAAGGAAAATCTCACCAAAAACACGAACTCTAAAAACTGAATAAGAAATCACCTTTAAATCACATTTAAATCACCTTTCATTCGAGGAGGATGAAACCTTTTATGGGAAAAAAAATGCTGAACCACGTGATCGAAGGCAAAGGTCATGCATGCAAGCAGGCATTACGAGTGAACGCAGGCATTAATCGCGAACGCAGGCATTAACTCCTGGATGCATGCATTAACTCCTGGATGCAGGCATTAACTCCTGGATGCAGGCACGACGCCGTTGGCCTCACCGACGCAGAGAGCCTTGGACTCGCTCCTGGCGAGTTGGAGGGCGAATCCGGAGTCGCAGACGCAGGCGTAGCTGCCGACGGTGTCCTTGCAGTGGGAGTTCGCGGGGCAGTCGTCCGTGTCCGCCGAGCACTCGTCCACATCTGGGGTTTTTTCGGGGGCAGTTGCTTAGATGTGGGGGTGGGTCGTCGGGGGTTCATGTCAACAATGCAGGACTTTTTTCCTTTTTTTTTTTTGCTCACAAGTAAAATATTGTTGCCAAGATACTGAGATCACTTGGGTTTCAAATTACAATTACTTTTTTTTTTAACTCTTAAGACTCCATGCTTTTTTATAGTATAAAATTAAAATTATATAAAAGTTTTTTATTTATTAATTTCTTTAAAAATAATATTATTGAATTGCAATAATGAGTTGCAATCGATAAATTGAAAGAAATGACGGAATGATGCATGAAAGAGGTTCGTCTCAGTCCGTGCAAAGAAATTCTCAAGTCCGTGCATTTTCTCCTTTCTTCCCAGCGAAAGAGAAAAAAAAAGGGGCAGAGAGGCCTTGCGGCATCGGGCAGAAGGCCCTTCAGAAGGCAGAAGGCGACCTTCCAAAGGAAAGTCCGGAAATAATTTCGAAGGAAAAAAAAAAGACGGAGAAATCCTCGCAGACGACCGGAAGTACCGGAGACGTAGGACGCAAGATTGCAAAAGGGAGTCGAAGGGAATATCATGGCGGGCCTCTACGGTCGTCACGAGTCGTCAGGACGTCGACGGAGTCGTTCCGTGCAAGACAAGGAGTCGCTCCGTGCAAGGCTCGATCTCGCGGTCGCGGAAAGGACAGCCGAGCGGAAAAAGAGACGTCGAGGAGTCCCAGTGTGATAATTTCCCGGATGCTCGAAACGCACTGTTGCAGAAGACGTCCGGGAGGCCCGTGAATCCGGGCGGGCAGACGCATCGGTAGGATCCCGGCGTGTTGCGGCACTCCGCGTTCACGCCGCACGCCAGCCCGCTCTCGCACTCGTCCACGTCCACGCATCCCTCGCCGCTCCCCGTCCATCCCCCGGTGCACGTGCAGGTGAACCCGCCGGGCGTGTTCTCGCACGTCGCACCCGGGCCGCACGCCGGCGTCGTCTCGTTCGCGCATTCGTCCACGTCTTCGTGGACGGGTTAACATCAATCTCGTTAATGTCACCACTTCGGCATTCGTTTCGTTAATGTCACCACCACACAACAGCCGAGTGAGCTCCAGGGTTAGTGCCACTTTTCACGAGTTAGACAGCGTTAAGCTCTACGATACTGTGCAAGCTACTGTGTGCAATTAGACACCTTCGTTTTTCCATTACTTTTATCGTATTATCATAAATTATAACATAATATCTGGACGGTGAATTGCGAGAAGAATGCTTCAAAATTATGTCCAAAAGGATTCTTTTACAAAACTCTAAATGTTTACAACGACTTTTCAATTCAACTCGATCTGGTAATTTAGCGAAAAACTCCATAATCACACATTAGAGTTTACAAGCAAGGACTTTCTATTTTTTTTTTTTCACGAAACGACGGTGCCGGTCGGTACGAGTGAACACTACACGCCCGGACTCGTGCAGAAAAGCGTGAAGCGGGGTCGCACTCACCGGCGCATCCGAGCTGCGGGTTGCCCTGGAACCCGTCGGGACATCGGCACTGGAAGGATCCGGGGGTGTTCACGCACGCGGCGCCCTGCCCGCAGGGATTCCCCCGGCACTCGTCGATGTCCGTGCAGCCGGCGCGGTACGGCTCGCCGGTGTAGCCGGCGGGGCAGCCGCAGCGGTAGCCGCCGACCTCGTTCTGGCACACGGCGCCCGGGCCGCACGCGTCCCGGCTGTCGCATTCGTTCAGGTCCGCGCACTGGTACGGAGGAAATATATCATTAGGACATAAAATACTATTTTGAGCATTTTCTATTGCTGGCTTTGACAAAATTAATAAATAAATAAATACATAAATATATAAAAAAGAACTACGTTTTGAGACAATTAACACGTTGACGACCAGCCTATTTTTTTTGCTTGTCCGCCGCGTGGGACCACGCGCATTTTTTTTGTCTGTTCGGAGACGCGCACTCGTCCACGTCTGCGAGGCAAAAAAAAACGGTCAAAACAAAAGAAATCGAAAAAAAAACACAAAATCAGTGAAAAATGATTTGAAGAAATAAAAAAAAAGATTCCGAGAACAATGCGAACGGAGATAAAGAAGGTGGATGAACTCGAACGGGAAATGCCATTGCATTGTCACGAGCCACTCATTATCGCCGGGAGGATCTTTCTTTTAATTCGCTTCCGCCTTCCGTTTTTTCCACTTCCGGTTCCACCGAATTTCCATGGCACGACATCGCATGTTTAATCCCGCTTTATCGTGAGAAAACGATCTGGGTTCAGTACCCGTGTGGACGAGACTCCCCAAAAGCTTTCTTTGTGACGATTCTCTTTTTTTTTAAATTCTTTTTTTAAATTATTTTTTCGCAAGTTCATCGTGCGGACTCGGAAGCTCGATGAAGTCCGGAATCGGAAATACCGGCGCTAAAAAAAAAAACAAGATGGTCGATGCTGAAATGAGCTGATCAGAGCCTGTGGAACGCCCTGGGAGCGCCTCGAATCGACCAACATTGTGTCTCACTTCGGCGTCGTTAAAAAAAAAAATATAAAAAATTCCTCCAGATCATTTGAAACAATGTCTCTAGTAATCCGCTCTGCATGAGTTATTACAGGATTCGGGCCCCCCACGAAGTTTCGCCTATTCGGTCCATAAATCTGCAGCTGACAGAAAACTGCTTCTTAATGGCACTCAATTCTGATATTAATTCATTAAGTTTCGGCTCGTTTTTTCGAGTCCGCCGAATGTTAATAAATAACAGCAATGCCACCTGGGATAATTGAAGGGTTACGGCGATTACCACCGAAGAAGCCTCGTCCGAGAACGAAGAAGCACCATCTGAGACGAGGAAACGAGGGAGGCTGCATAAATCTCCTCAAGGTCCTCATTTACAACCCGTCTCGCGTAATTAAGTATAACCTGGCAGTAACCGAGCATTCAGAGGTGAAGGACCACGTCAGGATCCATAAATAACCCTTACACACACGCGATATGCGGGTGCGTGAACCCGGGACAAGTACCGGAGAAACAGCACTCATTACAGTACCGGAGAAACAGCACTCATTACAGTACCGGCGAAACAGCACTCATTACAGTACCGGAGAAACGGCACTCATTACAGTACCGAGGAACCAGTACTCATTACAGTATCGAGGAAACAGTACTCACCCAGGCATTCCACGTCCCCTTGGCCGCTGAAGCCAGGCAGGCATTTGCAGATATAATGAGCCGGCAGATTGCAGCATTCGGCGTTTGGCACACATTTCGCAGCAAGTTCGGGGATCGCACACTCGTCGATATCTGCAAGAGAAAAAACGTGACATACAAATAAATAAATAAAAGGATCCGAGTTTTCGAATCGGCTTTGATCATCGCTTATCCGTTTTGTTCAATTTTTCGCCTTCTCATCCTCAGCCTCTCGAGTTTTTTTTGCGTTTTTTTTTCGCATTCGACAGCGGCAGATGCATCTCAAGGTCGGAGAGAGGCTGTTCTTGGCTCCCTTCCCCGACTATTATTAGAGATCGATCCATGAATGAAATCGATGAAGCCATGCCCCATCTGTTAGCCTGTTCGAAGGCGGCTCGAGCCTCGAGCCGCCTTCGTCCGACCGGCAACAAAATGATTCATCCCCGTTCGGTTTCGCCCTCGGGACTCTTCGTCGAGGCACCTTGCACCCGAGATAAGTCGCTGCACCCAGGCTGAAGATAACTAGCTGCACCCGTGCCGAAAATGACTCATTGCCCCGTGCCGAAAATGACTCATTGCTCCCTGTACCCAAGGTGAAGGTAACTCATTGCACCCGTGTTGGAGATAGCTCCTTGCATACCGAGAGAGAGAGAGAACGGTAAGCCCGGAATCCATTTGTAATGACAGCGTGCGGTAATTGTGGTCTTTGCCGATATAAATCAAAAAAAGAGAAAGGCAGTCCGGTACTGGCTCCGTTCATCTATAGGCTCCGTTGATGAATGGTTCCCCGAGGGAGACGATCGGTCTGTCTCCGACGAAGACGATCAAATTCGTGCATGACTCCTTGAATTCGACATGCTAAAAAAAAAATCGCTAACACGCTGCGAACGAATATTAGAACCGCGTGAAAAATCGCGGACGAAAATTCTCGAACGCGAAGGAATTCGAATACTCAGAACGGCGCGTATTTTCCACGAGTACTGCGTGCGCCGCGGGTCTGAACGAGCGGTGACTCGTGACTCGTGTAAAATGTTTCGACCCATAAATGAATTGGGAAGGAGGAACAAAAAAGCTGTGCAAAAGAGGTCCTTTACACGAAAGTGACCAGTCATCGCGTGTCTCTTTTCTTCCTCGACGGAGGAATGAATCGAATGAATCGTGAAAGGAGCCCAGAAGGAGCCCAGAAAGCTTTTTTCCCCCCTCAACTGCCGTGCCACGAGACGTTGACCTCGGGGATTTCACCCTCGTTCGTGCTACGGCTCCTTCCCGAAAGGGCTGCGACCCTCGTGCCCGTTTCTGCGACCCTCGTGCCCGTTCCTAAATATCCGATTGGCGAGGGGGAAACCGCGAAGACCAAAGCGCATTTTAAATACTTACTTTTAAAATAAAAAAATGTGAATATCGCGACAAATATCGAGTCCGATGCTTAACCCTTTCAGACCTGGCGTCCATTCCAATAGACATTGCATTTACATTGTGTTTATGGCAACTTCTTAAAATTCTCGTGACTTTGCGCTACATATTACGCTAAAATGGGCGTAATTATGCATGGCTCAGTTCCATCAGAGGCCTTCCCTTACCCTTTACTAATTTAATTTTCAGTTATTTAATTAAATGTTTAATATATAATATATGGTATCATGTGGTAAATTTATACAAAATATGAAAACTATATAAAAAGCACGAAAATTTCAATTATCACAAAAGAGCTCAAAAATAAAAAAAGATATAATTCCGATAGCGGCCAAAATTCAGGCCTGAAAGGGTTAAAGAAATGGGCTCGCCTGGGCTACAAAAAAAAAAAGCGAGACGAAGGGAAGAAAAAAAGATGAAGTTCCCGAGAGAAGAGTGATCGTGTCGGTGCCAGAAAGGCCAAGGAAAGGCAGGAAGGAAGGAAGGAAAGACTTTTTTCCCCCCTTTCATCCATCCCTCGGATTTCCCTCGGATTTCCCCGTCGCCGAAGCGTGTCTCTTCCCACGCTCACCCCCAGCAAGGTCGAAGCCCCAAGGACGCCCGACCCACCCCAAAGTAACGAGATCGCATACTTCATACATCGATCTCTCTCGAACGAAAAGAAAAAAAAGAAAAGGAGTGAAAGCAGGATCCACCCGTCGATGGACTTTCCCATGTCACGCGCTCATCCGAAAAACTTTTTGACAGGACAATGTTGTTTCGAACTGCATACCACCGCCGCATAGCGCTACGCGTGCAATCCCGTTTTCGTTCGCCTCTCGTTTCCTAGACTCACTTCCGAGACCTTTCCCCGTCTAGACCTCTCGCTTTCTAGACCTCTCGTTTCCAAGACCCCTCGCTCCCGAGACCTCTCGTTTCGTGAGCCCGAAAGACCCTCGAGTAAATCCGTGGAAACGTGAAGGCCAGCAGCCGCACGTGCCCACGAGGGCTCGGAGTCGGATTCGGACCAGTCATGCATCGCAGCTTGGCCATTCCTGGTTTGGGCTTCGGCCTTGACACCTTTCCTCCCTTTCGTTTTGCACACGCGAACGTGCGGGTCTGTGGGAAAGAGATAGCCCTCGATGGGGAGGCACGTCCCTCGACTTCACTCTCCTTTTCGATCTCGCATGCTTCGCGCTTACGCAAATTTTTCGTCAGCTGGAGAGTCCTCCGCGGGCCTTGCGAAAGCGTGTCGACGTTGCGAAAGATTACCATATTTTCTTTCTAATCGATGGACCCCCAATAGGAATGATTGATGGATGCGCCCACTGATTCTTCGAAACTCGAACGAACAGACCCTCGAACGCACAATTAATTTGCGAGAAGAATCCGAAGCGGTTACTAAGAATAACGACGCAGAGCTAATTTAATCAATTCAAATAAAATCGAAGGCATACACGTAGTTAGTTGAGAAAAGTTTACACATCATGTTACTTTATCCGTGCTTACGCCAGTCAATCATGCCCCATCGTCACTGAAGACAATTCATATTATATATATTTTCTCGAACGAGAATCGCTCGCTGGCAGGCATTGTGTCCCACACAAAAAAAAAACTCTGAAATCGCGAACTCTCTCGGTGAAAGCCACCGCTGCGACGAGCTGGAACTGTATCTGCTCCCAATGTGCGAATGGGCGCCGACCCGCATAGACTTCTACGGCTTCACCCCCCGCCTCGACGGGCCGGGGACCTCCCGGGGTCCTCCCGGGGTCCTCCCGGGGGGACCTCGGCACGGCCACCGTGACGGCTGACAGGCAACAACCGACTGGCAACAACCGACTGGCAACAACCGACTGGCAACAACCGACTGGCAACAACCGACTGGCAACAACCGACTGGCACCAACCGACTGGCAACAACCGACTGGCAACAACCGACTGGCACCAACCTTCACCCCTTTCTCCGGGTTTGGCCTTTTATGGCGCTTGAATGGGGAGTGCGACTCCCGATTTTCTCTCTCGGAGCTGATGAATTTGACCCTGAATTCGACCCCTTCATCATTCATCGACACGGAAAGTAGTGACGGGTGGGAAATGAAAAGAGTTCCTCGTTTTCCTTTTCGATTTTTTGTCTCGATTGTACGCGGCCTCGCGCCGGTGGAGAGGGGCATCCCGGTCGAACGAGAGCCGACTGCTGTCGCTACTTTCATGCGATTGCTACATTCATGGAACCGCTTCATTCATGGAGCCGCTTCATTCATGCGTTTGCTGCTTTCAACCGAGATGCCCCTTTCTAACTTGCGGTTTTTTCTCGTTCGAAGACGACACGGAATCCATCCCGTCAGATCGTCGGACTCGAAAACTTTCTCCTGCTACACTTTTTGACATCATTACTTATCGCGAACGGAGGCGTTCACTTTCGAAACTCAGCAGGCGGTTTTTCCTCCCTCGTTTTCGTGTTTTTCCTCCGCGTTCGCGGTCAAAGAAGATGTGGTAATTGGAGGGAGACAAATGTCTTCCTCGAGCATAGTCCGAGTGCAGCAGAGCACGGACTGCGGCACATACCGGTTAAATTACGTTGACTAAATTACATTGGTTAAATCACACTTTCGCCTCGAAGACACGGGAATTCGAGGAGTGCAGAGACCCTGAATCCTGCCGGGAATGCGACGGAAGAAAATTTCCTAAGCATATAGAGCGGACGAAGGCGAATTCGTGCCGAGACTCGGGGCCAAATAAATGCCTTCTCGACGAAGGCGTGTCCAGAAATCCCGAAATGGGGTTACCGAACCGAGTTCCCATTGTGAGACGTTTCTTCCCCTCCCTCAAGGCGGAGGCCACCCCTCGCAGATGACAAAGACCATCATTTTGGCACCTGCAATTTTCTCACCTGGATTCCCCCCCTTAATGAACTCGAGGGCCATTGACATCCGCTTTACGATCTCGATGTCGTCCGCGAGAGGAATAATAAGGAAAGGAAATCGGGCGTCCGAGGGGGCACGTAATCCTGCATATTTTAAGACCCTTTCATCTCTTCTCTCGATAAATGAAAGAAATTATCGAAGATTGGATGGAATCTTCTCTTTGGTCCCTACCCTTCCGGATCATTCACCCGAACTCCCATTAATAGCAATTAAACGCTAAAGAAAGGTAACTTGTTCTGCTTTTCCCACCGGATATGGTGGGAGTCGTTTTTCCCATGAAGCAAGGGGGAGAAATCTACCACTCTGACGGATTCTTGCTTTTTTTTTCTCTCTCTCTCGCTTTGAGTTCTTGAGTAAGGCCCGACGGTTGAGTTCGAAGGAAGTGGGAAATTTCACGAGCTTCGAGGGTGAACTCGAGCCTGATCGGACGTGGAATGCCTTTGGAACAGGTTGCACGTGTCTGTCACTCGGATTAACTAATTAATATCAATTAGCATTAACTATTCCCACGAACGAGACTGTTATGATTGAAAAAGGAATTCCTCTCCTATTGCCTTTCAGCTATAAAAGAAATTAATATTGTTTCAATGTTCATCTGAGTGACCCCCGCAGCAGCCGTAATACCGAGAGAATGGCGACGGAAAAATACGCAACTACATCTGGACACGTGGAGAGGTCGCCGATCCCTGACTGCAAATCCGCGACATTGCAGATCCCTGACATCGCAGATTTCCAGCCGCTTCCCAAGGACGAAGAAGCCGAAAACCTGCTTAACCTGCGAGTTTCCCCTCTGGTTCCGCACCGGCAAAAACTGCCGCCGCGATCGCGGGAATGTTTTTTTTTTTTACGGTTGTGCTCCGTCGCTCGTGTCGAATGAGTGTCGTGCTCTCGTCTCCCACGGCCACGGCCACTAATGAGCCAAAATTCAATAATCCAAGCGAGATTTCGAAGTCGTCCTCGGATCCTCGAGGGTGGCCATCGACTTAAGAGTTTTTAAGCCGAGTGTGTGCCGAGCTCTAATTCACCTCTCGACTTAAATCCCGGAGAATGCGCCGTAAAACGTGAAATACGTCCTCGTTGGAATGATATCGTCGGCAGATTGCCCCGAGATGAAAAATAACCCTCGAGTAAAATCCGACCTTGGGGTTCTTCCCCCGTTAACTCGTGCAAAGAAATCTCTGAACCCCGCAATGAAGTCATCCGCCCATGAAAATTCATAAAAGGCGGAGGGGGTCGTCTTCTATTGGGGCTAATAATGATTTTTTTTCTCTTTTCTTGTTGACCTTGGCTTTAACGTCGCCTCCATTGAGGTTTAATTTACGATTCCTTCTCTAAATTCTTGGTAATCGCAGATGAGGACAGGTTAATGCCGCACTGCTTTCCATTCTATAGGTACCGGTACTCCCGCATGGGAAGGTATGGATGGTTATAATTAATCCTGGAATGGGGACCGCTTGAATTGATCAATACCGGATCGTCTTGTGCAATCGGCCGATTGCGCAAAAAATACGTGCAGGGCGTGGGTCTCCTCCGCAAAAATGCAGTTTGCGTGGGCAAAACTGCAGGCAAGAGAGAAGCCATGGAAAAAAAAGTCACAGGTAAATCCTTAACAGGTGCTGCCTGGTGAGAAGGTTGGGGGCAGGGGGAAAAAAGCTTGGGGGTCGTGAGAAGGATTTTGCGTATGATGAACGATCCTCATCAACTAAATTTCACTTTGATGACCGCGATCGATCTCATTAAAACTTGTGGCCTAAGCATCTGCGATCGTCCGGGGATTCCGAAGAAGTTCCGAAGAAGTACCGACCGATAACGTGATGGATGGGAACGTGCATCGATGGGATGATGGATACGTCCACACGGTGGGAAATATTTACAAAAAATAGGCAGGCGAAGAGAGAGAGAGAGAGAGACAGAGAGGGGGGCTAACGACCTTGTGTCGGTTTCCAGGGTCAGACCTGAAAGGTTATGGCTGATGAATGAGTGGAAAAGGTTCTGAGAAAGGTTCCCAGCTCCCCATTGTTTGAATAAAGAGAAAACTTGACTCTCTCCTCCTACTCATCCCTCCTCATCCCTCCTCATCCCTCCTCATTCCTCTCTTGACGGGGTAAATTGGCGTCATCCTTCATCGTTATGTACCGTACGTTCGTCGTTTTCGCACGTTGAGGCCTTCTGATCTTCATTATCAACGCTTAATTATTTAATCGATTTTCATTTCTCTCCTTGTCTTCGTTCCTAACCGGAAGTTTTCTTTGACTTACTTTCACTTTATTCTACCACCGATCTTTCGCTAATCAATGTTTGCAAAAAAAGGTGTATAATTTGATAATTATTGGAGGCATAACAGCCTATTTTTCCTGGTTCGCATTTTTTCAATTCAATAAGTATCAAATCAAAATTTAGCCTAATTGCGGATTGATGCCAAATAATGAGATCTTTGGGGAAGGAAAATCGGTAGGGAGTTGACGTGAAAATCGGTAGGGAGTTGACGTGTCAGGCTAAAGGTCGATGGCAATGGATTCCTTCGAGACTTTCCGAGTTTTACTTTTCTACCAAGAGATGGCACCACATTTTCCTTATTGGCTCCCTTGTCGGCTTTTTACGTCTCGAACGAGATTGTGAAATTATTTTCTCATCTGAATTACTGAACTTTCAATGTGACAAAGTTACGAATAGCCAATTTTTGTGGAAGTGTCTCGTTGTGACTTGCTCAGAAATAAGCAGGGACCAAAATGCTGATTGATCTGAGCCTGCGATGGGGGATGCAATCTATTGCAAATAGAACGGACTAAGTGAAAGAAGAGAGAAAAATTTAGCATTCGGCAGAATTTGGCTCAGCAGATGTCGAATATTCGGCTGCATGGCCGAAAAGCGCCAAATGCCGAATCGGCCGAATGAGAGGGTGATGTCTGATTTTAATGTTCATTGGAGATACCTACTTGAGAGGAGCAAGTTTTCATTCTCTGCTGGTCTCCCAGGGGTCATTAACGAACAGCGTCACGCTGCATTACACTTGCAAATGATAAATAAGGTTGTCGTCGGTATGAATGAATCTCGCCGACGTCTCCCTCCCATCTAAAGCAGGCCTCGTTATGGTAATCTGACTTCGTGCAACCCTCACTTATTCTGCTTATTTTCATGCTTCGTCCCAAATTTCCGAATGCTTAGTTGAGTGATGATCTGAATACTGAGTTCCGAGCGTTGAGCGAAGAACGGAACCAGCGCTTCGAGCATTAAAGGCGATGACTCGACCCAAAACGAAAGTGTGGGGGAAGGTGGGGGGGGGGGGGGGGGGGGGGGGGGGGGGGGGGGGTAGCGGTATGAGGGATGTTTGTAAACAAGGGTGCTGCGATTCGAGGAGGCGTGTGTGCATCGAATCGCGGGAGGACTTCCGGCAATCGATGCTCAAACCTCTCACATCATCGATCACGCGATTCCCTACCAGATTTCTCTTACCTGACAAATCCGGAACTATTTTTCTGCCTGTTCTACCGAGACGGTTCTTGCCCCGAGCATGTAAAGCGGAATAAAAATGGAATGCGGAATATTGATGATGAGAATACGTGCGAATTTTTTCCCGTCTTTTTGCTGTGTTTTGTTTTTTATTTATTATTTTTTCCATCGTACGAGACAAGAGCAATTCATTTGACCCTTGAAATATTCAGAGGGTGGCAACGTGATCATCTGCAAATTTTGCGGTGCATCTCTTCGTTAAAAATCATCCCAAGCCGTAGGGGAAAAAGTTTGAGCAAGGTCAACGAACATTCAAAAATTTTTTTCCTGTCGACACCGGGGTGGGCTGCTGCATAGAAGGGAAGATAAGGCAGACTCAGGAATGTATGTACGTGTATGCGTACCCGTATGTGCACGGGATGACTCGGCGGATCCGCTTAGCCATCCTCTATATACGGGCATTATAGGGACGGTCCTTGACCTCTGCCAGCATCGGCATGTCATTTACTGGGCCTATATACAATGCCGTGGAAGACGTATTGCGTTTCCATGCCTCCAGAGACGGACCCCCCCAAATGATGCAGTCGTTTCTTCCGCGATCCATCAAGCCAAGGACGCTCGGGAGACGCGGAGACTCTATATCATAGATATTACAGGATGCACCCACATTTATATTCAAATACGAGCCTGTTACCAGGGTTTCTCGACCGTAGACCGTCGCGTTCGGCTCGTTCCGTCGAAAACAGAGCGCCTCTGGACATTGCGTGCAGGGTCCGACCATCTGCCCCTCGTATCGTGGTCGAGGAGACTCCTCCGGGACGAGAGAGGCTCGTTCGGGGTTAATGACAGGCTGATACGGGAGGCAAGCGATATCGCGCTCCGACGAAAGGGGAATTCGATTCTCCGGCGCGTGATGGGGGAGACGTCCTGCGATACACGCCGCAATCATGCCATCAGACGGGTCAGATGGAACTCCTTAATGACAGAGACCTGCCATAAATGAAGGACGTTGCCCTTTCCACTGGGTCAAACCGTGTTTTCATCTGCGGCTTCCCGCATTTTCGGAGACAAATTGGGAAACTCGGGCGACACCGAACCGAATCCTTTCGCGTCGTGACGACGGTAGCCGGGGTAATCGCGGGGGATTAAGGGGATTAAGGGGGTTTCACCTCCGACCCCGCAATTATGGCTTGGGGATGAGAATTTTCACCTTCCCGCGATCGGTCGCGGGTGTCGTCACCGCCGGGCTCGCGAAGTTGTCGCCACGAGGAGTAATGACTCCAAAGATGGTTATGACCTCGGGGGTCGCCGATTCCGGATTTGCATGGCGGATTTGCGGGTCGTGCGTGACCGACGATATGCCTCGCTTTATCTCTCTCTCGTTGAGATGTAATTTCCTTCGCCTAGACTCTGACGGGAAGATTTTGACGGCTATAACCAGAGGGAACGTTCCTTTGACCTCAGCCTTTTTTACGACCGGAATTGTGCATATAATAAAAGCGATGAAACAAAAACAATCAAATTGGGTTCACTTTATGCATGTTCGAATTGAGATTGTCAACTTTTAAATTAGAAATTGAATGGATCTTGCCATAAAATTTTCCTTTCGGATGCACGAACCCAATTTGAAGTAATTTCCGAAACTGCAAATGGACACATTTCAAAGTACCATCAGGAAAGCGAAAATGGCTAGGAAATGGCGGCGAAGACATTTTCAAGGTATGATATGCGAGTACAAGTTACGGAAAAATCCCTCCATTACGGCAATTGAGAAACATCATAAATCACACGAGATGAGAATTGACGGATCCCCGGGATCGCGAGTGTGATTAGGGGGATCTCTTGTTATCCCACGTCATTCCCTTCCACAATTGAAGACGTCACTCATGACTGCAATTACAAACTCCATTATCATTATCATTAGGGCATCCTTTCCTATTTTTTTCTCTCTCTTTTGAAAAGGGAGAAAGCAGCCCAGGAGAAAGCCACTCGACGAAAAAATGAAAAAAAAAATTTGGATGCATTTCGCATGCCCGTCCCTGCATGATCCCTCACGATGAGAGAAAGGAAACCACAAAAAAATGTAAAAAAAAAAAAATATATATATATAAACTGGAACTGCACGCATCCTTTAACCTCAAATTTATCGCTCCTCGCACATTTCTCGTTTAATAGAACGGTTTTATTGGGATCCGGGAGAGAAAGAGGGGATCCCGGAAGAGGTATGTGTCTGTGTCTGTGCCGGACTTTCACGTCCCTGTTTGCGTTTTCATCTCACGTCTCCACCGGCGACGTAACGCGGAACGGATGTCAGATGCATTCCAGTTCAATATGGGGGTTGTCGAAGGGTTCTTGGGTACGATCCAATCTTGCTTTCCTTTCATCTCATCTCGTTTTTTTTTTTTTTTTCATTGTATACATTTTTAAACTATTTGTTTATTTATTTGACTTGTTTTCTTGTGCTCCGAGCTTTGTAATGTGAAGTAAATATTTATCATCTATTAACCGGAAGGGGTGTGTGAGTCAGATGGCAATGACATGCGAGGGCGAATTCATGGAAGATGCATGGGATTTGTGTGGGATTTTTTAGAAGGAAAAAAAAATAATGGATTCTGTTTGAACGCCCTTGAGAACAATGCCAGACCTTCGTGGGAAGATAGAAAAAAAATTAAAACTCGAAAAACTTTTTTTTTTTATGCCAAATTTGTTATCAGAAAAATTACATCGGAGGAACTTTTATAGCTTTGCGGAATTTTGATAATTTTTATGTTAAATGTTTACGACTGATTAAGAATACTTTTAAATAGTTAAAAACTAAATGCCCGACGGGACCTCGGATGCATGGAATCGAAAGGGGGTAGGGCGGAAAAAAACGGAGAAAGGGAAGTGGGTTTGGCCTTTGTTCGGCGAACCGTGGCCAAAGGGCAAGGAAGAAAGTGTTCCAATCCACTTTCTTTGCCCTTCATTAATAATTATCGTATTCATTATGCATGCAGCATCCCTTCCTCGACCGTGTCCGATTCCGTCCCCGATATCGAATGATTCAGAATAATAATAAAAAAGGAGTATAAAAATTTAAAAAGGAGGCTAAGGCTGTGTGCAATGAACCTGGGAGGTCGGTAATGGACCTGTAGGGTCGGTAATGGACCTGAGAAAAGCCGAGGGTTGCGTGACTCACGCAAAGGGTAGCCTGTGGAAAATTTCCTCATCGTGCTCATGCTTGACAGGAGAAATCGGACCGAGCCTGTTATTTGCGGCGTTCGTCATGCACCCGCGGAATTCTCGACACAAATTTTGTACTCGAGGGGATCATGTCATTCGACCGTCGGTCAAAGACCCTCCACGTGGAACGTTCGTGAAGGTCAGGGTCATCGAGTACCTTTTTTTCCCCGACGCTTAAAGAGAGCATGTTTGTTTCCTCCTTGATTTCGGGCTTCGTAAATAGTTGCCATTCACGTCGACGGTCGATCCAGACGACCTCGGGCGATCGGAGGATGAATAGCAGATTCCGCCGTCACGATTTTCGCAGACACGAAGCGGGCAAGGCGTGCATTTACGGATACTTCAGAGATGGTTCATTATGATTTGAGGGGAATCTTCGCCTTTTCCCCCCGAGGAATCTCGGGAAATCTGCGCCCTGGGGCAAGGTCGAGTCTGGTGCGGATCATCAACCTTTCCGGCCTGAGACTTCTTTCCGGTCAGCTAAATCATATCCCTTTTTTTTTTCTTTTTTCTTCTTTCTCTTCTTGACGTGATTACACGAGCGATTTCGCATTCCGATCCCCCGATTTTTCCCATCGGAAAAGGAGCGACTGCGAGTTACTTTTTTTCCCTCAGTTCCTTCCATACCATAATGGTCGATTGAATTTCACAGTCGACTGGGTTTCATCGAGTCTTTGACCTAAAACAGGCGTGAAGAAGGAAAAAAAAAAGAAACACTCAGCTACTGCACGCATGCGATGTCCTTTTTGCGTTTAAAATGCAAAAAAAAACGATTTGCCCCTCTTGTTTTGGTGTAAACACAGCTTTGTTTCTTCCCCCAAGGGTAACACCCCGGAAGAAGCCGACAAAAGCGAGGAAAATCAATCTCTCCATGTTTCCACGCCATTTCCTTGCCATTTCTTAGCCATTGCCTTACCTTGACAGGTGAATCCGTCCCCTTCGTAGCCCGGGTAGCAGGAGCAATAGAAGCTCCCCATCGTGTTTGTGCATCGGGCGAACACGTCGCACGGACGGTACTTGCACTCGTTCTCGTCTGAAAATAATAATTATTTGTGAAACAAGAGACGCGATCTTCAGAGCCGAAAAATGCATTCGAGATAAAGATGTTTAAAATTTTGGAGGAAAAATATGCTCCACTTTCGACACGGTAAAACGCAGCCGGAAGCGAAGACGTACATCGAACGACATCTGTAAATCCTCGTAACAACCTCGTAACTTCCGACCTTATAAGTCTCGAACCGTTCATGATTTGTTGATAAACGAGGAAGCTCCCGAGAAGATATGACTTTCACATATCCAGTCGTGGGTTTCCCCGAAGCCATGACGCAACCCGGGTGGACTCGAAAGTCCTGATCCGATAGGAATCGAACGTGAGCGAGCAGACAAATTAGGACTCTATGCGCCCAGTCCCTTCCTGTACGCGTTGAGTAAACGAGGACAGTCTCGCGACAAATAAGTACATCGGGAGGAGAAATGCTAAATGAAAGTCTGATACGTTTTGAGTCCACGCATCTCGTAGTCTCCATCGGAAAAGAATTGGATGAAGAATCGGATGAAGAATCGAAGCGATAGAACGGACGATAGGAAAATGATGGTAATCAGACCTGGCATCTCGCAGCCCTTGCCGCCGAAGCCATCGTTGCAGTGACACTGACTGTCCAGGCAGGCGCCGTTCACGCACCGACGTCCCGTCGTGTACAAACAGTTACCTGCAACACGAACACAAAGAAAATCTTTCATCGACTCGTCATTAGAGGGGAATAACACACAACACTGTCTCCGTCCCGCCGTCGTGGTGAACCACGTGGGCAGGGTTCCAGATGGATCATCGCCCTTGTTACGAGGAAAACATTCTTAATAGAATGCCTCATCTGAGGTAGAAGGAGATTCTTTAACTTTTTTTTCCCTTGGGCTTCTAGTCCCACATGCAAACTGGGTGACCTAAAATTCCTCAATATGACTTGCCAAAGACAAAACACCATCGAGACATCGACAAGAAACTTACAGGATTCAACGTCTGCAGGTGATTTTTGTCAATTTCAATTTAGACAGTATTTCAGAACCAGAAAACCGGCTCTTTTCCCGTGCGATGTCAAAATAATGAGTGTGAAATCTGGCTTCTTGCTCCACACACGTTGAGACTTGTTCTGGCCCGATCCGGCCGTGCGAGTGGGCATGGGCTCATTTGATATGCTGGAGAAAAGGTTGTCAAGCGAGTTCTCAACGGAAATTTTCGCACTTTCATTGCATATTTCCTAATATTCTAACACGGATGTGAACGCCCTGGAGATTTAATAAACTGCATGCATGTTAAACGGTGTATAATTTGAGAGATCAGCACCGATGGGAAAATACTTTTTTTGCGGAATTTTATCTGTGAGGTAATGATGTGAATAAGCTTCGTAGCGTGACATAAACGAACGGAAAAGTTTGGCTATGAAATCTATAGAAGATGAAACGGGCACAGGTGTTCTGTCGAGATACCGATCGTGAGAGAGGGGGAGAGGAGACTCATAAATTAAACTGACCAGTTCGTACTCGTTCGATATACCTAAATCAGAATCGACAGAGACAATAGGGTGTTGGACCCTGTCATCACGACGAAGGATGTTTTTTTTTGGACGGCCTTGACCCCCCCGGAGAGGGAAATTGCAGGCAGGCTATAGTACCTCATGAAGTCATATCTCTAGAGAGAAAGAGAGAGAGAGAGACGAGCCCATCCCTCCGTGGAAGGGGTCAAGGGCCGACAGAGACTTCAACGCTGGCATCCCAATCACGCACACACCTTGATGCACACCCTCGCGCGTCTATTGCTTTAGTGTGTCCTCTGCTTCCGTCCACTTTCGGGCTTACTTTCTTGAAAGCTACCATAATTGGCTGTGTTTCCTCTGTCCGCGAATCGAGAATGGGAGAACGGGTACGTAACATGGGTCTTTCGTTGAATCAATGCTTAACGAGGAAGTGAAGATGTCTCAAAAGATATGAGAATGTACGCTTCTGTATACAGACTTGACAAGGCTCGTAGACGACTCGCAATTTACTGTATACATCTATCAGATTGCTTAAATATGTACTCGTGTTCACTTTGGCCCATGTCAGCTTCAGCGCGAATTCCTACACTCCACGGTAAAAAAAAAACTAAATTATAGAAATAAGTATAGGCCAACTGATTAAGAGCCATTAAGCGAATTTTTTTTGGAATGCCCATGCTCAACGATAACGACTTTCATGTAAACGGTTTTCGGTGTCGAGGACCCTCGAACACTTGAAACACAAATGGATGACTGAGTCTGAATGTAAACGCCCGAACGCGCCTGTGCAAAGAGGTCTCCGTGGTTTCTCATGGCCTCCCGAGTGCATTCAATGGGAATGACTAGAAGGAAAGGGAAAGAGAGACCCGATGAGGTTTTTCCATTATGGCGATCAACGGGCTGTGAAGCGAACAGGGAGACAGCATGAGCTTTTGCGCAATCTCCGCTCCTCTTCCCAAATCATTATTACCTCTCTACACGGTCCCTCCTCCATTTTTAATTGATGGAGTCGTCACGGAATGAGGAAAGTCTGGAAGCTCAAATGCCCCCTGGGGACATTTTTCCCACCGTCTTCGCTCTGAAGCAACATTTTTCATCTTCCCATATTGTGCTCGAGTTTCGTGGGGTGTAAAATAAATATCGCTGGCGAGAGATGAATTATTGTCATTTCTTCATTCTCGATACTTTCTTTTCTCGTGTCTCGTTTACGGTTCGATTGCTAATTGCACAAAACCGCCAGTACGCATTAAAATCGTGAACAGGCAAAAATTCGTGCTTCGGTGGAGTCCATCACCTGTCAGCGATTGCTTCACACACGCGCGGTGTCCATGAGACTTTAAATGAGGCATTCCAAAATTGGTGAAAGCGCGAAGTTTTCATCTACCGTATCCTTCTGTGGCGAAAGAGGAATTTCCCCTCGATCTCGTGATGAAGTCACGCGACAGCCGACCGACCGAATTGCACAAGAAGACGGCCGCGGAATATAGTGTCATTCTGTTTCGGATATCTGGACCGTGAAGGAAAAGCGAGGAACGGGAGGAAAAGTGGTGAGAATCAGGTCGCACCAGAAAATGCCGAGAAGAGAATTGTTTTTAATGGAACCACTCTCTTCTATGACAGGGTCGACGGGCTAAGAGAAAAAAAAAAGTGTTTGTTATACGCTTCGTGAGCATTTCGGGTCACAGTCCTCATTCCGTGGCTGGGTCGTGATAATTATTGCAATTCTGCCGTTCGTGGGAGAAATTGAGGCATCCAAGGGATGAAACTGTGAGAACGAGAACATTTTCAAAAACGCACGATAATCAGATGCGTAAGTACGCCCATAAGGTCATGAGAATAATGGACAGAATAACAATTAATTACTAAACAAATGGCGCTTGAAAATATGAAAAATTAAAAAAGACTATTAAAAAAAAAGCACAATATGACTGAAAAGCCAAGACTAGAAGATTTTAAAGCAGGAAGTAGAATCGCATGAACTCCAAAGAAATTCCCGCATGATGCACATGACGGAAGGAAAAGTAATCCGAATAAAAAATAAAAGGAGCTGCCGGACGGACGAAGCAGTTTGTCATAGGAACAACAAAGAGTCCAAGCCCCCCCGACGTGATGTATGTATTTTTTTTCCCCATTCCGATCCGTGACGGAGTCTCGTGTAAGACTCCGTTGCCATTATCGCGACACGAACCCTCGCCGGATGACAAAGAGATGCTCTTTCGCACTTCCTCGGGCGATATCATACAACCGAGTCCTTTGTCCCGATCGCACGGTCCGCCGTTTTTTACTTCAGCGTTACGACATTTCCTACTTCGTCAAATTATTGTACTTCGCCAAAATTGTTGCACTTCGTCAAATCGCAAGTTTATATTTTCAGGTCGACTCGTAAACGAGCCGACACTTACCTAAAGCATCTCGGGAAATAATTCATCATGCCACCTTTGTGAAGCTTTTACCGAGTGTAAAATGTGAAAGAAATATGTGCCGATAAACAATCAAAATTTGCGTCTTTATGTCTTCGCACAATGGTGCCTTGCCCTCTAATAAGAAAGGTCTCGCAATATAGCCCTTTCTCCCGCGCTTTCAAAGATCTCCGGGACCTGCCACTGATCCTTCTTTTTCATGTTTTTCTTCTGGTCACTGGCCATTAAGAGAAGGAGTAAAAACCGCTAAGCCGATTTCGGCAGATGAGGTACTGCGGGTCTCGTCGCGTCCCAGAGGCGAGTCCGGGGTTTCAAATTCAGAGCTCCAAGTCCCAACCGTACATAAAGTACTTTCAGCGGAAGTACTTTCCATCGTAAACTTTTCGGGCTCCCGAGTATATGTATTCAATCTTTTTCATCTAGAAGTATATCAATCTTAGATACCCCAAACATACATGACAGGGCGAATCAATGACCGCCTCACTTGTTTGAATCGATTCAGTACATCAAAAGAAAGTACTTATCGGCAATAGGAGCTCGGTACTCTCAACCCAAACAATACACACCTTCAAAGCGAGAGAAATACGTCTAGTCATTTTCTAAATCGGTTCAGGAGTCTTTACTCTCGGGAACGTGTGGACTCTTATCTCATTTATTACCTGTTGGTGCGATACTTTCGTACAGCTACGATTCGCACGACCGTACGGTACTTATGAGTACTCAAGATGCTCCGCACGACCGGACGTCTTAACGACAGGAAGAAAAATTGACCTTACCGACCGATCGGCGTTCTGAGAGAGAAGTGATGAGAGAGAGAGAGAGAAGACTCACTCGTGCATTTGAGTTCCTGCGCGAGTTCGTCCGAGCCCATGAAGCAATCCGGGACGCCGTTGCATAATTTCGAGAGTTGGAAGAGCTGGAGGACGTCCGTGCTCTCGTTCACCTGACATCCGAAATACCCGTCTTCCTGGTTCAAGAAGAAGATCTCCCGGCGCACGCCGTACCGCGACGCCAGGCTGTCTTCCCGGAATTGTCCTCGCGCCTGTGCCGAAAAAGATAAATAAATAAACAACCATGAAGAACTGCGAATGACCACGAATAACAACTTTCCTCTCCGACGGTCTGCATCGACTTGATCCGTCTCGGAAAAATGTTGCAACACTTTGGCATCGTCGGATTTCTCGCCGAATAAATTTTTTCTCCTTCACTCGGTTCACTTTCCGTTTTACGTCGGCTCTGCTCGGATAAAGGGATCAGCTGTCGCAGGGCATAAGGATGATCCGGATTGGTACACCGAGAATTGTGTAGAGAAATCCGACCGTGAGAAAGTGTTGCAAGACTCGAGGATTCAATGCGCGCAGAGTGTATATGGGGTCAGGGAGAGGAAACAAAAGGATTATTTCCTCGCAGTACAAAAGAAGAAGTACGAAGTATCGAAGAAGTACCATTTCCTGTCTGACGGTCTGCTCGTTTTTCATACGAAAATACGCAATATACTGAGTTGATTAAAAAAAAAGTTTACGAGGCAGCTCAAAAATCTGGACTTTTATGCACACACAAAATACCTTCAATGTAGTTTCCATAGACGTGGACAGCAAAACACACCGGGCATATTTTTCGAAAATCGAGAATTCTATTCGTGCAGGTGTAAACTTTTGGGACACCTTGAATATTTTTGGAGAAAGCCAGTTAGCAGGTGAACAGGTGCACGAAAACACCTCGAGAGCACCTGGGACCCGTTATTCGCCTTCGCTCAATCTCGGGCGCAGCCCGAATCGTCATCAGAAAGTGATCTTAAATGCGACTTAATCTATGATCGGCATGGAAGGGAAAGGCGAGCACTCTATTTTGACTGGGATTTAGATGAGATTGAGATTAGATTTAATCCTGATTCCAGCAAGGCACGCGGATGACGGCCAACAGCCGTCAACAATACATCACGGCGGAGAGGGACGCATAAAATTCGAACATAAGATTAAATGAATAAAAATAAAAAATAAAAACAAAAACAAAGCGCCCATAAAGGCTGTTGATATTCGAGTCAGGGTTCATCGTTTTGTTTATCGTGGACTCTCTTCGGGAAGCCATTTATTGCCGACGAGACAGGAATCTCCAATTTGGTCTCTTTTACTATTTTTTTTTTTCATTCTGTACAATGTTGCCAAGATTGTTTTGCATGAAGGGAGGGCGAAGTGTCTGTCGGTTGGAGGCAGGGGGGCCTCGAGGGCGCCTCGAGGCGCCCTCGAGGCATGCCAGATGAGAAAACAATTTTCCATCCCAATTTCGAACGAGGGGGATTCCATAGTCAACGACCTTCGAAGGCAAATGGGATATCGACCGGAAGCCTGCGATTCATGATGGATCGTCGTGCACATGTTGCTCCGCGGGGAGCGTTACATAACGTTGAGAAACGTTGAGAGAGTCGTCTGAATTAGCCTGTCAATCAAGCAAAGTCATCATCTCTCGCTCGCGTTCGCGGTTGATCGACGAGCTCTGACTGGGCATTGGCCCGACACGACCTTTCTTTTTTTAGAAATTGCAATTATAAAGAATCGGAAATAAGAAAAAATGAAGGCGAACAATGCATCGTAACTTATTCATCATAATAAATCATTGGACAATGTGTAACCGATGGAAGTTAATAAGTGAATACCACCTGCAAGCGGTCACGAATTGCAAATAGACGGAAAAAGAACACGAATTCCATGGAGAAGAGGAGAATTGCCCCCCTCCCTTTCCCCTCATCCCACCTCGCCCCCCCTCACGCCCCCCATTCGTTTTGGCCAGAATAAGGTAACTCGGACCACCCGAAGCCTCGCCACACGTCCCCCCCCCCCCCCCCCCCCAAAAAAAAAAAATTAAATATTCCCATTCTTAGACATTGATATCCGGCTTGAAATTGGCGAATAAGAAAACGAGGAGTAATTGGTCTGTGAGACTACTCGTCCAGGTGGAAGAGGCATGAAGACATACGGGATTCCCACCGTACCCGAAGGGTTCATTTAACTCGAGCCGAAGAAACAGAAAGAAGCAGCAGCCCGGACATCGGAGATGCGTGGGGGTGCACGAGGGAGAGAAACATGACGTCATTTTATGCCTCCGGTGGTGCAACTCGCTCTCTATGAGAGTGAAAGTTCTCTCCCTCTCATTCACATACATCCATTCCTCTCTCCTTTTTTTTTTTTTTCCTCATAGCGGCACCTGCACACCTGACCTTTCATATCGACCGAAACGCGACATCCACGCCCAACGTGGAACCGCGATTTCGCATCCGAGATGCTGAAAAATGGTTTAATCGCCTTTCGAGCTCGAAATTCGCGCCCGGACGACGAAATTCGAGTCGATTTAGTCCTCGGAAGAATATATTTTTGGCGAAACAGGTGCGGCTCTCGGGTGAAAGTTCCACACAGACAAAAATCGTCGTCGGAACGTCTCCCATCTTGATGGCCTTGTTCTTATCTGTCGAGGCTCTCTTTCGTGGTAATCGCAAACCGCAGTTGTATTTCGTGACTATTCTCGTCGGTAAAATATTGCAACAAGACCGAAGTTCAACCTTTTATCACGGAAAAGGAAACCCCGGACAACACCGGAGAATGCCATCTATGGCAACCCTCCGCACTCGATGGCAACCCTCCTCGCATGATGGCCGAATGCAGCCGTTTGCGATCGCCCGAATGCAGCCGTTTGCGATCGGGATGCATGAATGCGGCACGAATGCAGCCTTTTGCTCTTCGACATTCAAAGGCGTCTCGTGAGTCATGAGACTCTCGCGAGACTCGCGGCTTTTTTTGTCGCATCCGATGTCGCCGGATGGTTAGAGCGAGAGGATGATTGTGATCAGGGGAGTCTGAATCATCATGCAGGAGGGGAGGGAAAACGGATGGAGTCCGTATTTGGAAACTTGTTTCTTTCTTCGGTCGAGGGGGAATGCCTCTCTCTCTCAAGGTCTCTCCCCCTCCCCGTGCACCTCGTGTGCACCGTCTCGAATAAAATATGCAGTATTTGCACGACGGCAGGGTTCATCCGAAAGTGCAGGGTCTCGCTGCTCCACCCGATGCACGCTCGACCGCAGAAACGACTCGTCTGCCGAGTCGGTTTGCGGAAACGGGAATTTTTTTCGTCTTCTATTCTCCACGCCTTTCTCCACGGGTGTAATTTTGGCACGAAACCCTTCGGACCACGAAGCAGCTGACGCCTTTCGGCCCCCTTCCCTCTCCCCACGCCCCTTTCATCTGTCGCTTTGACACTTCCTCGTTCGCCGGGCAGGGCGAGTCCGCAGCTGCCGATTCCATCCGAAGACCGATGCTCCGAATCTTAAGAGCGATCTTAAGCGAAGCGTTTCACTCATCGTTTTTCCTCGTTTCCTTTCGCTCGACTCGATTTCGGCACGCTAGTTTCAAAGCAGGCGTGTCGATTACGCTTTCTCTTTGAAAAATCTCGATTGTTGCCATCCAGAAATGCAAAAATGCAAAATCCGACCTCTCCGCCCAATTAATTCCTTGATCCCCCTCGGAGAGGGTCGCCATCGACGCCCACCCGAGACGATCATCTCGAAAGCAGATAAAACGAGGCTGGGGTCGGCGCAGTCACGAACAAGGCGTGTTGAGCCGACGCTCGTGTCGGACTAATTCGGGTTCGCCGTGCGTATTTTGTAGTCTTGGAAAGTGTGACAGGTCCGGGCTCCTCTCTTGACACAGAAACAAAAAGAGTTGAGGCGAGGAAAGGAAAGAAAAAATCTGGGCCGCTCATCCACTACAGGGGCGAAAGTGAAAGAGAAGAAAAAAAAAAATCGGTTCTCATTGTGGACTAATGAGAGACGCGCCTGTGGAATGCGCATCGATACATGAAATTCGAGACTGAGGGATCCAGACGGCCTTGTTTTCTGTTATGTTCATCACGAAGATGATTTTTTTTTTCAATTATGTTCATCACGAAGATCATTGTTTTTCTATTATGTTGATCGCGAACAGGATTTTTTCTTCGTTGCCTTTTGCGGTTCGCCTGTCAAAAACAGTCCTTTTCAAAGAATTTCTCTCCGGCTGCGGAATAATTTTTTTTTCTCACGCAAAAATTGCGACGAATCTCGGTGCAGCGGAGCAGAAATGAATTTCGAATTTTATGTGTTACTCCCATTTGATAATAGTTCGAAGATCGTCAAAAACCGACCAGACTCCCACGGAATCAGACGTTGCCGAAATGTCATTAACTTTCGCCGGTATCAATTCATCTCGCGTTTGCTCGCCCCTCACGAACGACTTATTTCCTCCCGGAATAAATGAATGAGCAAATAGATAAATAAATGAAAAATGAGACTAAGACAAAAGTCTCATTACTCTCACAGGCAACACCCTCGACGACTTCGCCCTGCTAATTTGACTCGAAAACGCTGGAAATGCGTGCCCTGCCAGGTGATTGATGCCTCGAGAAGGTGGGGACGGCATTCTTTGAGATGAGAGGGAAAACCGATGGGTGACAATGAGGGGCGAGGACCTCCGACCGAGAGCCTCACTTCTCACCGAGAGCCTCACATATTTCCGCCTTTTTCGATTTATTTTCAATTTCTCCCCTCGCGCTTCATTTCTTTTCCTCCCCCTCTCTCCCGAGGGGGAAAAAAACCCAGGAAAGTTCAAGGCCGAGCGCGAATTCGTCTTTCGTGAGATAAATATTTCGACTCTGGTGAGAGTATGCATTAAAAAAATTAATCATAATTTACTTATCTGCTGAGTCACTGTCGGAATCAGAATTATTAGAGTAAAAAAAAATTAAATACAGCACTAGGATCGTTGAATAACGTTGCAACGTTGATAAATGGAAAATTAGAGAAAATTTACGGGCATAAATATTGAAATACGTACAACAGGATGTAAAAACAATGCCAATTGATGAAAATTAACATCAAGATCAAAGCTTCTTATTTAAGAAAATACATATTCAAAGAAAGTAAAAATAAAAAAAAGAAGACACTTAAGGAGTTTTTTCTTGTGAGGAATTTCCCACGTTTACTCTGCCAGGGAAAAAGCAGCCGGCACGACTTAAAGAAGAGCCAAAAAAAAAGGAAGAAGAGAAAAAAATTGAATGGTTAGGCACTTAATGATAGGTTTGGGAAATGGACTGAGACAAACAGGTATTTGGAGCTGATGGGCCGCAAGAGCGCGTTCGAAGGTACACTGAACGGTATGGGAAAAGAGGATCATTTATGTTGACCTTGGGACTCTTCTAATTTGCCGTTCGTGACCGCAGACGAGGAATAAAATCTTCCAGATGACTGTCGTTTCTCATCTCGGAGAGAAAATGGTTTTTTTCTTTTTTTTGTTCTTCCCGAAATATCGACTGGTGGCCTTGGCTGCATGCAGGAAGGCATTTCTCACATCTATGGCTCGCTGGATTTCCGTTATCCGCGGAATTCCGACGGGGTTTCGTTGCGTGATCACTTTTCATCATCTTCGTCTCATTTCTAGCCCATTTCTATCTCATTACTCAACTGCCGAGTTTGCCTTTGATCCGACCGAAGGTCTCCCGCGGATCTCTATCCTGTGCAGCAAAAATTGTTCAAGTTTTTTTTTTTTTTACGCTAACATGTATAATTATATCGAGATTGGATCGTACTCTGAAAATTTCCTTTTGGGAAGCGCGGATTCCGGTGGGGCGAGTTCATTTTTCATTTTTTAATTTAATTTTATTTTTTTGGGTCAATGTTCCCGAGAAGATAAAAAAAAAATATGAAGGAATGACACAAGAGTGACATCGGGAGTGTGATATCGTCTCATTATGTTCAATTTTTTTTTATAATTTGCTACGCGCCGTAACGCCGAAGAATTTTCTCAAATTCCATTCGCTTTTTTCTTTCACTTGAAATATTTGAGAATCGTGGGAAAAAATTCCCGAGATTCCCAGCTTCCCCAGCCTCACATCAATCAGAAGTCGTGAATCCTCGTGGCGTTAAGCGTCATGACCCTTAGTGGCTTAAAATGTCATCTACACTGGGGGGGTCGCTGACCCCCCCTTTGTCTCGGCGAACAAACTCAACGCCATCCGGATTGGCCGACCCCATGATAGATGTTGCCCAAATGTGAAAATTCGATAGTGGAAAAATAAACTTAACAGAATTCTTACCTGCTGTGACGCAAATATTAACTAATTGCAGTCGTACGTTAAAGAGAATATTTCTCCTATTTATCAGAATTCCACATGATTGCGCTATGGCCATATTGCAATACGGCATATGGTCGCGGTCCGTTGCTTTGAGGCACTAATTTGTGATAAGCTCTCGTCGATCTATGATATAAAAAAACTGGATTCCGTTCCCAGAATCCAGAGATCCATTCGGAGAAAGTCCGACCCGCGAATGTTCGGTTCGATCTCGGGCGAACGCGAGGAATGTTCTCATGGCCGCGCATCTTATTAAAAGGGGAACGGACCCACCTCTGTCATTTTCGCACGGGGGCTTTCTCTTAAATCTCGTGACAAAGCAGCTATGCGCCTCTGCGCTAGAATCTTTCGTAAGGCTCCCGCACTTATCAAGTCTGCAGGGTATTTTTCCTTTTTTTTTTCTCCCCTCCAGCGATTCAGTTCTTCCTTTCCTGGTAATTGCCAGCGAACAGCTCAGTTGCGCAAAATTCTTGCCATTTCCGTAACAAACTGGGTCTTCATTGGCTCTGCTTCAGCTTTCTTACACACCTGGTATGAGAATAACTCAATTGTGTTTGTGACACTTTATATTACTTGCGATAAGTGAAAAATCTTGATGTTTCCGCTTGTTCATATAAAATTTGAGATCATTTATGTCGTGATTCGATGTCTTCGTTCTGCGCCAGTTCCACGGAGATATCAGGTGATGCAATTATTCAAGAGAGAAAGGATAGAATATACTAGATAGAATAAATTGAGGGCGTCGGAGGATCCATCTTTTCCTCTTAGCCTCTGGTCAACTCCCGAGAAACTGGTCTTGCACACCCATTCGGTACCTGACATCGGAGGGGAGCTGAATTTCGCTCTCTACTGTATACTCGATTACTCATCATCGATGACTGGTCCTTCTTCCTCGAGAGAGCCACAGGCATCATTCAAAGTAAACATAGGCTCACTTGACCGTGATGGAAAGGGAGAACATGCGGACGCGAAAATAAGAGTCCTGTCAAAGAGGCACTGGTATAAAAAGTTCTTTGGACTCTGGCTTCGCCTTTTTGGGAGAGAACCAAGGTCTTCGACGTCCGAAGGACGCTGAGGCTGAGTCCTCTTTCTCCGCATACGCATTCCTTCCCTTCCACGTATTATTTACAACCCTTTTACTTTTCATATACCAGATGCCTTTCCGTCGCACCGCACAATTTCTTGCTTCACTACTGCTTTCTCACGAATGATCTGCGAGTCGAATATCACGTGGAATGTGAATCGAGTGAGTTCCTGCAGGAAATTGCGTTTTTTTTTACCACTTTCTCCCAGTAATCCACGGAATTCGGACGTGAGGTGAATTATCATCCCGAGGAATGAGTCAGGATGAAGTTAGCCCCCATCTGACAGGAGAATGGAACGGATGTTCAACAATCTCAACAACAAAAGCCTTCAGTTTTGAAATATCTTGTTCCTTCTTTTTTTTTGTTTTAGCCCTGACTGTCCCTCCTTTTATTCTCGTCCTTGGGGAGAGGGGGGTCAATTTTTTTTTTTCCTCCAAGGGAATTCCTCGTTTTTCGCCTGCCAGACAGACAATGCCTGTTAATTGCAGCAGAAGGCCTCGATGACTGGATATCATAAGGTTTTACGACGATTCATGGCTCAACCTGCTTTTTTTTTCCCCTTGCCCGAGCAAGCCTCAGATTCTTTGTTTACAGGTGGACACATAAAAGTGACTACGGGCAGGTCCTACGTACGGGAGAGAGAGATATAAAAGGAACAATTAAGGATTTTTATTATCCATCCATTTGGCAAGAAGGTAAAATAAAACCTGACTTGAAGTCTCTCCACGCACATTCATCCGAACACGCCCAACATTGAGGGTCAGCAAATACGAAATTCGGATCCGAGAAACGCGTAAATATGGGCAGGGCGTCCAAGGCAAAGTCACGTCCGAGACTCACGCACGACCGTATCAAGCCCAGGAAAATATTTTTCACTTTATCGCCTCACGAATTCACGACGCATTCAAAACGGTATCACTTTCTATCCGAGGATTCACGACCGATTCCTCGTGACGATGCATAATCTCGACTGTCCCGAGACAATCATGAGACGGGATTTTCATTGAGAGCGAATCAGGAAATCCTTAATCGAGGCACCCTGTGAAAGGCTCCCTGCG